TCTAATATTCTAATTTTATTTTTGTAACTAGGTCAATATGATTTTCTATCCACCGTGTTATAGCAAATGAAAAGTAAATTGCAATTCTTCTAAAGTACCGTTCTTGACACGAAAGAAAAGTGTAACAAAAGAGAAATTAATTTTATTTGCAGCAGGTACAAGATGAAAAAAATATTTCGGCTAGGAGGGAAAGACCGTGAAAAATGTCGACTGAGTTAATATCTTCATAATTGTCTGTCAAGGAACAAAAGGAGCAATCGTGTCGTAAAATGACCGGTTATTAACATCAAGTTATTTCGGAGGAGAATTAACAATTACCTTTTCTTCCTCATATTGTCTGTTCGCTTGAAAATTGAAAGCATTCACGAGGACAACATCATTCTCATAAAACTCTTAAAGCACTCATTTAAGAACCTTATCGACCGTTCCAGGAAAAGTAGAAGCAACCTCGGCTCCTACTTTCAATATGATCCTTGCTTTAATTTCTAACTAGATAAGTGGCGGCTGCCCTGTCCTAATTGTAATTAAAATTCCAACTGAAATGAACTTTTAATCGCGGATTATTAATACATCGTACCGGGATACCACCATTGGCGTAACTAGTATTTTTGTCTGGGGTAGACTAGCTCCCTTAGCTTTACTAATAATATATATGTATATTGTTTCTGATTTTTATTACATATTTCATTTTGAAATTTTGAAACTCTAGAACAAAGTACGATTGTCCTGCTCTACACATAACGTCACATAACGGACGTTGAAATACCATAGGAGAAAAAAATCCCACGTTCGAGGCCAGAAAAGTTGTTAACCGACTAAAACAGCAAATAAAATAACGGCGTCAGGAAATGAAAAAGGCAAAAAAAAAAACGAGTAAATATAATATTTATCCAGATCCTAATTATGAACCACGAGGTATTAAATGAAGCCCTTGGTACAACCACCCCTCCCACCCTCCAGTAGTAATGGCACTTGTACGGTGTCCTATAGTGGATTACTTTACCATAGTACCTGTATGCCAATATCCAGAGCAGCTGTCCGGAAGAGCGACCCCGACACTTCCTTCCTGAACGCCTCCTGCCTATCTACTTTCTACGGTGTCTCATGCTCTCGAACCCACACGAATGCTGCGAACGATATTCGTCATCGATACTTCTCTCGATCATTATCTTTTCCCTTTGTTCTTTAAAAGAGGATCAAGAGATTGATGATAAAAATTGTAATGACAAAAGATTAGGAAAGATTCCATGGAAACTAATTGGAGGGTTGATCCATATAGATTCATAGCGGTGTGAGAGGAGCAGACTGCTTTCGATAATTTCCTCCATTTAACGCAAGACCAATCCATTTCATTTTATTACAACTAATTCAAAATTTCACGGAATAACTAAACTTCATATTATTTGTGTCAAGAGGGAACAAGTTCCCATAGTTACAGAGTGAAAAAAAAACCGTAAAACTCATCCATTTGTCCCACCTGTACGAGGAAAGTACACCCCCCTGTTAAACCGTGCATTGTGTACTATCATCCCCCTTTTTATCATGTACCGTGGGAAGAATGCACGTTTGTTGATCGATTGCTTTTGCCACCAGTAAACGTATGTACAAGTGCTACCAACTTTGAATTTGAAATTTGAATAATGATTTCTTTTCTCCTTGAACGATTTTAAAAAGTGTATACTATAGCAGGATCTTGAAGGTAAGTAACGAGCCAACTGCTATTACTCGTATCGTTACTAAAACAATGGCTACCTAAAGGTTTTCTTCAGCAAGTCATGGGAGCAACGGCACGTGCGGAAAGTATCGAAACCCGACATCCTCCGGGTAACATTATATCCTTAAGATGCATCTGGTACGAAATTATGTATATCTACCTGGGTTCCCTTGTATCGAATATATTTAGCCGGTTATGTATAGCATGGTTGGCAAGAAGGAAACACGTAAGGGATCCCTGTTGGCACGTGTCAGGATGCGGCGTGTCTTACTGCGTATACGTATTTTATCGATCAACCGGAAATTACCTGTATCGGTGTTATACATAGCCTATTTAACTTTCAATACAACTGGTCAAATGAAAGATAATGCAAGAATTACGCAAAAAATTGTACTCGGATGATAAGTGATATCATCTCCAGTTCAATAGTTATATCAGGTACTTGAGATACCTTGCACGTGAATTTATTAATCAGTAAACGCTTCCACCGTAACCGCAATTTAATACGTAGTAATTTTCAAGTATCAAGATCAGTAGGCAGAAATTTCAGTTACTTGTAACAGTTATTCATATATAAATATATCTTCATTATATAATGAAGATTCCTCGTAACTGTTTCAATTAGATCCTTTATATAACTGTTATTAACAGTTATTGTCAGAATCTATTCAACCCCTGATTATGGTCACTGATTTCACTTCGTTTTGTTCGGACCCTTAATATTAATTCCGTAGAATTTAGCATATTAGATAAATGAAACATAAGAACATTCCACAAATTTCCATATTTTTCTGACATTATTGAATCATTTAATTATCGCTAAAAATATGATCAATTAAAATGAAATAATCAAACAAGAATTACGAATGAAATTTAATTTTCCTGCAGCTTTCGCATGAACGAGTGTCAAAAATTCCAAGGTGCACCGTATCAACTGATACACGCTTTTTTCCTTGCTCGCTACATCATTTATCGCTGCTGAATAAGATTTTATCTCAGCATGCGACATGCAATGAACAAGTAAACCATGTAAGCTCTACGAGAGAAAATCGCGTTTTGCTTGAACACTTTGACCACTATGTTGAGTTCGTTAAAAGTCCTTAACGAGCAGTAATTTTTTTTTCAGCAAACCTGATTCGAACCTTATTCCGACGATATCTGGTTCTCTTTACTGTAGCGCTTACAATGTACTCTCAGATGTTTAATAAGATTATTTATTATGGAACGAATAAAAATGTGGCAAACTTTAACGAAAACGAGAATATCAAAATTCTTCTTTTTCAAAAGAAAATTTGGTAAATTTCAAATTTTCAGAATAACACGAAGGTGACATAAAACTTTTTCTCTTTCATGGAACATCCTGTAGGTAAACGGTACACACCAGGTAAAACATTATCTTAGCCAGCAATCCAGTAGATTAGTTCTTAATACAGCCCGCTCACGGCGACGTACGGCCGTGCAATTAAACAAGTCTCAGATGAAAATTACCGGCGTGACCGCCACTCGATAGAGATCTTATTAGGTTCACTTGCACGTATACTGTCGTTTAACACGAAGGCTCTCCACGATGATTGCTTCGTGAGAACTTGCACCGACTTATTCTACATTGATCCAAACGTAATCCAAAATTGTGGCTCCCTTGATTGTATGGTAATTAAATAACCTGGATGAATATAACATCCAGCATATTTACATTCGATTGAATTCCTCCGGGAAAGTTGGTATTTTAAAATTTATTAGATATTTCAAAACCATACTATCTACCATTTTTCTAAAGATATTTTTAATTCAATTACAATGTGGTTAGTAATTGTTTACAATAATTGACATTTTTAGTCAGCGACGAATAGCGTCTAGAAAATTGTAGCAAAAGAAAATGACGAGAAACCTTACAAGAAACCTGAAGAAGTTTTCTGATCTAAAGTAGCATAAAACTGAAACAGGACAGCTGGGAATACTCGATGGAAGACGTACAACAATCGTGATTCGTTATCATTAGAAGATCAAAATGACTAAAAACGTTTTCTTTTTAAATTGATGCCTGCTTCAATAACACAACTTTATTAACCTTAGAGCCTAAGAGCAGTCCAACCACCTTCCTGTCACTCTGTATAAAAAATGTTAAATCGTGCCCCAATATTAAATTCACTCCCATTGCTATGCAATATAACCAGTAGCGCATGTAAGACATTTTCGTGTCCCAAACGATAAATGCTACATCGTGTATCACGAGTAAATGCTAGAAAATTGCAGTTTCCGATAGGGTCGCTGCAGTGGAGTTCCTTGGATCGTTACGAATCATTTTCCCTTCTCTCTTATCGTCACCGTAAGTTCGCCTTCTTTTTTTCTCCCACAAGATCGATCCAAAGTTTTCTACCTGGCGATTACCAGGGCACTGTTTTTCGCACTAGCTACAATAACCCGCATTAATATTCGGACATCAGAATATTTAAGTAGCTATTTTTCTATACTTTGGAAACTGCAATAATGGAGCGTAAAGGACTAATCGACTTCAATTTGAAGCATAACGAATTGCAATTGAGCATTACAATGCATTCTACACTTGGTCGAATGAAAAAGGTAGCGATTTTGATGAAAAACATGTAACTTTTCGTTTCAGATACCATTTAAGTTCCCCTAATCGGAGCGTCGAATCTGATTGTAAAAAATTTTACTCAAACCATGCAGAACCATATACAGCCTTATGCCTCGACTAACCCAAAGATTGCATGCTCGCCTAACCTAACACCGTCACTTTTACGGTACTTTATACTTGGCGTGAAGTTATCGTTAATTGCTTATAATAATGCAACGCTCGACCGAAGCACAGGTAAAATTCATATTAATCCGTCACGAGAGATTTTCAGTTTAGTTTTATTACCGACTAGTACTCGCGAAAAAGAAATTAATCTAGAGCAACTGAGCGGAACTTAAAAATGCCAAGTGACATTTTAAAACTTAAACGGTTTCGACATTTTATTAGCCTCTCTAGTATTTTTCTTCAAAATGTGACGCTTTCCTAACGTGAAATATTTACCAGAAAAATTCCCACGGAGAGACCTTACATTATTGACGGGTATTTAATTGGCCCCGTAGAAAATTATAGACCAAAGCATTGTAATTTTCTGCGTTTATGATACCCCCCATGGTAAGGATACACATGGACATTGGTTTCATTGGCTATCTAGGCGAGTAAATGGAGTACATATCTAACGGAAAATTAGCGAGCACCTACTGTGCCAAGGGAAAACTGAATGTTTCTATTTTTGTCGTATAGTCAACTCACTGTGCACTGGTGTGTTGATCAGCGTAACGAGTTGTTAGAACAGCTACTGCAACAGGTGGGCCCTTTGGATCACCGATCCCTTCCGTGTCTCCTTCGTACGTATAATGACGCTCGTCCCATCGTGTCTCGTGTGAAAAGCGTCATTGAATCGAATGAATACACTGCAACATAATAAAGGATCAAACGTGATAGGATTGTTACGAAGCACACCCGAGTACTTTGAGCGTTAGCAAAAAATAATGACACTACTTTCTATTCTTCTCTACTCGCGCCATATTTGCCTGCGATCATTTGTACGTTTAATTAACCACTATACAGGGTGTATGAGAACGTTACCTCAACATGATTCTTAAACATAATCAAGGGACACGTATTAATTTAACTTTGTTCAACATTGTGTAAGATTATGTAACCCAAGAACAGGTGCGTAGTTTACTTGGAAAACATGAAAGGCGTCGATCTTGATGACAGACCGACTGAACTTTTTCCATTTGAAATATTACAACTATGAGTAAAATAGAAGAGTACATCAGAGATGGTTGCAATTTACGTACAACCAGGACACTTGTGGTGAGGCACCATTGTAATTTGCATGGGTTCCGAAACAACGCTTAACAATAGTGTTCGCGATACGATAGGGCCATTCGTCAAACAAAGAGACCACTTCATTTCCGAGTGCACGTCTGTGCTTTTTTGTCCCTGAACACCACCTGTTCGTGGGAAATGTTATTGGTACCTCCTTGGAAGTCTTACATTAACGAACCTATCGTAGCGTGCGATCTAGTATGATGTTTTCTTTAATAATTTTCAACAATTTGGTTTAAGAAACTTATAGCTTCAATGGATATAGTCGTTCGATTTCGTAATCACAAATAGAGTTCTACTAGATAATTTATAGAAATAACTGAAAGTCATTTCAACATCTGCTTTCTCGTTTTCTCTTTCATCCTCGTGTCATAGAGATAAAAAACGGCCTTCCCCAACGGTTATGCCCACCATTGCTATTTTAATCGAACCCTATAAATCTATTGTGCCACTGGTCGGGCAGCGCCTGAAACTTAATTGCCTCCGAATTCCATAAATCGGCTCATTCAGTAAACGAAATTGATTCGAATCGTAGGTATCACCTATTCGATGATACATCGTAAGTAATCAATGACGGTTAAATTTCCGTTACTGGTAACGCGGATATGCAAGGAAAATGCATTTATCATACTGAAGGCCAAAAATGTAAGTTCCACTCGAGATGAAGGGAAGAAAGTCTAAGTCTTGTGCGTCGCCGACCTTCCGGACTGTATTAGAAGTAATCGTATCAATAACGTTTATTTCATACGCTAGCGTGACCAGAGGGTTCGTATGCGACTAGATACCCTTTCGGGTGGGTTATTTCGTGGGTTGCACGAGAATACTGGAGAGGGGAATGGAAATATCTATTGCCTGGTGGGTAGTAAAATGCGGTGTAATAATGTCCCGCCGCAGGCATACTTAGCTAATTAAATCGTATAGGATACTCGTTTTGAGATTAGGTTACAAGAGGGAAGGAACCTCAATAGTGGAGAGGAATCGAAAACACGTGGGGGGCGATGAATAAGTTCTAGAAATTTCTTCTCTGTAGTTTTCTATATCTACCCCTAAAATACTTACAGGCAACTAAATTATCGCTAACTTGGCCCAGTTTATTTTATATTTAACAATTTTGTATCTGTTCGTCTATTTTCATTCGACAACTCTGTGACTCGTTCCTACATCATCATCTGCCGAAAGACATTTTAATTAATGATAGAAAACCGCGACGTGTTCTGGAAATGCGGGCATGGCATTGGTATTCACGGTCGTCTCGCGATGTTTTAAGAACCGTTCGCATTGTCAAACCCCTATTCGATTCACGGACACTTTCGATAACGATTATCGCGACCTTGGGTATTTTCTTTTCGCAAGGTATTTTACAGTTTATGGTTCCAATTGAAAAATTGTAAGTTAAGAAATCAGTCAATCAGAGAAGACAACATACGTGGGTAGTCTGTACGGATTCTGTGTACGCAGACGCAGAGAAGAACCTCCAAGAAGAGATCCTTTCGCATTACTTTGGAACACAATGACGGTTAATGGCGCGATACATGGGCACACGCGCAGGCGCACGTTCAGTGGAGCAAAAGTCTTGGGAATTGGCCTCGTGGTGGGGAATCACCGCGCGAATCCCTGAACGGAATGTTGTCTGAAAGCGTTTCTGTAGGATGTGACAAGCAGTCCGGCAAAGAGGGGAATAGCCTGGATGGAGGGGGATAAAAGCAACGGGCTATGAAGCGGAAGTGGGGCACGTGCCAACTTATACACCTAGAATTGTCGCGCAGTGGAGGGGAGAAGGGCAAAGAGTAGGGGAAATATGCATCCTCGAGCGCATCGAACAAAATTTCAGGTAGTCTGCAGGCAGGCGAGCAAGTATGCGCTTGCGTGGCCCTCGGAGAATCTCGTTCCATTTTTACTTTCCCCTCTTCTTGTTTTTCTATATTTCCTTTTCCACTTTACCATCCTTTCTCTTCTCTTTTCCTTCTACCCGAAAGCCGATTCAATCTCCGAGGGCCTACAATTGTTTTGCTTTGCTTGAATTCCGACTTCGACACGTTAAATTAAAATCACCGAGGACAATCAACAACCGAACACGCTTGGAGCTGATACAAATCCTGGAACAAGAGATTTCTTCCAAATTTTCAAGTGACGTCAAGGCAACATTTGTGGAAACTGCTAAGAAGTAATCTGACATCTAACGCTGTAAGTACTACTGAAAATCACTACACCGACGACAGTGTTTTAATAATCAAAATCATCGTAAAGATATCAAAGCACTGATCAATGTACGTTTACCTATAGAATCCAATCTGACATGGTCAGTGGTGTCGAAATTCAGAAGACAACGAAAGCAAAATTATTCTCCGATGAATAACATCGGCTATCGAGGATTTATGTAAATAAATTTATACATACACGCTGTATATACTTAATCTGTACAAAGAGAGAGATGTAGAGTACTGATGTCAAAAGTACAACGCTACTCAAGTCACCCGCCCGGTGAATGGGAATTTTCTTCAAAGTTTGCCACTAGCCGGAGTTGCGGATTACTACAACCTGAAGCTACCGTAATTATGAATTATCGAGATACGTGCTCTGGACCCAATTTGAAATGACCTCGAAACACAACTATCTTTGACTTTGAAGTTCTATCGGTATGGTAATTAATTTCAATTTATTATTATTCGTAATCTGTTCTAAAACTGAAAAATGGAAAACGTATCACGATCTCAAGTAATTCAAATCCGTAATTATCGATACTAATGTAAATATATGATCTTGGCGTTATATTTGATATTAGCTTAACTAATCATAAATTTAAGAATTTAGAATTCTGTTAAGTAATAAATTATTATTGTAGTAGATTGGTAAGTTTCTTGAAGATTTTCGAACATTGAACAACAACTGTACTTATAAGTTTGAACTTAATTTTTCTTCTTAATTTATTTATTATTAAAATTAGCGGTAGAAATAACTTTAAGATGAAAGAATACGACGATCTAGTCAAAAAGTGATAAGAATTTTATATTCAGTGCAAATAATCAAAATAAAAAATCTAGTCAGAAAAGGAAAAAATGTAGTCATAATCTAGTCAAAAAAAAAAAATTAAAATACTATATTCTAGTCACTATTATTTAGTCGTTCAAATGGTGCCATAAATTTGAGCCCCGGTGTTTAATTTTTTCATTTAAATTAAATTCCAAAAAATCGTCTATTGGATTTCGAATTTTAGCGCCAAACGTTTTCTAGTCAACTATATTTCTAGTCACTTCAATGATAAGTATCCTAAGTATCGTTTCATATTCACAGTAGAATATGCAGGCCACAAGCAAATGCAATTTTGAATTTTATTTCGAATTACCATATAATTGCGTGTCATTTGTTTACATTATAAAATGGATGTCGTCCGTGGATAAGATGCCATACAAAAGTTAAGCCACAGAAGTATATAACATTCATCGGCCATAATGTAAAGAAAGTCATTGTCTTGTAATAAAAGCAACGACAATGAAATGACACTGTAAATTGTAGTCTTACGTAAATATAATAACTTCTGGTCAGTAATTCTAGTCACCGTGTGCTAGGAATTGTAATAATATAAATGTAGTCGTTCTATTTATTTTGGGAAACGTGCCAGTGAATTGAATATCTATATTACGATTGTATGGAATTGTGAAATAAGAAGAGGTCTAAAATTCTAAAAACAAAAAAAAAATGTTAAATAATCTTATAAAAGAACAAGTTTCCACTAACAGTTTGGCAAAATAAAATAAATTAGCTACAAAATGATTTTTCACAGAAATAAAACATTTTTTTATTTCATGTCCATATAATCTATCACGCTGAACTAGTCAATCAGCTAACAAGTCCTTAGCGGCAGCTAGTCATTTAGTTTTAAAACGAACAAGTCAGTAGGACATTAAAAAATGAGTACAAAATAACAAAGTATTAACTGGCTGTGTTTAATGATTAAGAATAATATTTTGTATTATATGTAGTCTGCATTTCGTTCCAACTTTCAATGGTACAAATGAACGATGATCCTACCGACTGCGTTTAAAGATACCTACAATTTCTTTTAACGGAGATCTAGTCCAAGTATACCGATCGAGGTCGGAAAAAGAAAATTCTGATCTCAATAATAATTTATTCGTACGTAATGAATTCTAGTCAAAAATATATATATAAGATTATCTAATCGAAGTAATTTATCTACAGAGAGTATATTATTAAGAGTGGTATCTAGTCAATGAACCCACGGACACTAACTCGAACAGTTTAAACTTGCTATATGAAAAAAAAGGAAAAAAAAAATGTACATAGAGCTTGGTAAACTTAGTAGAGTAACCGATCTCAGTCCGTGAGTAATCTAGTCTATAACGTTTTAAAACAGAATAAATAATTAAGATTATGGCCTCAGTATGGTCGAAAACATACGTATGTAAACATGTATGTGTTTATGGAAAATTCTATCCTCGTTGATTCATATAATATCAACAGCGAGATATATAACGCTGTACATATGTTTGAATCACAACACAATACGTATTAAAATAGTTTGCAGGTTTAGTATCTAGTAAATTACCTTTAATTTATAATATTTAATTCATAAGGCTATCATATACGTTTGTACTCTTTCACGTATCTTTATCATAACTTATGGTTTTTACTGTGTGTGTGTGTGTGTACGTGTGTATTTCAAATATTTATTCATTACATTAATATTTATAACATTTTGTATGTTTTTAAAATATATTTAAAGATTTGTGTGTGATGCATGCGTTTTATATATCAAATTTTTCTGTTCATGAAATGAAATAGCACTGCCTAAAACGAAATATTATTTACGTATTTAACACGAACAAAAACCTAACCTCCGCAAATAACGAGAAATTCCTGTATTCAATAAAATAGTTATCTACCTTTCCTAAATGTAGCCCGCTCTACACTCTCGGCGAGATGTCTCGAGAGCAACCGAGTGTATTGAATACGCTCGTATAACCTCGGCCTTCCTCGTCTCGCCTCATCTCGCCTTGTCAGTTCTCGGCTCAATGGCGGTAATTTTGGCAAAGGCGAGAAAATGAATGAATGTAGTAATAAACTAACAAATAAAATGTTTCCTACAATATATGAGAACTTCGGCGAGAGGCTCTCGCCGAGAGTGTAGAGCGGGCTTACAGGTTATATCTACCAACTATGAATTGAACAGTAAGGCAATTGTTATTCGTACAATGAGAGTACATACCTGTTTTGCGCTGCTCAGGAAGAGGTCCTCTACTTTTACTTCTAACCTTCGTAGCACTTCATGGTCATAACACAGTGAACAAATATATGAATAGAGGAAGCAAGTGATAACATTACGCACCGAAGATCGAAAAATATACTAATCGTAATGCCCGCTCTACACAATCGGCGAGATGTCTCGAGAACAGCCGAGTATGAGAGTGTATCGTATCACCTCGGCCTTCCTCGTCTTGCCTCGTCAGCTCTCGGCTCGATGGCGGTACTTTTAACCCGAGTTAGAGATTTTCCGGCAAGATCAAACCACTGGGTATGCTGCGCAGTTCCCCAACGCGCTTGCGCAGGAGTGGAGTTTGGAGGGCCTGTTGCGCAGATTAACCAGAGTTAATATGCGCAGAACGACCGAAAACTCGTATGACAGTGGTTCACTCTCGTTGAACAAGTAATACATATTATATAGGTAATTAGTAGAACACGTGAATGATACAAATAGTAGCTACACATAATGTATGTGTACAATTTAGAAAATGGTTTTGTTTTAAAATTATTTCTAATTAAACGAATGATTTTCCAATTTCCAAAGAAATAAGATCAGTGATCGATAATTATTACGCATAATTTCTTCGAAAGACACACATGTAATTTTACGAAAATAACTAACAATTAATAGAATGATTGTAATTAGAAGATACAAAAAGTTATTTAAAAGCACAATAGCATGTGCAATTGCTCATAATATAAGAGACATACAATTTTGTGTGCCTCATTTATGTCACAGTTATGTTGCTTTGTCATGTGAACTAAAAGAATGTATACACATGCACAATCTGAAAAATATTCGAAACTGTGGCAGTAATGTAAATGGCATGCAAATCAAATCCAAAGAACAATTATTTATAGAAGTATTAATAATTGAAATGTAAATTTAAGAATGATAGAATCACTTATGGAAGACTTAGAAAACAATGCCTACAATATATCACAAATTTTGAGTATTATACAATGAACCATTGAAAATACAACAAGAGCTGACCAATTGTATCTGGAATCTTTTAAAAGACAGAAACTGTAATTTAACAATTGATCATTATCATGCCTTATTACAAACTTACATTGATAATGATTATCATATTGATCCAACAGAATTTTTGAAAAACATGACAATTAAGCCAGAATATGAAACTTATTGCCTTTTATTGCAAGTATTACCAAACTTGAATGATTGTGCTGTACCTGAACTCCTCATTACAGACATTGATAAAACTGATAAAAAAATCTATGATGCATTAATAGATATGATGCATTAAGAGGCTGGTATATGTTCAATTATCCAGCACATGATAGCTTTAAATGTTAAAATAGACTCCAAAACATTCATAAACTATATATTTCCACACATTGATACAAATAATGCTATTATTACAGTTACAAAAATGATACAGTCGGGAATATCAACTAATTGCATAATAGAGCCCTTTGTACATTTTTTATTAAACTCAAATAGATTAAAGGAAAGTTTAGCTATATGTTCCCATTTTAAGAAAAAAGTGGACTGTCAGGACAAGTTAAATGTTCTAATTCTTAATCACAGAAAATCAAAAGATATTGATTCTTGTATAAATTTCTTATTTAACTCATGTTATAATGGTCATGGATTTGCTGCAACATTTTAAAAAAAACTTAGATCTCTCTGCACATGAAATAAATACAATTATTACATTTTTAACAGCAATGAAGCGCTATAAAGCACTAATACCGCTTGCTGATGTAGAAAACGGGGTTACTGTACGAATTATGATCGTATACTCAAACATTTAATTCTTGCTCACATATTAAAAGGAAACATATCACCTAATTACTCTATTACAACAACTTCAATATTTGAAAGATGATGATGTAAAATATAAAAAATGTGGCAGAAATGAATTTAAAACCTATGTGCAATTTAACGCAAACTATATGTGGTAAGTACAAATGACGTTTTTAATTTATAAATTATGCAAAATTTTATAATTAATGATCTTTGTGTGCAAATAAACGGAATGATTACAAACTTGCCTTGGAATTAGAAAGAAGAATGAAAGAAAAAGGTATAGAATTTAGTAAAGATTTCGAGAGAACTCCGACTAAATTAGCGATATGATAAAAAAAATCTTAATAAATAACTTTTAAATTTTGCTTTAACATAGTATTATAACTATTTATTGAATCAAAAGCATCTGTTTTCACTGGTCCATAGTCGCTACGTTCCTTTTGTTTTTCAATAAAATTTTCAATTTTTTTATGTTCCTCTATTAAATTTTCCATTGTATTTTCTAGCACACTGATTTGACTATACACACTATTATTTTCTAATCGTTGCTTAATTTCATTATATTCGGATCGAATATCTTCAAGTTCTTGTTCATGAGTTACTTGCTGTTGTTTTAATTGTTCACATTCTGTTGTCAGTTGCCCTTGTTTTATTGCCAATTTAGTTTTCAAGGTATCTAAATCTTCTAACGTTATCAATTTACTTTCTTCTTTTTTCATTCTTTCATTGAGATCATCGGACTCGACCTTAAGTCTTCTTTCTAACATTTCCATTTCACTCAAAATCTGTTGCAGCCTCAGATTGTCTTTCGACAATCTTTCAAAGCTTTGATCACCGTTAGTATACTCGTGTTCGTTAAATGGAGGTAAATTGTTTAAAATTGCTATCTCATCACTTCCTGTAAAATTAATATTGATGTTTATCATATTTGAAATATTTTCCAAATACTCAATTATTGTATTTTCTAATTTCTGTAATTTAGTTGTTTCATCGTGTTTATTTTGTTCGAAGGATGTCATAAACTGTTCTATAATTTCCTCCCGTTTACGAAGTTCTTTGTACTTGATTTGCTTTTCAGATTGAGTATCCTCGATGTCGGTTTCCAATTGTTCTAATTTTTGTTCAACTTCTTGCATTTGTTTCTTTTTCTCAGTTAACTGTGCTTCCGCTGCTGCGATGTCCATATTTTCCTGCTTTATTTTTTGCAACAATTTTTCTCTTTCTTCTTCTGGTGAAATTCTATGCCTTTCTTCCTCCCGCAATTTATTCCTTTTTTCCTCTGCTTCAATAATTTTCAAATGTAATTTAACTGCTTCTTGTTTCAAAGGAGACAGTGTTATTTCCTCTTCCAAATAAAGTTGTTCTTTGTATAATTCATCTAGCTCTTGTTGCATCTTATTTGCTTTCTCTTGTAGATATGCTTTTTCTTTTAATAATTCGTCATATTTTTCTCTCGTATCGTCATCCATACTTTCTACGAGTCTCTCAGTTCTCTTCTTCTCATTCTCTAATTGCTTTTCTATCTTATTCAGCTTGTCTTGTAATTGTTTTCTTTCTTCATACATATTTTCGATTTTTAATAGATTGTGTTCATTTTTCATTGCAAGTTCTTCAGTTTCTTGTTCAATGATTTCCTTCCCAATATCGGAAGTCATTTTATCGACAACGATATTATAATCCGCTAATTGTCCTTGTAAAGCTGTTAATTCAGCTGCTAAATCTTTTGCCCTTTTATCATAATGTATATAAGTAGCTCTTTCCTTATTTTGATCTTCAATATCTTTCATAATGACAGCAATTTCTTGATTTAATTCTCTTATTTTTAACTGCATAATTCCAATGTAATATCTCTTGTCCTGAATTTGCCTATGGATATAGAGTTTAAATCAGAATGGTTTTATTGTTTTTGTTACTTGTAATAATGTAGTTACAAGTTTTGAATTTAGGTACCTTGTCATCCCCCTACCAGTACCAGGTCTAATAGCTGCTACCCCATGTTGAGTGATCGGTCTTTCCATAACATTTATATTCATGTAACCAGTTGTTGGAAATCCTACATTTAAATGTCCAGAACCAGTCGAACTGATCGTATTTAATCGTGAATTAGCTGTTGGCATTTGGTTATGTAAAATTGACACAGACGGTGGTCTTGCAAGAACATTTTGACCTGGAGTTGCAGGATGATTACTTGCTGAAATATAAAATTCTAATTTCATTTTTACTATCTTATGGAACTTATTAATTTTATTTTGTAACATAGTTGTACCTGTTTGTGATCTTTGCATTGTAATTATTTTATCTAAAATTTCTTGTTTCAATAAATAGTGTTGATTGAAACTTGATAAAAACGAGTGATTTAAATCACTATACAAGTGTCACATTTGAAGAACTTGTAATAGTTGTTTTGATTCTAGTTACTATAGAAACAATTTTGTACAGCATCGAGAATAGTAGGCTTTCCCAAACAAAATGGCAATGTCCTGGGCACTGGGCTCCTTCTGTAGGGTTCCATGGTAACGTCATTTTCTTCAGGGAAGCCTATCGTGTTCGATACTCTACAGAAATGCTACAAATAGAACAAAATGACGATAGATGGCAGCAGGATACTTGTATTTTGCTAGTAGCAGTTGCTAAGCAACAAAAGAGACGCGGTGAGCCAACCAAGTGGTAAAGCACGATGGTGACGACGCGGCGACGGTAACGGCGGTAGCGACGCCGGTTCCCCAAACTCGAATTAATATACAGTAGTCCAAGAATATCTTCAGTGTGCCTCGGGATAGCCAGAAACCGATTGACGTTACTACAGTAACTCGCGTTGTGGCTACGTTCATCCGCAGCGTACAATTTATTCCGTCGACATATAAACGACCCGCCGTTCACTCGTTCGTCCGCTCGTTGTGTTGGCATTTCTTCTCGGTTGCCTTTTCTTTTTTTTTTCTCTCTTCTCTTTTCTATCCAATACGTTTACCATATGCACAGTCGGCACATGTATTCGTTGATAGCGCATCTAGTGCAGATCGTAGAAAAGCGTACACGCTGTTCAGTAAACCGGTTTCACTGCAACGAAGCGGTGACCTCCTCGTGCTTGAGAATGCTTTAAACTGTGACAAGTATTTTATGTGTTCACGTTCATAGAAACTGTCGGCTGGCACGTTAGTGAACAGGATCAACAATCCGGTGGGGTTTAAACAGAAATTGAGAACGTTGCTGGTGTGATGGACGAAGAAGAAATCGACGGCGTGAAGTCGCCCATCAAGAGGCTTGGCTCCACGCGGAAGCTGCTCGTATTTAACAGTAAGTTGCACTCACGCACTTGTCATATCTCTCTCTCTTCCTCTCTCTCTGCTTCCGTCTTTTGCTTATTCTACTCGCTTGCTACTTTTTTCCCTCTTTTTATTCACAGAGAAAGTTAATTTTTCTGTAAACGGTGTATCCTGTGCCGATCATAAGTTCGTTTCTTCTCATTCGAATTTGAAATTAATGAAATTTATTACGACAATTTTTCTTATTATCTGTAATGATTTTATGAAAATACTAAATTATATACTTTGTCTGGAGAGAGTTAAATTTATTTGCGGCTTGATTCAAGTCAAAGGTCAATTTGTTTCGATAAAATACGTATCTACATCCATTAAGATGCGTCTATCCGATTGATCAAAAAGATACAATCTCTGCTTTAGTCGACCGTTAATAATGTTACATAGTTGTTTTTCTAACGTGGAAAAAGCTTGGCAAGTGTGTAGCAGATGTTAGAAAATCTTGTAGCACGGAACCTGATGCTGCGAGCATAGCAGCGCTAGAATAACGTGAACATGTCGATTCTTTTATTTAAAGAAAGATCTTATTTATGCACTGTGCTTTCACCTCGCAATATTTGCTTGGAAATATTAAGTGCAGTGGTATTCTTGCAACCTAATATCCGGTACTGCGGGATACTAAAAATGATTGTCATTTTTTCAAATAATGATGTACGAATCTTATAATCAGATGAAAAATGTTCGTCATAATGAGAATTTCTCAAAAATAAGTAGTTGTTTGGCGTTATCGGTGTGAACCATTGTACCGGATAATTAAGCGGAGCCTATAATACCTTCTGTGGAATGCTGGTGCTTACAAAGGTTGCGTTAGACATTCTTATTTACTGGTGCACTCGTATTACGTTGGAGAGGTAATAGCCTTTAGTTATGGCGTTACCAACGTATGCTATAAATTATATGATTCTTTTGATTTTCCCAGTAAATTGCATAATTTTCAAATTGAATAATTTCAATGAGAAATCATTATATATAGATATGTAGATAAAAAACGTGCATTTTATGGGATCGATGAATGATCGTGTAACACCAATTGGTTTTCGATGGAACAAATTGAGGTGCTTGCACGTCTTTCAGTTGAAGTGTTGGCACGGCGCTCTTGAAATTGCCTCGTCTGCATATTAAAGTCGTGGGAAGTAACAGGGATAGGTTTCATGGCATTCTACGTTCGCGTAAAAACTCTCACATACTCGGCATTGTCAACTTATATCTATCATTCCATTATTCCCTGTCTCAAACACGACTCGTTCGTGACATGCAACAATCAATGTTTGTTAACTAAAGCTAAATAGAATTACTTTACCGACGAATAAAATTAAATATATATACTTCATGCTATTATTTTAATAAGAGTATTCTATGTATTCGAGCAAAAATTCTTAGAAAAACGTAGATCCGATACCCGTCCCCTTATTTCCGTTTACAAAATTTCAAGATTCTTTTTATTTTATTTTAACGTTCGTTGTTCCTTTCTCTCTTCGCTCCTTTCCTCTGTCCGATGAATACATGCACGCGTTAGAAAACATTTTCAGGCACGTCGCGTGGTTGTATATGTGCTTATGTATTCTTTCATTCCCTTACGCGCATGCGTACATTTCCGTTGTTCATCGGGGTACCCCCTCCACGCGTCGTGCGTGCCTGCGTCGACCGTTTCTTTTGTGCATTTTCATTTTTGTGTTTATGTCCGTTCGTACGGTTGCAACATTGTCTGTTTCAATATTGATTTCACCGTGCATTACCGATGCATTAGAATATTCACCAGCGTAGACAGCAGTAGATAATAAACATGTTTACAAATGTTGTTTACCTGGTAAGATATTTTAGGATTCAAGCATGCATTACGTATGAAAATCAAATTTATTGAACGGCACGGTATTTTCGTACGATTATAATTATTGGATTACGAATGTTTATGCAAATGCGAATTTTTATACGAAACCTAAATATTCCAATGAATGTTAATTAAAATAATTAACAGTTCCATGAATATTAAAATTAGTACCAGTGAAAAGCTACATATCAAAAGGGAAATCAATTTTCCTTTTTTTAAATTTATTTTAGAGATAAGTTCACACGAGAAATCTGAACAAAATAAAGAACTGAAAGTGAACCTCGTTTCCTGCTTTCCGCGACAGATGTTTTTACCAACATACCATTTTTAGACTGAAAGGATATCTGTCTTGTACGATCAAGCACGTGTCTTCTTTTAGGCTGCTGTATTACCATTACGTATTTTATTTCTGAATAAAAAGGAGATCAATTTTTCTTCCTCTATCTATAAATATCAGGCATGTTTCAGCTTTTGAAATTGTGGAAAATAACATACACGTTCAAGTGTAATTTTTTTTATGTACGTGTGTAAGTACTAGGCCATCCATTTCAGTTCAGCTCATTAACGATGAAGTCCGAACAGGATACAACAAAGACATTACAAAGAAACCGTGTAGCTCTTTTATCATTGTTAGATCAATTAACTCGCAGTGTGCGTAAATTTTAATCTAGATACATGACACGATTGTCGAAAGGAACCATTAATTGAGATTAATCGTTCGAAAATAGATCGAATAATTCGTTCGTAATGATGATCAATTGTTGTGCATCCCCGATACTTTTACGTTCTGAAAACTATAATAGATTCTGAAAGTGTTTTTAGTTTTTATTCAGAATATTTGATCCAGGATCGTAGAAGGTAAAGCGAGAATTCTGTATCGGAAATAACTGTTTCAGCTTGACACGAATTTGATGGGTCAATGAAGAGTTTCGGATAAGCACACGGTAAGAAGGCCAAGTGGTACTGAATTTGCACGCTTATCTGGACGAAGGTCGGAACCCCGAACGAATTGTGGCTTTAAAATAGCAGTGCTACGTAATGATCACATGCATAGAAGGTTCACTTTTAGAATAGTCACACGCTGAATGAACTTCAGCCATGTCCTATACTTAACTAGTGATTCTTGTTTCGTGTGAAAACTAGCGTCCAAAAAACCTGGGTAAAATAGTATTTCAAATAAAAAGTAAAAAAAAAAAAGGAGAAACATCTTGAACTTTTTGAGAAGTCAGAAAGATTAGATAACACGCTCTTGCAGTTTTCATACATGCACTTTTTTGTGTGCCCAATACCCTTAAGAAATAAAGGGTTGTCCAGACTTACTGCGGATACTCTACTATAGGTATAGAGTGTCGTAAAATCGGTCAGGCGTTAAAGTACATGAAATCCAATCTGACACTTCAACCAAAATGGTTGAAATAAATTTTTACACACGGCCAACCTCGACTACCCCTAAGGAAATTTTGGCTGTAACATAACTGTTCCAGTGCTAAAGCTAGCACTCTGGTAATCCTGAAGTCGTCACTAAAGGAATTAAACATTTGTTGACCAAATTGACATTATAGTGTATAGTGTGCGTGGCTGTTGTGTTAAATAACGGCCTCGAAATGAAGAACGACACGATTCCACGTGGAGAGACGAGTCACAGAGAGACAGGACGAAGAAGAAGAGCAGCGCGCAGGGAATATCGTACACACGGTGGACACGTGCACTCGGGTTTGATCAGAGTCACAGTCACGGTCACGCTTCGAGGGTTGGACGAGTCTATATAGAACAGCGCGATGGGTGAGCCGGTGGTACAGGAATATGTTCGAGCGGGATAGACGAGGAGAGAAACAAAAGCCGTGGCGCGAGTAACTCATTGATTCCCCTACCCGAGTATACGGCCGTCTCTTTTCCACCGATTCAGTTGCTTTATTGCGATTGTTTCGTCTCTTTCTCACTTGGTCTCTCATTAACCCTCTCCCTCTTGGCTAATGGTGTCTCTCTCTCTTGAACGCGCGATATACTTTCCGCTCGATGCTTCCACAACGGTATTACGCGATTCAGTTGATTTCGAAACGGTGCATCGGAAGGTGGAGTTTCTCTGGTAATCAGTTTTCTACAGACGCGTCCCCTTTTTCCGTTCACGAGTGAAACGTAGAAAGTTCCCGGTTATTTCGACCCGGTGGTTCCCTTTTTTCCTGCGTCCATCGCGACCGAGATCCGCTGGTATCTTAGAATCGTTGCGTCTGTTGTGAAAATTGTTTTGAAGACGTGCCAGTACTCTGCAAACAAATCGCATCGAGAAATAGAATAAACGGGTCTATTTCGTTTCCAATTAAATGTTTTCTTCCGTATTTCAGGTAGCCTTAATTCAACTATGTATTTATCTTCCGCAAATTCACTATAAAGTAGATGCCCAGTGCAAGATACGGGGCTGAAGGAGCTTCCTTGGTTTGACCTCGTACCGAATCGACATACGCTAACGTTGCACCCACGCTAGTCCTTTTATCAAGTCCGATCGTATACGAAAATACGATAATCTTTTGTGCAAGTAATTAGAAGTACAGTGTTTAATGTCGCATGCATAGTAAAAATTCCAAAATATTGATCAATCTTGCGCAATGTTAATTAGACGAAAATGAAGAGATACCGTGACACGAAAGTTGCTTCATTTCATTCTTAACATTAATGGAGGAACAGATTTTCCAAATTTTCTTTCCATCAGTATCGTATTTTCGTTGGCGCAGCAGATCGGTGTGCGGTCGGCCTAAAGTCATCGGCCAAGGTACGAGAGAATCCTCTGCGTTCCGGAGGATGCAGGGGGTGGCAAGTTGGCAAAAGAGGAACCGGTGTGCTGCGCCTCTGATGGGAAGGAGAGACAGCAACGGCGAGCCGGGGGAGAAGGTGGGGCGCGGAGGTTAGCGGCGGACGAGAGAAGAGCACCGGTACGAAACCGAGACGGAGGAACAGGGAGAGCTGGACAAAGAGAGAACGAGTGTAAAGGGAGGGAGACTTGAGAGAGAGAGAAAGAAAATCCGGTTGCCTGGCGACGAGCCATCTAGTTCGATCCCAGCCAGCCGACCAGCCACCCTCTGGACGCAGGAGCAACGAGAGAAGGCGACTACCTTTTGCCTTCCTTTCCTTTTTCTTGTCATTCTTAACTTTTCTACACCGCCGCGCCTTTATTTCCCCAGGCTGCGCTGGATACCCTCCGCGCTCAACCCCCTCCGTTTTTCGTGTTAACATAGTACGTCGGCTTGCTGTACCGTTCGGATGATAATGAGTTTCGGTTAGTCCGACAGAAGAGAACTGCAGGTTTCAACCGAGCCTAGTGGTGGTCGATCAAGAGTGAAACGTGTGTGCATCGAATGTGGAATCGTTCGGAGCGGTGTTTCATTTTGTTGCGAAGATGAGAGTGGTCATTAGAATCGGCTACCGCGGGGGAAGCCTCGTTTGAAGGGAAGGAAACAAGAAAGAGTAACCTCGTTGATGGGAGATCGAGCGAGCGTAAGGGGGATAAAAACAGCGGAAAGTGTGCGTGTGGATGTACACACATGTGCGAAAAGAGAGGAGAGAGCCAAGCATCGAGGAGAAGCGAAACCAATATTGCTAGAAAGATGAAGTTCTTCGGCCCTTGTGATTTTTGTTACGCAATGGAGATCTTGAAACTCCTCGACGTACTTCGATGGAACGTAATCGGGAAATAACTAGGGAAATGCAAGACTTCACCAGCGTTATGATAGCTGGAAACGATTTTGAAGAAAGAAATATAGTGTCTCGGTAGTAATGCATTGCCAGACAGACATGTTCTAGAAAGAAATTTTCATCAAGGAATTGTGCACGGCTGGCTACTTTGTTGTACGATAAGTTCAATCGATAATTAACAAAGAAATCGATGTTGACCACTGAATTGATGTTGCGAACAATTCGAGTGCTCTAGGGATATTTTTAAAAGGAACAGAGGGAGAGAAGTTGGCCCATTGAAAGAGCTTGCCAACTATAACGGATCTCGCATCTTTTTTCACCCTGTTTCCTCGTCTTTCTTTTTTTTTTCTTTCTCTCTTCCTCTTGTTCGGTCGTTCGTTACAGCCGATCAACGCGAATCGAAACCTACGCATAGGCCAGCAACATGTTCCAGTGCATTATTCAGCAAAGGAACGGATGGATTCATCCTTATAACCCCGACACCAAGGACGTATTTCCAGGTATAGTTTATTAGATGCAAATACATTTTATTTTTTCATTGCATCTGAAGTAGCTGGGGATGATAAAATAAAGCGAAGTATCAGTAGTTGGTCGTTTATTATAATTCGAGTCTCTAATCGTAAGTAGGCTATCAAGTTAACTTCTTTTTTTTTTTTTTCAATTTGTTTGCGTTCAAGTAATCTTCGCTTCGCTCCGTTCATTTCACGTTGCTTATATCGACCTCATCTTCCCATTTCCGTTTTAAAACCATCATCGTACGGTTTTTGTTCTCTGAATCTCTATCTTTCTATGCACTGTAGGTATTCTTTTGATTTCATGCCTATATCGTATTCGCACAATGTGCGCGCGTTATACAATATTGGAAATTCTAGATAGGTTAGGATATCTAATGCCACTGGTTGCTGTAGAGCCGTGCGAACATTCGTTTAGATGTATAGAATTTCTCTGTTCGCGTTACTTGGAATGCAAGAAAAGCTGTACAATAGCGATCAAAACAGAAAATCTTGAAGATTCCGATCGGATCGGAAGAAGTCGGACGGCTACTCGATCGAACCCACTCGACTTCATTCGATTGAACCCGATCTCTGATACATCATAATCTTTTATCGTCAGATTAGATTTCCATATTATTTAAACGCTACTGTATATTTTCATTATTTTTACTAATTGAATTACAAAATATCACGTTGAAAAGGAAACGTGAAAGGATGCGTATTCCCGTAAGTTTCGCGAAAGTTTGAATTCCCTAAACGATTGAAGTCACGCTTCCGTGACGCCACTGTTTCCGAGCAGTTACGTGTATATCCGTTTAGTGAACGAATTCGTTTCTACCATATGGCGTTACGAACTGGGAGCAAACTAGTTTCCGGTTGAGACGATCGTGAAGGTCTCGCTAACATGTCACATGGAAAATCTAAGGGTTCCATATGGCTTCCTGATCGTTTGCACTTGTGTAATCCGTTTGAATGATTACCTCGTCAAGATTTTGGTATCGAATTCTTTTATTTCGAATAACGAATAAATAGTATCGTAAAGAAAGAAAAACTATGGATAATTAGTAACGTGATGTTAGTCGCAAAGTACACATCTAATGAGTAATTTTCGTTGCGATACTATTCAGAGTACTATCTTTCGGCTTCCTATTACAGCACTGTTTCTAGCTGGCCACATACACGCGAGTTTCGACACAATTACAGTTCGTTGGTGTGCTTCAGAATTGAGATAACGAAAAGCGAACTAAACCGACGACGCAATAACCATTTAACGCTTCCCTTCAATTCGTACAGGAAGGAAGCTGATAGAGAAACATTGCACTGCATATCAATTTATGACTCGTGTGTGAAGATTCTCCCTCCATCTTCCTACCAATGTCATCCTAATTACATCTCTTCGATCCCACCGGTGGCATTATATCGCTAAATGAAAAAATAATTTTCTTCCTTATTTTTTCTAAACAGTTTTAAATATATTAAATCGTTAAATTTTTTTCATTAAAAATGTTATCTTTTTATATTGTCTTTGCAAACAAGTAGCTTAAAAGGCGACAATATCAATATTTGTTATCTCAAATAACAATTATCGATTTCTTTGTTTACTTGATATAATTGATAAGCCAATATGTCACTAAAATCGTTCATTTACTTCTACGTTTCATTTTTCGTCTGGTGGTATAATTGTAAAAAATTTAATTCAATAAAGCCGTCAACAAATTGTGCGCATGACGTGTTTGCTCATGCGACGGTATCACGAACGATAACGTGGTAATTGGCAACTAACTTGCCAATTGCCGTGGCCACCTCCCTTCTAAATCTGTCGCTACTGAATCACGTGGCTTTCCCAAATATTGTTCAACGCCGTCTCCATTTATGAAGCTGAGAGTATACTCCAAGAAACTTGCATCTTCCTGTTTAATTATCCTGACAAGAAGATATTTTTATTTCATAAATTCTAAATATTTTCCTGGCATTTCGGTTTCCCTGATAACGTCCACTTTGCCGCGATAATTTCGCGTTGCTTATCAGTAAATTGACCAACGTTCTTTTGTTTAGTATGTTTCTTACTTCGCATATTAAGACATCGCGCATCTTAAATGACAATTTTCGGTCAGTATGGCGTTCCAGGAATATTATATTTAAATAAAACGTTGCTGAGCCAGCGGTCAGGTCTTTGCGGTTCAATCGTAACCATTTAAATCTTGTTACTCGAAATGTTTAATTACTATTTTACTTCTAAATTAACGTTATAAAAAGTAATGAAAAATGAAAAAAAAAAGAAAAAAAAAATTCAATTCAATTGATCATTCTTTCTCTCGTTAATACTTTATAGAGATCACAGCGTGTACCGCTGGCTTAATGGCGTTCGCGCAAGTGTAAACGCACACGAACGCGTCAAGTTAAGACGGATATGTGTACGTGTACGGTAATGCACAGCGGTAGGCGTAGAGAGGAAGGCGCGTGCGTGTAGGCCTTGCTGGTAATTGTGGTTAATTTAACGACAGTCAAAGCAACGACTAGCTGTCCTTACTGGTCAGTTCACGCGGCCAAGTCCCTCTCGACTGGTCGGTCAATGTGCAATACTGTAGCGGTCACTTAAACCGCACGGCCGCTGTTATTTGCCCGGGTATACAGTCCCGTCCTGATTTGCCTAGGAACGTGAAACGCTTTGCCAATTTCGCGGCATCGGTTGCTTCGAACTTTATGACACGATATCCACGGTTATTTCGCAACGGTCTCGGTCGAGTTAACGCCAGCCATCGACAGGAAACGGTCTCGATCGAGTTTCGTCCGATTCGCAGTTTCAGTACAGTGTTGCCTCTTTCCCGGATCCCTTCCCCTCCCTGTGCGTATTATTCTGCCGAAGAATATTTATGAACAGGAAAATAAAGGACATTTAACGGTGGCAACTGTGCACGGTTACCGAACTCTCACATGTAAATTCCTTTGAGCCCCGAAGCTCCGTTGCGGATACGTAACCTCGATAATCAAAACAACGCCGGATATACGTGTCGCGAGTGATCTAGTGATTCGGTGTTCAATTTATCGTGGCTCGATGATATTTTTTCCGTTAAACACGCATGACATTTACGGTAATTCCCGTTTACAGTTCACCGGTCGCGTTTTTTTACTGTACGCGGAGCACGAGGAATGAATGCGTGCGAATGCAACTGGTTTCGTGGCTTAATATTTCTTTTAATACAGTAGGAATAAAGTGTTCGAGGCAACAGCTGAGTCGAACTTTTCTTGTCTGCTGCACAAAAGTCGTCTGAGTCATAGAAAGATATATTTATGTTTTGAACGAACAGCATCGTATTACTGGTCGCGAAACCGTTTGCGTTAGGATTGAACGTGGCAAAAGGCGAGGTAAAAACAGCCGACTACAGAAACTGCTAACCTATGTTTGATCAGCTAATCGAGGAACTAGTATGGCGGCCAGTTGTTACTGATAAATCCTTTTTCAAAATACCAACCGCTTAAGTATTCGTATTTTTCTTCTTAACATTACAAAATTGTCCACAACCGCTACTTTACTCGGCCATTATGTACTTGAAGAAATAATAAGGATTCAACTCAATTGAATAAAACAAAAAGTTAATTGTAATTTAGAGGGAATTCACTTTAGTGAACAAAAGAAGTGAACGACCTCTATTTTTATTTTGTAAAATATGTTTCTGTTTTTACTAACGCGCTAATAAAGTCGATGTCCAGTATAGTGGACAAAGACAGGGAATGGGTAGATCCTTTCTCTTTTCGATTGAATCTAGTCCAGTTACAATCAATATCTCACCTGTTCGTTGAAAACAGGAATTTGTGCCGTAAAATAATTCGTATCGATAAGCAAGAACAGTAGATGCAATCAATGTTTTAACCCACGGTTATCGATATCTTGAATCTTTATTTTTTTTACACTATAAATTAATTTTATTAGGATTTTATAACTCTCAAGAGTGGGCGATCGGGTTCCCCTTTGGATTCGCCACTGCTTCAAGTGTGTCAAACGAAACGGTGTGGTCAAAAGTACATTTTAATTTAAGGGCAATTGTGCTACAGTCAGACGCTTTCAATCGACCGTGGGCGTTTGATTCGTTGACGAACAAACGAATGAACGAACCCACGGACGAACTATTTTCTTCTATCTTCTATTGTCAGACGTACAACTTCCCTTTCCGCTGCTGCTGCTTCGCTGCATGTTATTAAAATTGCTCCGTTTTAATCACTGTCTGTTGCACAATACGTATTGATACCTCGGTGACGATGATTAATCGTACGTCTGCGAATCTGATTGACTGCTACGGTATTTTGTGATTGCACCGTGATGAATAATGCAAAAATATAAGATCATAGTAAATTCCAATGTATTCCACTGACGGAAGTTTTTATTGTATGACAGAACGTTCAAACAAACCGTCATGGAAATTAAGAAATTTTTATATAATAGAATGTCATTAAGGTAGATTTTCATGGAAATACATACGCGTTCGTATCTTCTTGACGAGTACTTAAATGTTCACTCTTAGATAATCAGTAATTCCGATACATTCTGATAGTATGAGTTGAAAGTTATGGCAAGTTTCCATATTTTCGTCCAGTCAGATAAAATTAGGTTCAGCTTAATTATTTATTCAAAGCAGGAAGTTGTTTAAGTGCATGAATAATTTAAAGGTTATCGAACAATCATCCACTGGATTCATTGTATGGAGATCTGCATATAATGATGTTGGAAACTAGACCAGACTGTGGTTCTGAATAAGCTCGTAGAAAATTGATGCAGTGATTTATCACCGTACTTTAACCATAATCTTTCTATTTCAAAAAATGGTAAATCAAAATTTTGTCCAAACGGCATTCTACACAAGCAAATAAATATAGAACTCTAACTACATCTATTTATACAGAGATAACAATATTTGTACGCATTATCAAAAAGTACATATTCAAAACCTTAACGCGTGATTAATATTTGTGTACTTAGTAAAATAATTAATTTGTAAGAAATTAATTCTAATCGTCTAATATCTAGCTCGTTATTTAATTGCCTGTTTAAAGAAGCTATTTGTTGGACAATTTTGAAAAATGAAATTGATAAGATTACATCTTGCAGCGATATAAATAAAAATGGAAGTGATCTTTCATATTTATTAAATAATAAGGTTTTGCCCTATTAAGAACATCCTCGGTAGGCAGCTTAAAAATAGTCTTTTGCGCATCCATCGCGCTATGAAAACAGGGCTTGTAGTTCTTTGAGAACTTCACGCACAGCGTGCATCATCTAACCTATCAGAGCCGATAATCGCGAAACAAAAGCTTGCAAGGGAACGAGAGCGAGGGCTGATCGTTGCATTCTATTAACAGAATCCTTTCTCGAGTTATAACGGCCCGTGAAACTCATAGGAGTTGCAATTTTTTTTTTTTTTTTTTTTTATATGCCAGCGCGCTTTCAGTTTTCTAGCACGCGATACGAGGCACATTTTTCTATGCTTTGTTGATCGTGAAACGTCATATGGAAATGTACATATTCCGTTTCAGTCAGTATCATTTCAACAGAATCAAAGAGCCGAGTTTTATCAACCTTTCATAGTATCTTTTGTAGTTCTAACCAAGGTTATAAAAGTGTCATGTTGAAAAAAAATAGGTAGCATTTAAAAAGAAATGATTTTCACATAATTTTCATAGAAGAAGGCTATAGCACTGTTATAAATTCGATGCTTAAATTCTCGCTTCGCCTGAGTTTCTTCACGCCAAACGATTAAACTAGCGTTAACAACCATAACTATCTAAAGATCATCTCGAACACTATCGCTTTTGTTTTCATTCCTCGAATCATCGTGTAAACGCGCCATAACATTTTTATCGGGCATTATCATTTCCATTATGTAACTATTATTTTCCAGCGATCCGTTCATAATACATCTGTCTGTCGGTATCATCGCAACAATTAACGGGATTATTATAGTTTGTCGAGTTAACTGCAACGAGCTCGCGATTAGATTATAGTTTTCTTCGGCTTTGCTCGTTCCATCCCCGCTCCATCGATGCTCTCGCGCCGAATCTAACACGCCTCTGACGAATATAATTTAGATGAGATCGTTTGTCGAAGCCGAGAAATGTCAAAGATCACGGCAGAGTGATCCAGGTGCAACCACGATCCTCTTCTTCGAGAAACTGGCCGATTCGTTAAATGGGAAGTAGTTTGACGACGTGTTGAATAGCGTGAAAATAAAAAAAAAAAATAATAATAAAAAACGTGAACTACGTGTTGTGTTGTTGAGAAACAGAAAAGTGATTTGTGCACGACAAGGACAATCGCCATCAACGGAAATCAGTGGAGGGTTCACGGATCACAGGGAAAAATGTTCAAGCTCGCCGGACGCCAAGAATGGGAGGCTTTGACGAAAGGTAAATGGCGTAGCCGTTTACGAACCGTAACCATTATCAGTTCCCACGGGGTGTGAACTTTATTGTGTTGAATGGGGTGGTTGAGTGGGGAATAGGTGCATGGTTCCTGCAGTATACGTATGTTTTCAGAACCTGGCACAATTCGATGTCCGTGCACCAAGTTGTATTAGTATAATCCAGGAATTGTATCAGGGTAGTCTCCCCGGACGATGCGATGCATCGTGTCAGTTTTACGTCATAAACGTGTTAAGAATCTCCGTATACAGGATGTTTCCATCTAACGTCACCCCTAATAAGTTATACACCTCACTTCAGAAAATGACAATAATCTGGGACCTTTTGTCACAGTATAGTTTGGCCCAGTTGCGTGGTACACCCTGTATAGGGAAATTCCTAGTAACATACTCCATGAACGTGTAAAGGCTTGTTAAAATCTTTGGGGAAGATCCAGGTCCCTTTGTGAACGAACAACTGACACAGTAAGCACTATAGACAGTGAGAGAGGTCGTTCACCCTTGGTCCTTGCAGGCCTACACAATAAGTAGTGCACCGGGCAAGGATGCCCTTCAGTACCCATAGGCAAAACAAAGGGCATCTCTAGGCAGGGGTGTAACCACCCCCATTAGTATTTAGCACTTTATGGAATATGCTCGCAATAAAATAGTTATCCTTAAGTTAGTCAGAAAATCGGATGCCCATCGCAGGCTCCTCTATCTACACCACATTACGTCTCCCATCGACATGTTCAGTTATAAAAAACACCCTATTGTATCTTTTATTGGTAAAATCAACTAAAAGTTTTTGAATGGGTCATCGGGCGGCACACGCAGGACAGAACCCGTTGACCGTTCGTTCTTGTGAACCAAACGCATGCTGCACATTGTTATTAAGGCCGATTATGTAACGTCGATAACCATGTAGAGCATAAAGGCGTGTGCTATTATAATTCGAATAAAAATACCACTCTGGTGGGATAGAAAACATCTGAAGCGTCGAAAGCAACGGCTTTTCAGAGGAAATTACCACGGACCTGTGTATCCTCTTTCTACGGTTGCCCTAACCCGCCTTCTGATCAATGCCTGCAACCCGGCATATGCCCCGACGTGCAGCGAACTGCGTTTATTTACCTTCTTGAGGGACGTAGGTCGATTCATGCGTTCCAACCCCTCGGAGGGTTTGAAAATCTCCTGGCCACTTGGGGAATGAATCACACACCACGGAAGCACGAAAAATCGATAAGTTCCGAACTGAATTCGGGAGCAAATGGTGCGAGTTTGTTAAAGAAGACCTAAGTTCAAGGGAAGATTTTTTTTTTTCAATTTCCTAAAAACGTGAGAAATCGTCCGGTTTCACTGAAGCCTCTTAGGGTCTTTTTCTTTCCTAAATTTGTTTAATTTGATTTTGACGAAATTTCCAAATTGAAACATATAAATAAATAATTAATTTGTACAGTTGCTTTGTTCTCTAGGAAACGCTATCGTTTCCTTTCCGTACCATCAGGAAATACCATAGCTCGTTAAGTTTTTATGGGCAACGTTTCTCTGCTCTTTTTCTGATCCCATTTCAACTTCTTCTGCTTTGTGTTGTTTCTTCTCTCGAATGCTATAAAGAGAATCGTTTAATCCATGAGAAAGGGGTCGGTAGAAATGGTTTGCTCTCTTCCCTCCAGTCACAATGACCTTCATTGATTCATTGATTAGATGCAAATTATAGGGAACCCTAGAATCTAAAGTTCCAGCTTTGTCTAGTTAGGTCAGTGACACAGGGTAATGCAGGACTTGAAACAACAATCATGACTTTCAAAGTATTGTTCATTTTATTTAATTTCATTTAATTTCAGCAATAAATATTGTTTATTATTTTGTATCATTTCTGGTTTTCAATAAATATTGTTTTATTTATGTTCAACCCTTTATTCCTTGTTTAATTTTCTCTTAAAAAATTTTGCATTTTTAAATTGTTTATTTGATTTCTAAAAATTATAACCGTTGTAGTATAACAATATTATACAATGTCTAAAATAAAAAATTATTTGTTACCACTTAAAATCATATTTCTTTCCAAAATTAAAGAAAAATCGTGTAACGAAGAGTAAAACTGAACGTGTTCGAGGAAAGGCGCAAATAAATAAAATGAAAGGACGATCGAATCCAGACCGTTACGAGTCGTCTCCCCCGACAGTAAATTCGTTTGTAACACGAAACATGTTGCAGCGAAGCCAACCCGATCGATTAACGAAAAAGGAAAGGCCAAGCAAAGTCTTTTATCCTTATCGTTTTCTTTCCATCTTTCAGACATACGGCTGCAGCTGAACGAACAGCTGAGATGTCTCGACATCAGGATGGAGGCCCAAGTCGCCCTCGTGGCGGAGCTTCAGGATTTTTTTCGAAGGAGAGCCGAGCTGGAGCTCGATTACAGCAAGTCTCTAGACAAGATGGCCAGAAGCATACAGCTCAGACACAAGGAGCAAAAGCAAAAGTATATATTATCCAGAAACTTTTAACTGGAGCTTAGATAAATTTCATACTTAATATTTTAATTAATAAAATAATCCTTAGGCGAGAACAATGGCCCCTATTCTCCAGCTACGCTTGCTGGCAACAACTTATCAACGAAACAAAATCCTTAAGCAGAGATCATGCAGCACTTTCGGAGGTCTACAGCACGCACCTCGTTGGTCGTCTCAACCAGGTGATGGAAGACGTACAGCGGATATACAAGCGTGTGAGTATGATCCAGGCATGGGCAGCAAATAGTAAGGCGGGCACACGGGCCATAACTATGGGCAAAGGAGGTGGCAAACGCGCAGTGACCCATGTGACCTATGACTTTTTTTTTTTTTTTATGTTTACGATAGAAGAATCCTTGTTTTTCAGTGCCGTGAGATAGGATACGAGACGCACGAGGAGATCCTCCGGGTGCTGCACGAGTTGCATACAACGATGAAAACGTACCAGGCTTACCAGGCAGAGTCCCGGCAAGCGGAAACAAAGCTTCGGGTGGCGGAACAGCAGCGCACCAAGCTCGAAGTGGCGAACGCCCCGCCCGAGAAACTGGCGCGCAGCAAGAAGTACAAGCTGATCGAGAAGGAAGTGAACAAGGTAGGGTGAAAATCTCAAGGCTATCCCCGAGCGCAGACGAGGAGGACTGGGTGCTCTCGTGTTTCGATTCAACTCTGTCGGCTGACCCTGGAAAGGGTCGAGTAGTACTTCAAGACACGGAGTATCGATTTCCGTCACGAAAGCTCTTGCCGTTGAAAACACGTGAACACAGAGGCCTCGTTGAATAAAGCACTGTTTCATTCATCTCACGTCGAAGTTTCACGGCGTTCCGTCACTTTTAGAACCCTGTTGATCTATCGCTCGCATGCTTCGGACCTTAACACCTCACCGACCGGAAGTCTATTAATAGGCTTTTCGATACCAAGCGGTTATTCACTGGAAAGCAATTAATACGTCTTTCGCCGTTAATGGTTTCTCCATTATTCGATTGAAATAATATCATTTAATCGTGCTATAATTATCAGGACATTGATAAACATTATTGAATTTCTTGCTTACTTTAGAGGAAGAGCAAGTATCAGGAAGCGAAGCTGAAGGCGTTGAAAGCGAGAAACGAGTACATTTTGTGTCTCGAGGCATCAAACACGACAATACACAAATACTTTGTGGACGATCTGTCTGATCTCATTGATGTAAGTTATAGACTTAACAATTTTTAATATTTACTACAGTAAAGTAGAACGTTTCAACGTCATGATAAGCGTATCTATGAACTAATTACACTCGTTTGGAAACGACTTAAAAGAGCATTAATCTGGCTTCTTGATACCGTACACGTGACTCGATAGTGGGTCAGTGAATCGGTTGAGTCACCTGAAAATGTTAATCGTCTTTGGTGATTGATACTTTAAACAATCACTCACGTGTCCAATAACGAGCGCCCAAATTGCTCGCGGGCATTTGGACATCGATGGCTTACGAAATCATCAGTGATCATTGATATCATTTTTCTAGTGCATGGATTTTGGTTTTCACAATTGCATTGCCAGAGCGTTGCTAATGCACTGCAGTGCAGAAGAGGGTAGGCAACGTTCCTTGCAATCGGGTGCTGAACAACTGGCTTCCTGTGTCGGTGCTCTAGATTCGAGGGCGGATAAACAAAGGTTTCTAGAATCCCATCATTCTGCTTTTATGATCCCTAAGAAATTCGAGTTCCAAGGACAACGAGGGGACGAGGTATTTTGGCATAAAAATTCATTACTACATTGAGGACTACATTTGAATACTATAACTGATAAAATTCATCGGACCCTACAGACCCCAGAGCCTGAATTGCAAAAGCTATTGCACGCCGAGATGGAACAACGATTGACGCAATTGCAACAGAGAGTGACGTCCTTGAGAACCGAGTCTGAGGAAGTGTGGAAAACTTTAGAAACGGCAGAGGCCAGCCTGCTAGAAATGCTGACCGCGAAAGACTACGACTGCTCTAGATATTTTGGAGAGAACGCTGTGCCCACTTCTAGACCTCCTGAAACGATACAGATCAAGCTCAGAGCCGACAGACAGGAAACCGAAGAATTCTACCTCACGGTGGGTTCCAAGTTGAAGTATTCAACTGATCTTTAACTAACTTGTTATTAGTGCGTTGGTAATAAATAATCTGTTAATTGAAATTTTACAGAAATTCAGGGAATACCTTCTTGGAACCTCAAGAATAGCTAGGTTAGACGCGAAGCAAGAATACATTCGACAGAGCCTACTAGATGGCTCCACTGCTAGCCCAAACCCATCAATATCGGCAACGAAACAAAAACAGGCACGAAGGAAACGAATCGGTAGATTACAGATGAACGGCCAACCAAAACTATTCGGTGGCTCGTTAGAAGAATACTTAGAAAGCACAAATCAAGAAATTCCTTTGATCATGAAGAGCTGCATTAGAGTAATCAATCTGTACGGTCTACATCATCAGGGTATCTTTCGTGTTTCGGGCTCCCAAGTAGAAATCAACAACTTCCGGGAATGGTTTGAGAGGGGAGAAGATCCTTTGGCCGATGTAACAGATGCATCGGACATTAATAGTGTTGCCGGTGTATTGAAACTTTATTTAAGAGAATTGAGAGAGCCACTTTTCCCAATTATTTACTTTGAACATTTAATGGAGTTAGCACAGTTGGAATCGAAGCAGGAGTTCGTTAATAAGATGAAGGAACTAATTGCGAGTCTTCCAAGACCGGTCGTCATTGTAATGCGATATCTTTTCGCCTTTCTAAATCAGTAAGCATCGCCATTTCTTTCGGATGAATATTTAAATATCCTAGTGTTTACAACAGGCATGCACGAGTAATATTGCAGGGGTGTCCAAGTAAAATGTATATATTTCTTTTTTCAAATAGCCTTTCAGAATTTTCGGATGAGAACATGATGGACCCCTACAATTTAGCTATCTGCTTCGGTCCTACTTTAGTACCAGTTCCCGAGGACAAGGATCAGGTGCAGTACCAAAATCAAGTAAACGAACTGATCAAAAACATCATCACATTCTGTGAGGAAATATTCCCAGAAGACATTGGGGGTACTCAGTACGAAAAATACATCAGTAGGGAACCAGACGACGTGTAAGTATATGTCGAAAGGTTATAAATTAATTTGTTAATAGATGATTCCTGATCGAAATAAATTGTTAATACAGAGACGTAGGAGACTCGCCAACGGATCAAGTCCAGGAAGACATGGACTCCGAAGTGTATCCATCCGAGGATGGTGAGTAAGATAATAATATTTAATTTGTTGCTCGGTATCCAACAACAGAGCGGGATCTACGTATTTTGTGTATTCCCAGAATCGGAAAACCTCGAAGCCACAGCGCAATTCGATTTCAATGCAAGGTCCGAAAGAGAGTTAAGCTTCAAAAAGGGGGATACCTTGACTCTATACACACAAGTCAGTAATGATTGGTGGCGAGGTGCCTTGGCTGGTAGAGAGGGGCTTATTCCCGATAAATATATTATGATCAAGATAAAGTAAGTGAGATTTAATCAGCCGCAGTGGCGAATTATTATCTTCGAAGAATGCCTTCTATTCAACTAGTGGCTGAATTTAGCAATCAAAAAGGGAATAAAACTTCGATCAATCGAAATTTTCCTACATCAACAAAATGTTGATTAGGTTTAAAATGCTTCTTTAGTCTAATCACTTTCAAGGAATAAACCTTGTTTCCCGTATGATCCTTTCCACTGTCCATCGCTTTACATGTTGTACTGTACAAAGTATTTCTATAAGATGTATACACGCTTTGAATGTTAATATTAAACTAGTGTGTTAAACGGCTTTCTTTTCTGTGTCTTCATTTATTTGGTCGTTTTGAACATTTATAAACAGCAAATTAGTGCCTTTACGATAATAAAATGTGTATACATTTTATTGGGACACTGCATTGTAAACTTGTGGTATTTCTAAGCTATAATTATAGTTTTTATTTAAATAAACCTACTGCAGGGGGACTTTTCGAACTTCTTTTTTTTTCAATGCAAATCATAAAGCTTTTTTTATAAAATCAGCTTAACTAAGCCTTTTTCTATCAACCATTTCTGCGCTATAAAAAGTTTCATATCGTTTGTTCAGGGATGAAGAACGCGAAAAGGAACTTCTAAAATCATCGAGCGAAGAGTCAATGCGAAGAAGAACTTCTAGCTCTGCCGATAGTGTTCTATCGAGTAACAACTCACCATTGATGGGACCGTCTGGGAATGCAGCTACTTGGTCGTCTAGTACCATGTCTGACACACCAGCTACCACGAATATAATATCAACAGACAATATCAGTAACAGCGGTGTGATCTCAACGATTGTGACAAATGTCCCTTGCATTTCTTCGGCCCAACCGATCATCAGCCGAGAGGTATTGGAAACTACCGTTTAGTATAATTACTTTATCCGACTTTTTCTTTTCATACATTCGTCTGCTTGTACATCTTCTGCGACGCACTGAAAAGATTTGAATTTCAAAGCACAAGTGCATGGCTATTGTGCTGATATTTGTTTTTTTTAAGTGCAATAGCAATGAGAGATTGGAATGCACATTGCCATTTAAGGCGCAGATTCGTTGCCTGTTACACCATGCCTAATAGAAATCAGCATCGCTTATTTTATGGGATCAAAATCACAAACGAACCTCTTTTATTTATTCAAACCCTTCGTTGCATGACTTTTTGTTTTATTTTCTGGAAGAATATACGGTTTTAAACGATAAATATTTTTCTATTTCAGAAGTTTCCTTTAAAAAAAATTCTATAATATCGAAGATTCGCAAATGCCTTCTCTAAGCGTGCATACACAGACGCGCACTGACGTAAGCGCTTTCGCTAAAAAATACAAGAATTTGCAAAAACATAATGCAACAAAGGGTTAAACCAAGACCAAGTATCGATCAGTAATTTAACTTGAGCAATGAGAATAAGTATTATTTTAGTTTTTCATGTTTCCAAAACATATAATTCTTTTTTTATTTTTCGTTGAATTATAATCTGTGATTTTATGATTCGACGAACTTGCCTTTACCAAATGACGGGAGACGAGTCTATGGCTATGTTAAGTTAAATTTACATTGAGATAGTTGTATCTCAGTTAACTGTAATAATTTGTACGATATGTTTTTTTGTAAATAAAATAGAAATATACATGTTTGTTGCTGCATGTGCCTCGGTCCCTTTGTCTTGTGCCGCCTTGTGTCCTTTGAGTCTTGCGTCACATATTATTTCTTTTGTGTATTGTTTACGAGTTTTCAATGTTAATAGTTGGGATGGTTTTTCCAGATATACGTTTAATCAGCCTTTAGTTGACAAGAAAAAAAAAAAGTTTCACGTAAATAGGTAGTGGGTGAAACGGACTAAAAACTGTTCGATAAAATTGCTGCCAGTGTTGTGTGGTTCTGTTGTCTATATTTTTCGTTTCATTAAAGGAGTGCATCTGTTTTTGTAACAGTTCAGTTGGTTTGTGAATCCTAGCATTCTGTAAAACAATTTCAGTCTATAGACGAAACCAAAATGGAATGCTACTCGCAGAGCCTACTTAACCAGTGGATATTCTTTTGGCTTAGGTGAGTAAAAATACATCTCACCCTCAGACCAGTTAATATTACGAACCTCTCATCGTTGGCATCTGTAGAGAGATAGGTATCAAATGCAGAGTTGTTGTCATGTTTACATATTTGCCTGCTTATATTCATCCTGTTCATTGTCAGTTTTACGAGCAGTTTTTAATCCCTCCCCTCCTGGCATGAATATCAATATTGTGCATTTATTAGGGATGCGCGGGTAGGCAGCTATGTCGGGTACCAGAGCTTTGGGTCAGCTCAGTAAAAGTCGGGCGGGATCGGGGGAAGATACTTTCGGGCCTTCCCCCGATCCCTCCCATAATCTACGGGACTCGCACATCCCTAGCATTTATGTATATTCACTTCCTTATTTCCATATTAATGCATGTAAATCTAAATTTTTATTTCTGTATTATATCATTCGTTTTCGGATATAAAAAGTATTCATCATTAACATTTCGCAATTCACCACATATGAAACATTAAAAATAAGGATGTTGGATATGTTCGAAATCTAATACATCTTTTGTCTTTTAATAAAAATAACAATCTGAAGAAGTTCCAGGGCACTACATATGCATAACGACACAGAATATAATTTGCACTTCATTGCAACAAACATGGTTGGTAACTTGGAAAACATCGCTAGCTTCCCCTTTACTACGTACCAGAACATTTCATTTCGAAACATTTACCTTGCAATTTATATTCAATTCACCTAATTGAATTGCTTTCAGGAATGTGGATCTCGCGTGGCAAAAGTGTCAACGCCTGAGAAAGAGAAGCACTCCTTCGCTTCAGACGCTACGCAAGTCATTGTTGGTAACAATGCAGAAAATGAAAAGACGGATTTTAGCGAGTCATCGATACAGCAACAGCAGCAACGTAACGAAGAAGCTGGAGGCGAAGAAGCGGAGCGTATCTCGTTACTGAATTTGGACGGCGGCGCAAAACGTGGAACAAGCAGGAAACAACATTGGAAATCTCAGAGTATGGGGGACACTGCGCAGCAAACGGTAAACCCTTTACAGACGAACACCGCTATCGCCCAAGAAGAGGAACCTCAAGAACAACCAACTTTCTCGGCAAATCGGGAGCTCTGGCAGAGACGTGCAACGTCGCAAACACAATTGAATCCTCCCGTGCCTCCGAATCATAAGCTTTTCCGTTCTTCTCAAGAATTCCGTGAAATGCGTCAGAAACACACGCCGGATCTCGTGATGGATCTTCCTTTATCCGCGCAGGATGCAAGCAAAAAGTCTGCTTCGTCGAATAGTCTTAGTAGTTCCGACGAGGAGAGCCCTAACTTAAATCAGCCATCACGGGCGGAGGCAGCCACGTCGCCCACGGGAGGACCCGAGTCTCCCGACATGAGCACAGCCGCGGAACGGTTTGCCAAGCAAAATCAGTGCACCTTGAAGAAAAACACGAAAACAAATTCGGACGCGCCGAAATTGAAACGCGTCGAACCTGAGCACGAGCCCGAACAGGAGCCTGAGGATATGGTCAGATCATCCAGTTCCAATCAAATCTCAGATTCGATGCCCTTAAGGTCACCGCTTCCTTCGCGTTCGACGCCTAAGGTTGTCGCGAAGTTCGCGGATATGCACCTAAGCCGCGGTAGCCAGGTGTCCTCGTTCAAACCGCAGGTGAAGGTGAAGCCGACGATCCTCAGGAAACCGGTGCTGCCATTCCCGCATCCGCACATGAGTCCGGAGCTCGCAAGGAAGATCGAAAAGCAAGCGCAGAGCGCCGAACAGTCGAATTAATTGCTGCCAGGGTATTGGAGAGTTTTAGCAGCAAAAGATGTATTTATTTTTAGCAATCCATGCGTGTTTGAGTAAGGTTTCCAGGCGCGTAGATTTGCCATTGACTTTCCATTGACCAGTTACTCCGCCCAATCGCAAGGACATAAACGAAGTGTGTTAATTACTGTATCCAAGAAGAAAGGAAAGCCGGGCAGTATTGTTCCTTGGTACGATGATACGTTACATACCAGGTTCGATGCTACCCTCGGGCCGAGTTTATTTTTTCTACGACTATTTTCCATTTTCGCATAATTTTTTTACCAAATGACCCGCGAAACGATGTTTCTAGTCATCGAGAGACGATTGAAAAACGATGCGAGAAATGTGTGAGCGAGATAATACATCGAAAAAAAGAAAAATGAATTACAATTTCGAGGTTAAATAGTTATTTACCGTGAGAGTGAGTGTGTGAGAGAGGGAGAAAAAGATTTTGTACGTTGGACAATATGTAATTTATTACAAGGAATATTTCTTCTCAAGATGTATCAGTATGTTTGCAACAAACGTGTTCGATGTTCCTTTAAAATGCACGTGAGTGGGTATGAGTTAAACGAAAAAAAAAAAAGATAGCCTTTTCCGGAAGTTTCTTTCTTAGGAAGAATGAGTGAGATGATTTCGGGACCCGAAACCCGGCTTATTATTATTATTATTATTATTATTATTATTATTATTATTATTATTATTATTATTATTAGACATTGTAACATGTCACCGACGTCTTTAATTAAGAACTATACGACAATGATGTTCGATATATTCGAGAGTAATAAGTGTACAATAATGCACGAATATTTAACAATTCGACGTCAGCTTTAGGTATTTACTGATAATTCTGCTATGAAAAATTCAACGAAATAGGAAAAAAGCGATGTAACACCTCAACGTATTCATGCCCTTTTTCCTTATAACCCATTAAACAAAAAAAAAAGATTATACTCAATTAAATAATATACGTACAGTAACCCGATATTCAAGTATTCTATAATTATACTCGGAACAAAAAAAATTCGGAATGGGCATAAAGGGAGGTATTAGGTACCCGATATGTCGGATTTGGGTAAGGTTAGAAGAAGTCGGGCGAGTTCGGCTACACCAGGGTGCTTATGTATCGGTCTGAATCCGTCCTACTTTTTTCTAACTTACCCGACACATTCGGTTGTCCTCACACCCCTAATCGCAGCCCAAAGTAACAAGAATTGCGAATTCAGTTAGGGTGACTAACTTAATACTCTTTATAGTTACTGATTAAATATTAGTACTAAATATTATCACATTATACCCACCGCAATGAGAAATACCAAAGCCAATGAAATATTGTCCCTTTTTTTTCTTTTTTTGAATGTATCATATTTGTTGGAAGAACATGCTAAAGCTTCAATTCCTACGATGCGTTCGTTTTTATATTTCACAACGAAAGTTACATTTTTATAATAGTTTTTTCTATACTCTATTATATCGAATTGTTATTTGTGAGAGGATTCAGTGTAACTTAATACGTAATTTAATCTTGTTACGTCTTTATGTCAATTTGACCTATTCAGCAGAAACAGGAGCTTAATTTGACGATTTTCCGTTAGGGTTACTGATATTAATTTCAATAAAGAAACTTGCAGGCTGCACTAGCCGTCTCATGGAATAATTTTGAACACTCCTAATTTAATATTTGTACATACAGTACCGAGCAAGGTATGCATTCCCAGAGAAAATGGCGATGTCCCAAACTTTCCCCTTCCCGGGACTCCGACTCCTCTTCGGAGGTGACCTCAAGGAGAATGACGATGATAATTGAATTGATACTTTGCTTGATGCTATACATTTGTTCAAGGTATTTTATTTGATTTTTAACCAATTTTAAAAAAAGAAAAATTCTCTTTTTGTCAGTTAACGAAAAATAAAAACTTAAATGAAAATAAAATCGAAGACTTCTTTTTTAAAAGAAGTTTAAGTGTATTAGTTTTCACGTTAATTTATCACGTGTTTCAAATGTTTCGAAAACCATGTATTTCCTAGTTATTCACTTCGTTTTCCTGCAAACTATAATGACATTTCAAAGATGTTTCAGAACCAATCCCAGAAAGTGACAATAAACTAATAGAAAATGTGGAAAAATAAATACAAGATATAAAATCAGTTTCAATATTATCGATTATCTGTAAATATTTTTGATTTTGCTTCGTGCAATATAGAAAAACGTTTTGAAATAACTTAGTAATTTTCCGTGTATTACTAAATCCTGAAAACGTATAGAGGAAGAGTAGGAAAAGGTATATTTATACTTACTCCTAACTACTGCAAATACCTGCTGATCAGCTGATGTCAGCTGATATATCTATATATTGTTAAAGAAACGGTAGGAATATCGATGTATTTCTCGATTGTGCATGTTTATTAACGATAAAAATACTTTTGTTAGTTACCGTATTGACCATCATAATTGTAATGTCATTATTTCATTAAATTTAATTATTATTTAACATTCCTTTTGATTTCTTAAACAAGACGTATATATGCATGTAGCTATCGGCGATTATCTCAATTCATTGTACTGTTTGCAGATTGATAAATCAAAAGTGTTAGAAAAATAACACAATGTTGATTAATACATCACATACATTCGAAATAGAATACTGACCAGCAAAGGAAACTATCATTTGTAATTCTAAAATTTGTTCATTATAAATGTTTTCAATGCTAGAAATTGATAAAGGCTTTTGGATATGGAGATCAATGAAATTGTGAGAAACATTTTTGGATCCGATGTGCCCTTAGAGAGTCCTGTCACAAAATCTAAGAAGGAGAGCTCAAAACATTCAAGGTACTTTTAATAACTCATACCTTTTACCCTTAAATCAATATTTATTCAAATGTACATTTATATTTTAGGATATCAATTAATTTAAATTCTATAAATCAGTATATTGAAACTACCCTTGGGGAAAATGCTCCAATTGAAAATGTCCAAGATAATAGGGTTGGTCGATTGGGACCAAATGTGGTCAAGTTTGATATATCAACACACCAAGGGCTTTTTATAATTTCACCTAATAGACTTAGCGTTAACTCTCAAAGTAACTTCAGTACAATGAAAGCAAACGTAGCAGTGTATAAGGGAAAGTGGATGTATGAATTGCAGCTTGGATCTAAAGGTCTCATGCAAATTGGTTGGAGTACAGCTAAATGTGAATTTAATCAGCAATTGGGAGTTGGTAAGAGGAAATTAAATAACAATCATGTAATTATTTATCAGTTTTAACAAATGTATTTTCAGGAGACACTGTTAATTCCTATGCGTATGATGGAAATCGTGTTAGAAAATGGAATGTAGCTACGCATAAATATGGAGAGCCATGGCTTCCAGGAGATATTATTGCATGTGCAATAGATATGGATAATGGAACAATTGATTTCTGTAGAAATGGTAGAAACTTGGGTCGAGCATTTGAAAATATAACAACAGGTGCTGGTTTTGCATATTTTCCCACAGTGAGCCTTGCACTGACAGAAAATTTAACAGCCAATTTCGGTTCTACACCGATGCGCTATCCTATCGAAGGGTACGAACCTTTGCAAGCGGCACCGAAGCAACAAATAGATCAGGCTACACTGTTATTTAACTGGTTTCTGAGAATAACAGAAGTGATAAACGCAAGACAGAATGTGAACGATGAAAATACATTACGTGACGGGAATATGAGCGTTCAGGCCTATTTAATGTGTCTTACGAGATCCGTTGTAAAACACATAGGACCTCTTGTTACTGTACCATATATCGCAGAATATATTTTAGTTCCATTTATACAACAACTTTCTGAATCGAAAACAGATCCTCCTCTGTTGTTAACTTGTTTAGATTTGTTCTGGACATTTCTTGAAGAACACGAAATGAAAGTGTGTTTAGAAAGTACAGTTATGTATTTGTTATCCGCATTCAGACACGTTTCTTTGTTACTTGAATATCCTGATCAGTGTAAGAGTTTGCATCTGTTGACAAAAATCTGTCAACATTCGTCGACACGTCAATATTTATTGCAACATTTACTGTTTGATCGAGTAAGATTTGCAAACTTTATGCATGTTAAACCACTTGACGAAGGAGGTCTTGCCGATGTGGTTAAAGACGTATGGTGGGAAATGAGTCCTACGGACTCAACGATCGAGGTTAATAAAGCAAGTTATTTCAATGCCTGTGAGAAAATTAAGACTGCTATATCTGGTACGACCAACATACGTACTTTCAAAATTAATACAAGTTCGTGTACTAATAATTTATGTTTTGCAGAAGTAGAAACATTGCAAGTAGAATTACTAGTGATTCTGCTTAATAATTCCGATGGCAATGAAAAAAAGCCGACGTCCAGAGCAATATTCTTAAGGAAATTAAAACGTTTTGTTCAAGAAAACCTTGACACGAGTCGGGTAAGTATAAAAATGATCAAATTTAGTATTATAATTTTCGGCAGTACTTTTACAAATAATAATTGATACTTTAGACTCTACCGATCACGTTATGTTGTTTTCACCGACTTCTGGTTGCATTCAGAGTTTTATGGGACGCTGAAGTGGGAACATCTCCGGTTTATATACCTTGCAGGTAAACTTCCATTTAATTCATTTACAGTTCCTTTAGTGCGTGTACTTTTTATTAACTTCAAACAAAGGATACAACAATAAATGTTGCTTTGTGTATGTTTGTAAGCATTATTGAGCCGTATTTAATTTACGTAATAGCATTTCCTTATAAATTGGAATGGGCAGGGCGTTCTACGACGCGTCGATTGATCACTCTAGAACTGAGAGACTGGGAGGAGTCTTGTCCCATTTAAATAAAACGTTCAGGAATGAATTGCAACAATTATTAGGACCTGAACACGAAGTAATTACCGCAATGGATCAGGCTCAAGATTCGTCCAATGTACATAACAGAACAAGACTGATGGATTTACCTATAGTTAACCCAACGTTCTCTCGAGTAACTGGCACGGACGCATCGGGTCAAGGAAATTCGATGATCTTTGAGAGAGTAGGATACTTTCCATATACAAGGGAAGACAGAAGTCCGCTTCGCTTAGGCCCCCTAAATCCAACAACTTCCTTGCTTGAACTACTCGACAGCATAATTTTATTTTATCACATAGTAGCAAAGAAGCAGTTGGCAAAGGTGGCTATTCTTAGAAACAGCATGTCCGAGTATATCACTGCTATGCAAGATACAAAAGCAAAGTTGGAAAAAGCAAAGAAGAAGAAAGATCCTATGTTTCAATCGATTCAGCAAGAACTGTTAAGAACAATAAACGTATTCAATACTAAATTAACAGAACAAGCAAGACACATGGCATGGATCCGGGCTGCTGTTTACTCAAAAGAAAAACAATCACAGATAGCGTGGCTTCTAAAAGTAGTCGAGTTAACTTTGAAAAATGCCAGCCTAGAAGAAAACATGTTTAGCTTTGTACCTGATTTCTACTTGGACGCATTGGCCGATCTGTGCGTTGGTCTAAGGAATCACATGCATCCAACAGCATCCATCGAACAAGTTCCAAATTATAGAGAAATGTTTCTCGACATAGCTGAATTTCTTTGCGAACATTTCATGGATCCACGTATAGTGAATGCAAACTCAAAAAGCTCGTTGCTTCTGACGTTGGCTGGATTCGTGTTCAATCCCCTTACCTTGGAAATTTTGGAAAATGTACCGGAAGAGAGTAGAATAAAAGTTGTGACGAATTTATTAAAATCGTATGACAATAGAGCATGGGCTGAATCAAATTGGATTCTAGTTAGATTTTGGCAAGGTAACGGCTTTGTTTTCCGCTACGAAAAGAGTCCACATCTGTCGAAGAAGGTTGGACCGAAATTGCTTCAACAAGAATCAATCTCTCAGCCTATAAGTACGTAATCATTGTTTTTAATAATTATTTGAAAAAAAATTGGATAATCGGTATCTTTGTCTTTTAGAACCGTGTCCATCCGCCGTGTACCAGAATCACGTGAGGGATGTATTACTAAAGAATCCACAAGCTACAACGAAACTTTTAAATTCTTTGTTAAATCAATTGAACTGGGCCTTTTCTGAATTCATTGGAATGGTACAAGAAATTCACAATGTCTCGTCGAGACCTGAAAGAGTCTTCATTGAATCTAGACAATTGAAAATTTGTGCTACTTGTTTTGATTTAGCTATTTCACTTTTAAGAGTGTTGGAGATGATTGCTACAGTGGCTCCTAGTATTTTTAACAATCCGTCGCAGTTTTCCAATGAAAATTTATTATCCAGGTTATGCCAGGTACGTTCCTCGGGTTTGCTCGTTGACAGAGATGGCTATGCTGTTTAATATTATTTTATTAATATTATATTACCTTTACAGTTGCTGTGTCAAGTGTTAAACAGAATGAGTTCGCAAACTAGCTGTTTCCAACATATTGTATTATTGGAAATCCCGGATTTAGAATCGGTAGATCATTTTCCAATACTAGCAGCGGTTGCTGGTATCTTATTAGCTCTACTTGACGAGGATATGGCCAATTTTAAATGTAAGAATCCCCTTTAACTGTTGGATCAATAGAGGATATGTATAATATAACTTGATTTAAAGAAAATAAATTTTATTAGCGAAAGGGTTAACGGAGATACCAAAGGTCACTCAAACCTTACTGATGGAACCTAGTTTTCAAATGAGCTCTCTTTACTTCATGTTAGGAGATTCAAAGGTTAAAACGGAAAAAAATATAAAACCATTTTCTTTTGCAAACTGTAAGTATGCATGAATAGTATTAAGCATGGTTAATAATAATTGTACAATATTTCTCGCAGATCCAGATGATGTAACGAAGGAAGAAATAAAAAAGGTAAAAGATATGATTGAATATTTAGACAAATGCCGTGCCATTTTGCCAGATTCTAAAATATTAAGCGATGACGATAGTACCTGTACGATATGTTATGCATACCCTGTCGCAGCAACATTTGAGCCTTGTCATCATCAAACATGTCGTATTTGTATCGATCGACATCTCTTAAATACTAGAGAATGTTTCTTTTGTAAAGCAAGAATCGATAAAGTTGTAGATCTTTCTGGCAACGTGTTACACGATTTTAGTAATGAAAGTGCATTAGCAAAACAATCTGAAGAATTGTCTTGATGCAAATGTTATAAAGTTGTTATGAAATTAATTCGATGAATAAATTCTTGTAAAGATTATCACCTTCTAATTCCAAAGAAAAGTAAACGAACTGTACAAAATATTATGTATAATTCTATTTATTTAATATATTTTTTGTTTCAAGATATATAAATACAGTATAAAAATAAAATTTCAGTTTCTAAAAATTTCCTGGCACAACCCATCAGATATGGCAATGATTTTGTACATACATCAGTCTTTTCTGACTTAATACTAAAATTAAAATTATACATTGAGCAAACTTTTGAAAAGTACATTATTGCAGACTATACGTTTCGTCTTGAGATCGGTAGTTTGCAGGAAATTCTCTTACATAATATTTTTTCTATTAAATTCTGAGGAACAAATTATTTACACAAACTTTCTCTTAGCTGTCTAAAACCAGTTACTAATGATGGTTTATGCGGTGCTGGAGATAAATCTTGTATACATTCGATTAAAATAACACCCGATACAAATGCACCTAGTCCAGTAATAAAAATGGCAAAAATTATTAGCAAGCGATCTTTATTCAAGTGTAATTCTGAATCCTTTAAAAGAATGCTTTGAAACAGGCAAATGCCTGGAAAAACGAAGATAAAAAGGGCTGATAATGTCCCTAATACATTAATAACTGGTGAAATATCGGGTACTACTATCGCGATTATCAAAGATAATGTATACCAGATCAATGTTATAAAAACTCTAAACTTAACATTTACGTTAATATCCATTCCAAGCAGATTTAAAAGAGCATCACGGCCACAATATAGTATAATTGGATACGTTGTAAAATTTTTAACCGCTATAAATATAATGGCTAAAGTGAGGATTACACTTTTGTCTGTGTATCCTTGAAGTATATCGCTAGGAACTTTTCCAGCACCAAATGTTGCATATCCACATATTCCAACCACTGTATAAGCGATAAAACAGATAATCATACTCATTACGGCACAGAACGTAAATTTTCCAAGTTTTCGATCCTTCATACAAGCATACATCGGTATCGCTGTCATGTGACTCTATAAATGAAGGTTAATGTTAATTAATGTATTACTATTGCTATTAAAATTTTTATACTTACTTGATAAGCAAAGCAAATTACTGGAATTATTTGAAGTGTTTCCAAGTTATTATCTGGCCATATTTTCATGGGATTAACAGGAGATTCAGTTTTTGTAAAATTTTTGTAAATAATTAACCATATCACATACAGAATAGTTATACAACCAACAGAACTAGCATAACTTAAAATATCCAGTCTTTTAAAAAAGCATAAGGGTAATATAAATACACTACACATTACAGCTGTGATAAATGATCTAGATAAATACCTGAAATATCAAATATGTTAACAATAGAAGGTTTAATAAAAAAAATTGTATATGTAATTTAACTTCAATTACCAAGTATGACAATAATTCAGTCCATAATATGTTGCTAAAACTCTATCAAACTGATCACCAATAACTATTAAAAATGTTAAACAAGCTCCAAAACTGTATATTATAATACATATAGCACATAATAAGAATGATTTATGCCCATAAAATTTAGAAAACATATCCTGCATAGAACAGGTATTTGTAACATCACTACAATTTGCTAAAATTATGAGCGCAGCTGTGATGAAAATTAGAAAAACAAATTGAGTAATAATGGATGTAGCCAATCCTCCAGCTTTGTCAAAGGCTTGTGGAAAATTCAAAAGGCCTGCTCCAAGGGTAGCATTGGTGATTAAAAATATTGTGCTTAACACCTTTGTTCCTGCAAACATACAATTTCTGTAAAATTCCAATTATATTCTGTTTGATAAAATTACGGCATTGCCACAAATTGTCGTACCATAATGTAACAAATGCGATAATATTATCAGACAAACGAATGATACAACACACTTTATTCATTGAATTCTAATATAAGTGATTCCAAAACAATATAATATACCTGATCGGGAGGTTTCATCACGGGTAGACGAAGGATGTGGTGCAGTACATAATAACATATCATTGCTAATAAGTTCCTCGGTTTCACCGATTAAATAATTCATGGCAAACGAGACTACAGATCGAGCGGTTATTTCTGACTAACAATCTATTTCGCTCTTATCTGAAATTATGCTTTCTCCCAAACAAGAAGAAGACATTTATCAGTAATGTCTACAATTTGACTGAACTGAGACCAAAGGTCATTTTAAGAAAAAACATTTCGTGTTTATTGTTTTAAGACAAAAACAGTATATTCTGTGTATACAATAAATATTACGTATATATGCATATATACGTTTAGAATTTTTGTAAATGCTATTTAATACAAAATTTTTCATAATTATTTTCGCATGAAATCGCTTTATAAAAATTGGGAAGTTTATTAAATAATAAATTATAGTATCATATCGTTTTTGTTTGAAACCGGTTGGAGGTTAGGTAGAAAATGATAGTAACCGAACTACAGAAGACATTTTGAATATTTAAATTATTTTTTAATAGCATTTTTGAAAATTAAAGTTCATTATTAACAAAATATATTAAATTATTCAGTCTGTACATATATATACATCCATGTTTGCTGCTAAATTATTCGATTTACAATATATTTATATATGATTCAGATCACTATAAAACGTTAACTAATGTTGTCAATTTATTTGATATTTGTATAGCGATATTTAAGCTATATGTATACATAAATATGTAAAATTTACAAAACTTTGTTAGATGCAAGAAATGGTTCTGTACAAAATTAAGGATCATCTATGATTCAGGAACACTTGTGTATATCCTAACACCATGCATGTCTTTAATCTCCTCCTTAAGTGCCTAGAAAAATACGAGATGTTAATTAAATATTAATTTTCAATTCTAATGACACTTACTTCATTAATCATTCGATGTTGCTTAACAGTGTTCAGTCCTTTAAATTCTGCAGCAACAACATTTATTTCAAACATAGCACCACATCCTCCTAAAAGAATAAATTGTGGATGTAAGATTTCAAAAAGAATGTTATAGATGTCAAAAACTTGAAATATCTTTTTAATAACTTCTTCTACCTGATACATCATTTACTTCAATAAGCTTAGCATTAGGAAATTTATTTTTTAAAATTCCTATCATTTTTTGTTCAGCTTGTTTTCCAGCAAGTGCTCTGTTGGGTCCATTCCATACCCTGGATAAAAGCTGCAAAACTTTCATTTTATTCATCTTTCGCATTTTTAAATTAATTTATTGTGAAGTGTTTTATGGGTAGGGAATGAAAGAAAATTGCATATTTCTTCAAATGTTAGAATTGGACATTTAATGACTTGACTTCAATGTATTAAGCTTACATTGTATGTTTTAATTATTATACAATTTTTGTAATATAAAAACTTTGTTACTTAGATGAAATCGTGTTTTTTACCTACCGAAATATTACGAAAATTTAACATAAACACACGACCGAACATAGTTGCTACGATAGGTCGTGTTAAACGTCGTTTGTTTCTATATTTCGAATTTATAGTGTAATAATTCTTTACTGGAAATAATTGAAAAAGATACTAGAATAACGCCGCATGGACACGAATATTTTGCAAACAGCTGATTTGTAGATCTATGGTGGCGGCATCTATCCGTAACTCCAACACTTTATAAAACAAAATGGCATCAAAAGCAAGACAATAAAAATATATACTATACCGCAGGTCACCAGAGTCCATAACTGCGAAAAGACCAGTTTTCGTTCTTCGCGCATCTCCAATGCGCATCTTCGCCCTGATTGGCGATACTTCCAAACGAAGTGGAAAGCGATTAGCAGAGAGCTCGCTGCGTTCCCCCACCATCTTCCAACCTGCGCGTCGCAGTTATGGACTCTGGTGAACTGCGGTATATACACAAAGTATTTTATTACTTTATTATGAACGTAATGTGTAAATTATATGAACGTATGAACGTGTGTGTAAATTATGTAATCGTAGATTTATTTATAATTTATAATGTAATATACATACATTGCATCTTAGAATGCATACAATTTTGTTTTTATAAAGTAGTATGTACTAGTATCTGTACTAAATACATATCTTGAGGTATTAAAAATTGAATTGTGTAAAGTATCTAAAGATAGAAAATGCAGTTTCAAGTAGCTAAAACCTATTTCTATTTTTAGATTCTATTTTTTCATTAATCAATAATAATTCTTGATCAACGAAACATCCATTCATAAATTTGAGAAACAATAAACTTAGTATATTTATTATTGTTTCAGCTTCTGCAACTGATGAGTACAATATCAAAAATACCTCTATCAATATAAATAAACGAATGTTATACATTTCATTAATATTTAAAACAGAAAAAATTACATAACCAATTTCAAATTACATAACCTCATTATATGCACCACCAAAATGTGGATATATTTATCGTAATACAATATTATCTAGCTCAATGATGCGTCATAGTTTTTAGGCAATCATCTACGTAAGAAAGGTACACGTATACGGTGATGTAATGGAAATAACCTTTCATAGAATTTCGTAATATTTAGTCGAGAAGTGTTTTGAAATACATAGGTGTATGTACAACAGGTAACGTTGTGTCTTGGAGGTTAGGATAATGAATGATTCGCTAGGTGCAGATAAATGTGTATGGTAAACATATATATCGGGAGTAGAAATCGGGAACACGCGCGTGTGCGCACGCACGATAAACTTGGCAAAGGATGACGTAGATTAACACACGGGTCGAGTGTAACCTTGATCCGTACATTGCAGCTTCTCTCCCTTTACCCTGCGACCCCTGATCATGCTATTTTGTCGAAAGCTTAAACGCTTCTTAGGAGTAAGAGGGTACATACAAGTTGACTCATACGAATTACTTCATGCGAGAAATGCATGCTTATTAGAAACTCAACAGCGATCGGAGTAAAGTTGTTTCACCTTATGTGTTCAAATATGGTATTCCGAAGGGGCAGGGGACCGAGGAACAAGGAAGTAGCATAGGTATTATCGATTCGCCAGAGCTCACGAGTTAACGGTTTGTTTACACGAGCGTGGGGGAAAGTGCGCATGCGCCGCAGAACCAAAACAATAATAAGAGAGTAGAAGGTTTGTGGCTGGCGGATGAGCGGTCGCTCGCTTGGGCGTACGAACGTTGCTGTACTATTAATTCTCGTACGTGCACAAGGCCCGTTTCAACGAAAAAGTGTTCAAGTTTAACCTTTCTCAAACGGTTTAGTCAACGTTTGTCCAACTATTCATCGCATGTGTATATTTCTCGTTTCTCAACGTACACGCTGCCCGAGCCAGAACCAGACTTGCGTCAAAACGTGTATTATTGTGCAACGTGCGTTCGGCTCGAAATGTAATACGATCGAGCAACAATGTTGCTGAAGTAATCACTATCAAGTGGCCGAAGGAATGAAGAGGAATTCGTACACATCGAACAAAGTACCGTGTGTAACGAACCGGTGTGTGCGTTAACGTGTGTGCATTCATTCAATTCGAAGCAAAGCACCAAGCAAAACTTGATGAGTCGCTCAACATTCGAGAAAAGGAAAGGTTTCAGAGAGGGGGAAGGATAGATGGTGCGTATTTACCCAGTGAATCACGCGTTCCATGCGATTATGAGACGTGGTTGCTAGTTTAGGCCATCTATGTTTACACGAACGTTTTTCTCAAAATACATTCGTAAACATCCATGTGCATGAAGAGTCAAAGAAACACCGAGTACTTACCTGTCTGACTGTGTAAACAAGTGTTTTGCATTAGCAAAAGAACTTGCAGTGAAGAGCATTTATGTGTATCTTCGAAAAAAAGGGAAAGAGAATTTTATTGCAGTCTCTACTCGCCCGTATTACACAGACGTGGAGGTGTAAACACGACGTTCGTGCCATTGTCCTTTTGTTCTCATAGCCGGCAAACGGGGGAAAGTACGCCATGCCGAGCGCTGAAGAAACAACATACCTGATCGAAGTAGTGCCTAACACGACGCAGGACTTCCTCTCCCGCGACGTAGACCTCCTCGTCTCACAGATCAAGGAGAATCTTCGATTGTCTAGCTTAAAGGCCAAGTCGAGTATCAGTTATAAAAATCGCCCCTCGCCCTATCAAATACCGTCGAGGTCGTGGGCAGATCCGAATAGCTGTGAAGTATGTGGCACGAAGAATGCCGGAACTCACGATCATCGTCATCACATAAGTCATCATCACAAAAGATCCACCACCAGGGAGGACGATCCTTACGAGCTTCTGCAAGAATTGCTGAGAGAAGGTGGTTTGATAAAGGAGGCTGTGAAGAGACTTCAAACGAATCTCGACGACCTGGATAATTCGGAGGAAGAGGAGGATGACCAACGGTCGGCGGTATACAGAAGGAAACCATATTTTTATGACTCCGAAGATGAACAATTACCGCCGGTATACGAGCCGCTCGAGCTGTGAAATTAAATTATTTAGTCGGCTTCGTCCGTGGTTAAAATTTTTTGTCTAGATCAAGGTGAAAACTTTCGGTGTTCCTCATTTACTTTCGATGTGTGTACGAAAAGTGTCGTTAGGCATGAACATTCGCCTCGGGAATCGAAAGAAAGTACAACGAGGTAAACATAATTAGCCAAGAACCCGCCTTACATGGCCGTGTTTGTAAATATGGTATGTTGTTATTCAAAGCAGTTTCACACATGGCTTCGTGCAACTTCGGCTAAGATCGCCGCTCTATCGACAATCCACGAAGCTTACGTGGAAGACATGGCTGCCTCAATTCAAGCTCTTGGACTCGATTTACATGACAACATTCGTCGGGTTTTTTTTTAACTACCAGTTCGTCTCTCTTTGAATAAGAAAGAGTTCCTGAGTGCTATTCTCGTCCAGGGTAACAGAAGTGCGACAGTCACCGATGAAATTACCAAGTCACTCTTATGATTTGTTTCTTTGTTCGGTCGACAACAAAGTCGAGCTTGTAATTTTTCATTCATTTAGTTCGTTATTTTTCTCGCAATTGTACAAATAGTTTATACAACAGTCATTTGAAGGAAAAGAAACGTTGGCGAATCTTTGCCACTTGACTCAGACGACGAAATAATAAACCAAGTAACTGTACACCTTTGCAAGCTCATCTGTTACCTCTGTTATATGATTAGAACTTTTGTAATAGCATGAAATACGGAAAAAGAGCACGTGTATGAACGAGAAGTATCCTATAGGATATTATAGTTGAACAATTTCCCTCGATTTATTCGGGATGATATGGTCCAGTTACTAGTAGAAGAATAATAAATTGTCTAATAAGGAGAAGTTACGACTTGAGAGAACGCGTTTTGGACGAAATGGGGCTTGAAACATAGACAATGCCAAGTAGAAATAATTCTGAAAGATCAACCATTAACTCTTTGATTTCAATTTGAAAAAAATACAAATTTTAAAGGCACAAGTGTAAAACATTTAAGTTATTAATTAGAAGTTCGGCATGCGTATAGTATGCTTCAGTTTGTGAAATAATACAAATGGTTATGTCACTCCTAGTATTGAATTCAATATCGCTATGATTGGTCAATTATCAAGATAGAGACGGATTTGAGGGTGAATGAGTAGGAAATGAAATGTTGAAACCGATTATTTGATGTATAAGGACAGATTATGGAACGGAAAATATAAATTTATGAGGATTACACGATATAATTTGTGAAGTAACTTTTATTATACTGAAACTAAAGCGTTAATGGCTAATCTTTTAATCGTACACATTAGTATTTAAACACTTTCCGCCCAGGATCGGACCACCGTAGTATCCTGCCGTTATTCTATACTGCATTTAAAAGCACACTCAAAGGGGGATAAATTCACGTGGTCGGTCACTACAGTTCGTTTCACAGGGGGGGGGGTAACTTACTTCGTTTGGGTGGAATGTGTTAGTCCAATTTCGTTGAAGCACTCAACCATTTCGGGACTTCTCTTTGTAAGAATCAATCAACGAATTAGAAGGTCTTTACGCGTTGGAGCATTGCAACTTGAAGGATAGTGATCTCATTTATTTGTTTTTATTCGTGCGCCACGAACAGGACTATTTGATTGATTGTGAGAAACATGAAGGGTTATTGGTTGAGTCGCTTTCGGTTAAGTTCCATAATTAATGCCCACGAGTCTACCGTTCTCGTGGACTATAGCAGACTTCTTTGAATAGACAGCACAGCCGGCTTGTAAAAAGTTACGCGAGCGCGTGGGCTTGTTACAATCGACACGTAGATTTATATTTGCTCCGCATATATAGTCCATAGTTATTTATCACTATCAATTGTTAGCGACGTAACAAATGCTGTACGCGCGTGTAAATTTGTGTATATAGAATACATTGCATGCACATCCGTGACTGGCTTAACGGTACAGCATGATTCATTTACGAAGGACTTGGCGCAATAATTGATTTGTGTAACGATATGACATTCTGACAGCCAGAAAAGTAAATAACGTGTGCGATGTCATACATGTGTCATATTTGCGCAGTGTACAAACGTTAATGAGTTAAATACAAATGTTGAGTTAGACGGTAATTCCGGTGAATACGTGATTATACGAGACGAATGAATGTTGAATTAGTGTGTTTTCCTTCGATATCGTGTGAAGTTTTGTCTGCGCAGGTATAAGTGTGTAGATTATGAGAGATACTTCTTTAAATTTACCCTTCAAGCGTAAATTAAGGATGTTGTACCTCGTTGTGATGACCGGATTTGTTGTCCGGCTAACCTTAATTATGAATAAAGAAATAAAACATTTAATGTTGAGTTCTTTTGATATTTTTTTTATTTCTTATTAGAAGTTATATCTTTTAAATCTCTGTCGTCATTGTACTATACATACAGTTATAGGTCGCTTAGTTGCAGGTTTGGAATCTAATTGAAACCATTATCCAGCTATTCTAGAAATTGTTTAGAAAATGTCTATTTAATTTTGACGTTTGTTTCTAAACCCTTAAAGGACTATTGAATATGAATGAGACATATGGTTATTCTTGGATCGTTACCTGGGTAGTTATTATCCTGGGTCACTACGTAAACCCGTAAAGTTTCATTCAAGTCAGTGAATAATGTTTACGATGTTCTCTTGTTAGTAATTTGAATAAAGCAATTTCATGATCGCAAAGTCGAGAACATAAAATTAAATATTTCCTTTTTTGATGAATCATTAACACTTGTGTCGTCGTTGATGGGAGGTGTAGATAATGTTGATCTTCGGAGCTCTGAACAACCAGTTCCAAGAATTGATGGGAATGACTTTGCGACTATTAAACGGGCATTAGCTGTATACATATGTGAAAAATCACGAATCAATCTTGCTCTACATTTTTCTGATCTCAACTTGAAGTTTTATGAGAAATATAACGACTTCTAAAAATTGGTATCCTTTCTCTGCTGTTTATAATTAATATTACGTAACAATTTCTTTGTGTCACAGTAGCAACTGTGACATAAAGAAATAGAAGAAAATATTATCGCGAAATATAGGAATTAAAAGGAAGTGCAATAGATAATAATTTCCAACGATTCTAATGGTGAGTGTGACTGGTTAGAAACGTTTGCGTCATCACTTAGAAATAGTGATAACGGAAATCTATATACGTAAACAAGTATGCGATTAAAAATAATTATAGTTAAAATTATTCTCGTTATGTTCGTCACAAAATAGTGAACATAAAGATAAAGATCTTTGACCTATAAAAATAATGTTATTACTATGTTATGACCTCCTCGATACCACGCAACTTTTGTAAATTAAGTTTCTTCATGTATCTAAAAATAACGGAGATAATTTAGGCGATCGAAGTTATTGTCCCACCCTACATAAAAGCCTACAATTTCATTCATGAACTGACCACTATAACTTTCGAAATGGTGAAAAATAGATAGTCTTTTTAATATCATGAATTTACTTAAATAAGCAACAGTATTAATATAACAACTACTATATCGATTTTCTTCTGAAGGTTACATAACAAATAATATTATAATACATTTTTCTTGGAATTTTCATATCTTCAATTCCTAAATCGATTAATTCCAGAGTTTATAGAACAATATAGCTATCATAAAAGGTTAATAACTTAATATTGCGATCAAATATGACTTTTTAAAGCTGAGAATCCTCATTGGTTTATTTGAATTCATCACATGACATGATTTAAAGATATTCCATTGTCACAGATAAAACATATCGAAGTCAAACGTCAGACCTGTGCTTCTATAAAAGACGGTTTTACGAATATTAAAGAAATTTTCCTTTAATTGAACATTATACCTTTCATCAATTACATTTCGGAAGAACTGAATCAGTGTTACAAGAAAATTTCAGTGATCTACCAGTGATTCGACAAGTGACAGCAATTAAAATGGCGGATGCCACGCATTCGTATGTATAGAAGTTATTGACTTTCATTTTTTATCGCTGTTTTTGAGAGAGGATCAATAATCGTTAAATATAAATACATAATTGTTATATTAATACCAAAAACTAATTATCTGCTTATTATGTTTTAAATATTATGTTTCCTTCATTCCTTTTTCCATTGTTATTCACTCCTTTGTTATATCGCCGTACATTTGAATTATGTTATTTAGCGGCTCATCATTACATTTGATTAGCATTTGACTAATCATTCAATGTTGAAAGAATATTTTCAAGTATGATTATTTCTATTAAATCTTTAGGTTATGTATGGACAGTATATATATAACTGTCAATATTCTACTGCGCATGTGTAACTGATTTTATGTTGTGGAAAATTTTTTCAGATTTATCATATGAATTTATCCCTTTTATCTTATGTCAAGTACCTATATTGTACCTGTTTATTTTAAAGAATCGTGTGTCGTCTTAAATAAAAAATGTAATTCTATTAATTTCTTAAGTATTTCATTTTTAACATATGCTGTAAATTCTAATTTAAAAATAAAAACAATAATTTTGTTAAATAATTAATGATTGTGTGTAAATAATATTTCGGAATTATGTAATCTCATTGTATAGATTTTTTGTAATAAAACTGTACTGAACATTCAGCCTACATGTATTATAAACTGCAGTCAAGATTTTCAAATATTTAGAAACATTACTTATTTTAGGAATGCATTGGAATCTTACTTTCAAAGAGGCAATCGCACTTTGAAAGTGCCTATGTCACTTTTCCAAAATAATCGCAAAAGGTTAGTTGCACGCATTAAAGCAAAAACAGGGAGTCAGGTTGCAGGAAGTTACATTGTTCTTCAAGGAGGAGTTGAAATTCCATTTAATGATACAGATATAAACTGGCCATTTAGACAGGTAAGTAAATTTTCATTGATACAACTCATTAACAAGTACAGACATTCACTAATATATTTGTTTCCACAGGAATCATTTTTTCAATGGTGCTTTGGTGTTGAAGAACCAGGATGTTATGGTGCTATTGATACTTCAACAGGAACTTCAATTCTGTTTGTGCCAAGATTGCCAGCAGAGTATGCAATTTGGCAGGGAAAGTTGCATACATTGGAGGATTTTAAAAAGCGATATGTAGTAGATGAGGTCCACTATACTGATGAAATAGCCAATGTTTTGAAAACAAAACAGGCTTCTTTTCTTCTTACTTTAGTACGTCTTTCTTCTATGTATGTACACAATATCATTTTTCAAAAATATTGTTCTAATTGAATTTTATTTACAGCATGGTCAAAACAGTGACAGTGGTCTAGAAGCACAGGAGGCAGTGTTTGGTGGCATTAATCAGTAAGTATCAATTATTTCCAGTTCATTTTATGCTATGAAAAAATGCTTTATGAGTATTGTAATATGTTACAGGTTCAAAGTGGATAATAAAATTTTATATCCAGAGATATGTGAATGGTAAGTACACAAAACAAATTAATGATTACAGAGATAAATTTTTATCTTCGAAAATTCTAGTTATCAGCGGTTGTATAAACTGATGTAGTTTAGGTAACTTGATATTAAATCTGTTTTATCGATAAAATATCGTTCAATCGATAATTTGTTATATCGATATTCACCGTTATAGTTATTTTCTTTACGTTTGTCATGAGTCTTTTATACTAAACTTTTTAATAAGGATCCAATAACATCAAAGTATAATCGTTAAATTGAAAGTATCATTGAAAATAGTTTCAAGGTCGTATAAAGGTGCCGTAACATAAATTCGTAAAAGTAATATTATCCTGTTTAACTTTTCCACGTTATAACTATAGAAGGTACATTAAATAAAGCAATCAAGATGAATTTATTATTACGTTTAATTTCATTAGATGCTTATATGCTCTATGCAGATGATATTAGCCGGTCATTTATGGGCAAAATCTGTAATGCGTATGCAACCATCGGGTTTGATGTTTAATATAAAAAAACGATGGTACGAATCAAACTCGGGTGAACATATTAGACAACAAGTTTTAACGCACACTAGTATTTTCGTAGAAGAAGGATTAGCGATACAAGAAGTTCCTTTGATCGTTAGAAAGATTAATAATATCGAAGCAATATGTAATAATAAGGATAAACATAGCCTCTCTGTTGTTAATCTCCCTAATATATCCAAAAAGAACAATCAAGTCAAATCGCGCGATAAAAATGAATCAAATCCGCAAAGTAATTCCAAAATAAAAGATAAATCATTGAGTCGAAGACTGGATATTGAAACAGAGGATGGAACTGCGATATTATTCTGTCCCGATTTGAAATCATTTAAAGAAGCAGATGTACAGAAAGCTTTGCAAGAATTACAGTCGTTTAATACAGCCGATGGTTCCTATTCAATGCTGGACGATAAGATCACGCAAGAATTAAATTGCAGAGTAGCTTTAGAAGGATTAAAAAAGGTCATAGAATTAGAGAATAGTTGGGTTAAGCAGAAATCTAATAAGATGCAGAGAAATAGACAGATGGAGATTGACACTACTGCTAGAGATATCGTGATGAAACAATTGATTAAATTAATTATTAGCAGCAATGATAGCGAAATGATACTTCAAGGTCTTATCGCATTGAAGAAGGATAAAATTAGTCCTGCTAGAAATACATGTAGGGACTGGATGTGTGATGAGGCTTTAGGTCGAGCGACAGATGGAGAATTTTCACCTGCACAGTTGATAAATTTAATAAAAATTTTATCGTCTTATAAGGATTCGAAGTATCGTAAATCGGTAGACACTTTATGGGTCGGTATTGTGCTTCGACAAAACGAGATCACTTCCCATACATTAGTGGCGTTATTTAAAATGTTAAAATATTTTAATCAGAGTAAAAACATGGTGAAGCTTATTCTTGAAAGGAAACTTTCTAGCTATTACTTAAAGTTAACGGGCACGCAAATTTCAGAAATACTAAATTGTTTTTACGACGATGTCTCCGCGAAGAATTGTTTGCAGAGTGCCAGCAAATGGACTGAGGTAAACATGAATACATCAACTGAAAGAGATCTAATAAATTTTATACGAAGTTTAAACGCGAAAGATTATATTGACGATAAAATTGAGTACAGTTTACAAGATTATTTGAAGTCTAAAGCACCGCAGATCGAAAATTCAAAATTAATAGCAGCGATTATGGAGTATTGTAAAAATCTTCAAGTTAAAAATGAACATATCATGTCGGAATGTGGGGAATATTTTATAAAACATGCTACGAATATACCAACTTCTTTACTACCCTCTATTCTTACACCATTTGGATTTTTGTACGTACAACTACCAAATTCCACGGAATTTTGGAAAACATTTGATGATGTGTTATCAGTAAAATTTCACGACTTAAAATTAGACGATGCTCTAGATATTCTTCTCTCTTGTACTTATTTAGAAAGATATCCTACAAAATTTTTCGATAAAATATTTATTTCACAATTACTTCATAAATTTAATTTAAGAAGTCATTCTGGTTTTTTTAATCGAATAAAGAACAAATTAAAGCTATTAGATGCCACTATGTTTTTGGAATGCAAGGATTATAAAACTATGCATTTCCCTTTAGGGAGAATAGACAAACCATTATTTCTAGATGAAAGAATTCGAAGATCAGTGAATATGATATATCAACCATTAGCATCTTTGATCGGTGGAGATAAAAAATTAAGTAAAAACGTGATTTTAAATCAACTTCCAGTCATAAATTTTTACGTGCTTGATATTGTAATACATCCTCGTATAGTATCAAGTTCAGTATTTCATTTGAATTCGGGACAGAAGAAGAATATAAATACTGCAGTTTTGATTTATTTGCCAGAGTATTATTGTAGAAATACGCGTTTCTTAATAGGACCTCAAATAATGAGAAAAAGACAAATAAAAAAGTTAGGTTTCCGAGTTATGGTATTGGACTATACAACATTGCAAGAAGTCTGGAATCAGTGTGATAAATTGTCATCTTATTTGTTAGAAAGTTTACATTCGGCAGAAGATGCTCTGTAATGCGTAAGCGATAAGAATTGAAAGCAATGTGATTATCGAAATGTATTGCGTAATGTATGAAATACAAATTTCTCAGAAGATCATTTTTTAGTGACAATAAAAATGTATGAATTTTTTTTTTTCTAAATCAAAGCGTTATGTATATTTTTGCTAGTTCGATATCTTAACAAATTCATTTTCTTTCAGCCGAGTTATAAAATCAGCAGAAGAAATTAAGGTATTAGAGTATGTGATTAAAATAAGTTCCGATGCGCACAAATCAGTGATGCAAATGGTAAAGCCAGGCTTAGCAGAATTTCAAATGGAATCAGCTTTCCAACATTATGTATATTATAATGGAGGCTGTAGACACGTGTCTTACACCTGTATATGTGGATCTGGGCATAATGCATCTATATTGCATTACGGACATGCTGGTGCTCCTAATAACAAAGTTATAAATGACGGCGACATGTGGTAAGTTTTAATATATTTTTTCATATTTTATAATATACCAATCCAAACTAATAATACATTATTGAATTACAAAAGCCTGTTCGACATGGGCGGTAATTACTGTGGATACGCGGCTGATATTACATGCAGTTTTCCCGCCAATGGAAAGTTTACAGCTGATCAGAAGATTGTATACAATGCAGTGCTCGCTGCTCGCGATGCAGTGATGAACGCTGTAAAACCCAATGTCGCTTGGACAGACATGCATTTGTTAGCGAATAAAACAATGTTAGCTTCGTTAAAGTCTGGGGGCCTATTGGTGGGAGATGTCGATGACATGATGAAAGCAGGATTGAACGAAGTCTTTCAACCTCATGGGCTTGGGCATCTTATGGGATTAGATGTTCACGATGTCGGTGGATATCTGTCAGGCAATCCGGAACGTTCTAAGGCACCTGGATTAAGAAAATTGCGAACCAGTCGCACTTTACAAGCTGGTATGGTTCTAACGATCGAACCAGGTTGCTACTTCATTGATTGTGTAAGTGTAATCATGTCACCTGACGTAATGAATTCAGGAAATTAATGAATGAATGAATGGTAGTTGCTAGATGCGGCCTTGAAGGACTCGAATCAATCGAAATTCATCGTGGCTGATGCATTGAAAAGATTCCGTGGTTGGGGTGGTGTTAGGATAGAGGACGATGTGCTTGTCACGGAAACTGGAGTAAGAAATTTGACAGAAGTACCGCGCACGTAAGTGTTAGAAAAATTCAAACGGGTAATCATTTATAAAACGTCAATGGATAATTTAATTACAGAGTTGAGGAAATAGAAAAGTGGATGGCTGCTAGAAAAAATTAAGGCTGATCTCAAGAATAGAAAAGTGGACTTCGAGCAAAACCAATTACATTTACATATATTCTTTTTCGTGATATAATAACAGTTGTGATACGACGCGTAACGTCACAAAATATTTTTACACTGGTTTCTTATAGAGCATATAATGCAATAACTACATTATAGGCTTAAAGCATTCCTTTATAAATTGTATATATAAAGAGCAACAAGCAAATAAAAAGAAGAAGATATTTTTTATCACGCTGATCCATTATAATAATGCTTTTGCAACAAGAATCTTCGTAAAGCCGAGCAGAATATAAATTCTTGTTTAATCAAAGTAATAATATTTATATTGTGTTTTATATTGAACGTATACAGGTGTATCAGGTTGGACGCACATGAATTTTCATGATGAAAATTTGAATCTGTAGTAACATTTTGTATGACGTTCGGTGAGAGAAGAGGGGGAGGCAGTGTCAAGTGTAACCTTGGATGCGATATCTTACGTTTATTGAAAGAGAACTCGAGTGCCGGTATTATCGGGTATAGTGTTACAGTCGTAGCCGCGCTGTGAATACGAGCAGTCTTCGTTACAACTGCTTTGTAAAAAGTGTCTGAATTTTTCTAGAACCTTATTTTTTACTGTCAAATGATTCTCCACGACATGTTTATCAGTGGTGCGTACATTTCACACTTTAATATTTACGTTTAACTACATATAAAGTGTATGTTGTAAAGGTATTTCGTTTTGTTATTTTAAATAATTTGAATCAAGTTTAACTCAGATCAGGATTATTCTATGGCAATTAATGTTATTTAGGTAGGATATTTTTGAGGATCTATTGTAGATTCTTAAAAATATTAAACAGTGCTAAATTTTGTGAATAATTCTGTGACATTTCTGTGCCTTTTTTCCCCCCTTTTGTCAACAATCGTCGACGTCAAAAGCGAAAGTGGACTAACTTACGATATGGCCTGATTTTTTGAAGGAGATCGTCGCTGGCGCCAGATCAGATAAGTTATAATGACCGATCACTCATCGATGTTAAGCCAATAATCAATGACCGAAAATACCAATTTCCCCGCCGTTTCGTATAACATACAAATAAATTATTATTAAGCAGTTGCCAACTGCTAATTATTTAATGATTTTGAAAATTAAAAATATGGAATCAAAATGGTTTCTTTTTCTTTTTATTAAATATAAAATATCGGTTTATTTATATAAAGTTCATTAAAGCAATACGAAAACGTTAATAGATGTTGAATAATCAGCGTAGAATAAAAATTTGACGATTTAAGGCAATTAATGTAAATTTATCTTTCTTCTGACGTGTTTGTATATTCTTGACCTTTTAGATCACACCATCGTTTATCAATGATTTTGACAACTACTGTAATCAGGCTAATTGTTGCTTTTTTTTAGCAGTCATTAATTTGTAACATCAATATAATCTAAAAATTGGATAACAAAAAATTGGGAATTTTTTATTTTCAAACAAGTAATCAGATATTTCTGTTTTTGAATTAAAAATATTTTATGGTTGTTTAATCGAAGCTATGAATTTTAAATAAAATCGTGAAAAAAAGGAGATAATTGCCAGTTTAAAAAATTGAATTTTGATAAACAGGATCCACATTGTCCAACACCTCCAAAAGAAAGAAATCTTAATTTCAAATTAATTTCGCAAACCTGAAATAGCAACACAATTTTATAACAACATAATAATATGGGGAACAAAGAACAGTTTAGTCTTAAATCGTACGTCATTACCCAGGAAAACGCGATAATACCATCAACCATTTATCTTTGCCCCTTCCTTTAGCCAATTACTATTTTACATCCTTTATACATTAAAACAAGCCTATTTTAATATTCACTATTAACATTAATTAAATTAAAATTATCTAATAGAAAATCCTCAGAACCCCATATAAATGTTGAATAATTTATAGATGAATTAAAAAAAATATTTGAAAGGTAATTCGTGTGTTATACAGATTATTTTATTTAAATTCCATCTTTTGAAAATGTAAAAACTGTTAGAGTCTGATAGACTGTACCGTCACCACTTATGGCTTAAGTGTGAACAGTCGTTATCTATGTTTTGTCAGAATAATATCGTTAATGAACCGGATTAACACGTTGACCGTCACAGTAGAAGTAGCCATATCTAGTCAGACACCTAATAACATGGCGTATTGAAGATACTATAAAAAATAATTTCTTAATACAATCCTTTAGTTAGTTATATTATTAATGTATCTCTATTAAAAGGAGTTGCTCATGCAATGGCAAGAAGGAGGAAAACAACGAATTTAAATTCCTGCTAGCTAAACCTGTTTTCTTTCCTACTAGCAAGTAGGCTAGCTTTTTTTCGCCCCTAATCCATTCTCGTACAGTTAGCCTAAGCTGGTGATCAAGGTGAAGGTGATCGATGAGGGCGGAGCGTTTACGCAGAGATACACGCGGTTTTACAAACACGAACAGCTACTTTTGACGCAACGCGGATATACGGCAGTCAGCTGCATCGCATGATCCAGGACACGCGACGAGGTTGCAGTGTCAATGATTCGAATACCGACTGATTTTAATTAAGCTTGAATACCGTCAAATACCATTGAATACGGTTATGTCGACTACGGTTAAATACCGTCGAATACCGTCGGAAAGTACGTACAGACAAATATGTTACAGGTAGGCATTGAATTTAATGAATAAATATTTTACAACATCGAAATCAAAGTGGTTAATGGATTACGACACTTGTATATATACGGATCATTCACACAGCAGTCTGCATTTATAGCTGCATTTTGAGCGTTTTATTTTAGGAACAGCTCTGGTTTAGTACAGCGACTCCTCTCGTCGGGAAAGATCGGTCAATGAACCGTTTCCAATATGTACCTACTCCTCAAACAATACACGCTGCAATTGTATAAGATGCAGGAATTAAAAAATTAGTGTATTGCTATTACATTGATTACTACGAGGAGAGTATGATCGGTACTATTATTGTAAAGGTAATAAATCTCATATATACTGCGTGCTTAGGAACAACCAGAATTTATTATTTATTCTCCGGAATGATTAAGGAAAAGTAGGCAATAAAGAAAAAAAAAAAAATGATTGGAATTGCAGTTATGTAAGAAACACTAAATGTTATTTCGTTTAATGATTCTCGTAATTTTATGTATCTTTATATCTAAAGAAGCTTGTTCATTGTGTTACGAAATAAATTACAGTCACTTATGAAAGTCATCGTACATCTTATAAAAGAGCCATTTTGTTCGATAAAATATTGATGTAGTCAGTGCTGTCAAGAAATAAAAATGTACGAACACTTTTTTGAGATGTATGTACAGTACCCAGAATGATAGGCTTTTTCAGGAAAAATGGCGATATAGGGGAAAGAGTCCTGCTACCCACCATAATACTTAAGAGGTACCAGCCGTAATGAACTTTTGTTTTTCATTCGAAAGTCCAATATCCCATTAGATGAGTAATGAACTTTATTCGCGTTAACATTTAATATGTTTAGGGGGGAAAAGTACGTGGGTGTGAATTAAGCTTAAAAAACATCCAGTGGGAGTTTCAAAACAAAAAAAAGGATGTAGGAACGGTGTCTCTAGAGATTCTGTGTACGAAATACGTACACACGTAAAAGTCTCGTATCATAAATTTAATTCTTTGCGTCATAAACGCGTCTCCTCCGGCGATGGCGTCATTCGATGAGAACATTTTGAACGAACCAACTTTATTTCTTTCTTTGATTTGAAAAATTTATGTCTGATCAAAAATGTCTTTCTAAAGATTGTCAGCATTTAGCGAAACATTCGTAGCTATTATTGGACAATGTGAATTCCATTTAGCAACGACGTTTAACAATTTAAAGATAATCTTTAAATTGTCTTTTTGAAGATCAAGATACGATCCTTGGGTGGGATAATAGATTTTTAAAGGACACGATAAAGCAAGTTTGTCAGATATTCAAAATTATATGACAGAGTGGTTAATTTTAGCGATGTTTCGATCACTGTCCTGGTCCACTTCACCCCCTATTACGAAGGATATTAACCCTTACTCGGTAAACGTGGGTCAATTTTGTCTAGGTTAGTTCCAAAGGTATTGATTTCTCGGAAACTAATAAGTAACAGGCTTTTGTTTATCCTCCTAGAAAAAGCTGGTTAGTAGAATCTAACAACACAAGATTTACGTTCTATGTTGAAATTTATAAAAGAAATTTATAGAGGACATAATGGATTCACGTTTGCAATTCGAAGAGGATCAATAATGAAAAAATTGCTAAAATGAAAAACAGCAATTTTTATTAGATTATTGTACTATCATCATAAATAGAAATTAGACATCAATACTGTACATGTTACATATCAATCTAATTTAGCACTGTTAACAAAAGGAATTATTTACAAAATGTATATATACTTAGATAATTATAATCAATCATCGATTACTAAATTTGCGAAGAAAGCGAAGAATTTTGAATTTAGTGAAAACGCGCGTGAGTTCCGTTTCAAAAAGAACCGCTTAAAAATAGGAAGCGCTGCGCAGTATGGAAATTCGATGGTTCCGACGTATTTTTGGAAAAGAGTCTTTCAATTATTTCAACGAGGTGTTCGATGTATTTACGTGCGATTTCGGATCCGGATTTAGTTGTACGCGATTTTTCCGCTGCTGTCCGCAACGAGGTAGAGGGCAAAAGAGAGAGAAAGAGAGGAAGAGAAGCGTGGTGGAACGCGATAATTCCAAGCAAACTCACGACTAGTCATTGATCGGCCGCGAGACGCCGAGCGCCGCGACGCCCTCTCCTTTTCTTAACCCCAGCGTCCCCACCTGTCCTGTTCACAACCGTGTCAGACATTTAAGCGTCACGTCGGAAACGCGCCTCCCTCTTTCTCTCGCTCTCTCCTTCTCCCCGCTTTGTTCTTCTCTCCTTTGCTCTTTTTCGTGGCTCGTTCATCGACTCCGGGCATCTCCGCGACGAATTCGAGCTGATCAGCGACACGGTTCTCCGCTCTACGTCGACGCTTTGACGCTTTCGACTGATTTTTCCAGAGGGGAAAGTGCCGCGTTGGTCGGACAGTTGTTTCACACGAGATTTACAGTTCGGCCAGGTGAGTGAGAATTGAGGCAACCGACCAGTCCCATACAGTGCTTACGGAGCAAAATGTGTCGTCGTGATCCGTTGCAACGCGTGAAGAAAAAAGTGGACAACGAAGCTTGATCGTTCGGAGGGATCTGCTTTGCCACAATGGTGGAATCAGTATGGGCGAGGATCTCGTTAACGTGGTTGCTCCCCGTTGCTCATTGAATCGCTTTGTCTGAATGAGGGAGGCGGTGAACGACCGTTTCTAGGTCGGACCACAGGATCCATGGGTGCTTAATTGATCGTTGTTTCCGAGGGATTGCGTGACAACAAGGACGAGGAAAAGTGGAACGGTGAGGCAGATTTTTCCTATAGGGACTACAACGATTTTCGAGCTGAAAACTGTTCCCAAGGAAATTCGGGTCGAACGTGTTGTCGATCGGTCTGGTCCGAATTGGGTCAGTAGGATAGCACGGCAACAGCAACGGCCAGCTTTTTCGCGCAGAGGACAGGAGCGCGATCTAACTTTCGTGAACGTTCAACGAACAGATTCGATCGACATGTTTTGTTTCCAAACTCCCTTTACACGCGCTTCTCGCGTGCTCGTGTCTCCTCTGTCTTCCAGCAAGGGGAAAACCACCTCCATGAGTATGATCTTGCCGATGAGTAAGTCGTCCTCCGGTTCCAAGTGCGACAGACGTGGTTCCGAGGCGACTAGCGAAGATTCTGGCTCGTCCATCAGGTACATCGACCAGGAGCCCTCGATATCAGCGAGCAGCAGCACGGACACGTTACCCGACATCAAAGCGGACTACTTGGACCCAGAGTCTCTGTCCCCGGGGCCAGATTCCTTAACTGCACCTGCCGCGATCGTTCCCAACGGCGTAGACGAGGAGAAGCTGCTGGAGGATGATAAGGATGAAAATTGTCGATCGTCATCCCCCGCGAAAGCTTCTCCCAAGAAGAGGTTCTATAGCAACAGGCGCTGCAGGAAGCTGCTCCTGCGACTCAGGTCAAACGAGTCTTCCAGCTCCAGTAACAAAGAAGCCTGTTCAGCCGCGTCTCACTCTCCAGCGAGTGATTCAATCGAAACCGAGTCCCCTGGCTCTTCCAGGGATCGCGAGAACGAGTATAAGACAGACGACGCGAACCTCATCACGAAATCTTCCCCGTCGGTGCTGATCGACTCCGTGGAACCTGAGGAGGCTCTGAAGAGCTGCAGAGCCACCTCCGAGAACGATATATCCTCGTTACAGAACACTTTCAGCGAGTCGGAGAAGGAGAATATTTATCAAGAAACGGAAACAGAGACGGAGGAGGGATCGTCGTTGCCGTTGAGCCCAGCGGGTCCATCGGCCACCGGTTTGTCTTCTTCAACCGTACCCTACTACAACTTCCTATGTGTGAACGGCGGAGCAATGCGTCAAGAGATGACCAGCACAAGTTCTCCGCAACTCTCTTCGGGCAGCAACCTCAGATCCAGCACGGAATCCACTCCCGCCGATGTGTGCAGCTCCGAAAAGAGCTCTCGGATGGATACCCTAAAGCCAGAGGGTTTGGAGAGCCAGTTTTGCTTACCAGCCGCCAGATCCTGTCCGAATCTCGAACGACAAAGCGCTGGTTGTTCACCCATCAGTGGTTCTTCCAGTTCTAGTCTTAGTCCCGGACCTGTTGGGCCTAGGTTCAAACCAGTAGAAGAGGGTGACATCCAGGTGTGCTTCTTGAATCACACGAAGACTCTGGTCAGGAAGATTCTGTCCAGCAAGTTCTTGAGGAGATGGGAAACTCATCATCTTTATTTAAACGACACCTGCATCTCTTCTAAAACGGTAAGTTGTATCGAATCATCTTTGGGGTTATCTATTGAGGCTCCATCTAACAGATTATGCTCTAGCAAAAAGAACTTTATGCAAAAATTTTAATAAGAACTTCTGAATAATTTTCACAATGAAAATTCATCTATTGGTTTGTTCGTTTTATTGCACGGTAATATTTGGACCTGCTCCCTTTGTCGCGTCTGTAACTAAAAATTCAACGTGACTAATAGTCACGTGTATCTGAGGACGTAATATTCTTTATACTATGCGCTGTTTTCTTAACATATTATTACTGCAAACAATATGTTTGCAGCAGAGAATGATTTTTATATTGCAAAATTATCTTTTTTTTTTTCAATTTTTCTTCTTGAATAAAGTCGTGCTTTATATTCGGCAACGAAAATGTTTCACGCGCTAGCTGTTACTTTTTTTATATCAAAAGTAGTCCGAAATTGATAATTACGGGTCGCACTTACAATTGACGTAGATGATATTCCAAATGTGATAGGTCACACCGACGGTGATATTGCGTTAGTACAATCTGTCAGTGTTTCATCAGATTTCAAGCTCGAATGTTCGGTTTTAGCTTGTAGATATCAAAATAAAAAAAGAAATTAGACTTCACAATTAATTTTAGTGCTATCAGAATGTTGATAATGATTTATCTATTTTCTTTTTGTCTATATGTCTACAAATGAAATTTCAAATTACACTAAAACCAAATTATCTATTCTTGACATAAAATTGCCAGCAACCATTGAAATAAATAAACTTCCGTCAGTATTTGTTAAAAAAAGGAAATACGCTACGTTCCATTTGTCACGTAAACACTTTAGCTTGAATTTATCGAGTGAAACGATAGATGCCGTTTTTCAGAAACAGAATACACAAATACAGTGGATGATTATTATTATGAACTATTATGAGTAGATGGAAAGATGACAATTTTCGATGTTATTAATAATAATGATTACCATTTAGTATGGTAACCCCAAGGGAAATCCAATTAAAAAATACCATTACCATTTAGTAATAGTGAAGTACAAGGCTTTCCCTAGAGATTGTAGTGCTAGAGTAGACCTACTGCTCTCTCAAGTACGTGGACTGGCCCACGCTATTTTAAAATTCTAAAATTCTAAGATTCTAAGATCCTCTCATAAAATTTGATCTTAATAGAAATAAGTATTTTGATCTAAAATCCTAATTACGCCATTGTACCATTATGAGTGTGTTGCCAGTTTTGTTCTTGATTAAACGTCAGATGAGTGGTAATTGCGGAATGTTTATGATAATTTGATCACCCACTGCATAAACCACACGGGAGTCGCGATTGCACCGGGTGATCGCAAAAAAATGAATCGACAGATCTTTTTTTTTCACGATACAAGCGTAATCTGAAGCGGTCGCAAAATGCATTCAGGGTCGGCTTTGACGTAAATGAAATACACGTTCACGCACATGCACCTCTCTTTTGTCTGTTTTTCGTTCGCTATCATACACGTGGATCTAATTGCTCACATTACACTTATATAGAAACTTGTCTACTACTTTGGACTAGAATTAAAATTGATATAGAAAATTCAAGATTTATGAAAAAAGATTCTTTTCTTTTTATTAAAAAGGGGATACATTTTATTTAAAAATTGTTGCATGTGAACATAGCTGTACTCTCTGTTTATTCAGGTTTTCATAATATTCTGATTGAAAAATGAATGGAATTTTATTAAAAATTTCGAATATAATCTATAAAAAATCGACGTTTAAATTCAAAAAGATTATAAGAATTACATAATTAGAAAAAAAATTAAAATCTGCTCGTTTATTCAAATAAAAAAAATAAAGATAATCTTACCAATATTATATGCCTCAAATTTAATGAAAAAATAATTAAAATTGTTTCAGATCTTTAAATGTAAATTAACGTTTAATTACTCATTCCTGGGTCACAGGTGTTACTCTCCTGTGCTTTTATGTACAGGGTGTTCACGTCATTAACCAGCGTTTTTCTTAGAAATGAAAAAGAAATGAAAGAGGAAATCGTTTCACTGTTTTTTTTAAGCAAGATAATAACGTACGTCAATTTTTTATATTTACAATATCTTTTAAGCAATGAAGATGACTTTTAATTTTTCTTATTTAATGGAACTGCATTCTTTTCTTAAGATTAATGGTCTCGTTGAAACATTTTGCATAAAAAGAGGTTTGAGATACAATGTTAAAGGTTGAATTGTGAATTTTGTAAATATTATGTTTTTTCATGAGATCGAAATGACCTAGTTATCGTCGTATAAGGATTAATAGAGAAATTATCTTCTGAAACGAAAACGAAATTCTTTTAGCCCGTAATTACCCGTAGCTATTGGAGTAAATGCGGACGGTTGCGTGGGTAATTACGGACGGTCAGGGATTTTTGTTACGAAACTCACTGATATGGTATACCTCTTGAATGAGACTTTTCTAAAATAATTTTCATACGTAAAGAAAATCTTTTATTTCATTTTATAATATGAACTACCAATTATTTATCACAGTTTTATTAAAAAACTGCACAAGATTAATTCAAATAAATAATTTGATTTCAGCCTACAGGATTCCTTCAGCAACCAATACCGTACAGCAACATGTCGGACATTCGGAAGTACGCTGTTGCTAGATGGGATCCTACTTACAAGAACTGTCTTAGTATAGTTTTGTCAGACAGCTCGATTCTTCTTCAAGCCAATAATGCTTACACGAGGGACCAATGGTATCATTCGATACTGTGGAAGGTAAATTATTTTCTCTATCGTTTTAAAAATGTAGATGTTCTAAAAACTTTAATTATTGTTTTCTAATTTTCAGAGGAGTATCTTCAAGTACCAGCACCTAGTATCGTTGAGCACGCGTGAAGAGGTGATCATCAAAGAGCTAAAGTCAATGGTGGATTTCGCGCTTTGGACTTCGCTTCAGGATGAAAGAGTGACTGCAGCGCCACTGGAAGCTGTGGCGAAACTTCTGGAAGATTCCGTGACCGAGGATTCGGAGCGGAAGTTGGAAAAGTCAGGCGAGGAGATAACCCGATATCAAAACGACCGGAAACAGTGGGCAGAGGCGGTTCTCTCTGTAGTCTCTCCTTTATTAGACAAAGTTGCCCTTCCAGCATGTCTCGCAAAGGTTCTCGCGAAATTGGCCCAACAGCATCCCCAATCGTCCTTAGTCTCCGCTATTAGCCCAGCTATCACGAGATGCCTGAAGCATACCGTGGACTTTGGAAAATCTCCGGATATGAGAAGGTTGCTTCAGGTGTTCATAGCTGCTCTGTACGCGGGTGTAGGAGGTGAACAAGTGATTAGGGAGTACGTCGCTTCCGTTCACGGGCCCGGAAGTGACTGTCCTCACCCAAGGGTGCTTCCAAATTTGGTGTCCGTTTGTGTTGCTGCCATTTTTCATAGGTAATACTATTCCTATAACAATAAATTATTATTACAAATATTTTAATTAATATTGATGGAAATAACTCCAGATTCGAGGTAGCCAATTGTTCTCTGTCAGAACAAGACAAATCAACGACTTTACCTCCGTTGGATTGTTATTTGTTGGTGTTAAATGTCGCGTAAGTATTACCAAATTAGAAACATTGTTGACATTATACTAGTAAACTTATGACTGATTATTCATTCGTTTTCAGATCAGAGTATGCCGACTGGAGGCCAGGTTTCGGCGCGCTGCTGCAACCAGTACCATTTCCGGAGGAAGCTCTGGCTATAAAAGAGGTCCAACAGTCAATATTAATGTGCGTGATCAAGCGTTTGGCCAAAGATTCAAGATGCATAGTACATCGTGTTCTACTTCCGGTGAGAGAACCACGTCCTGGCTGGATTCACATTGCGGCGCCATCTAGTCCAGCTTGTCCCGATCAAGGAGAGCTGTTTGGTGAAATGGTACATTTCTTACTTTTCTTTTTAAACTATATAAAGACTTTGTTTTTTAAAGTATATTAAATATATTTCTGGAATGGACCTTGCAGGACATTCGGCACCCTGGGGGTCCGTAGACTACAAGAACATTCCGAAAACATTTGCTAGAATAAACTTAGTTTATATAATAGTTTTGATTAGTAAATAATTCTTATTGCTTTCCAATAAGCTGACAACACTGTTGGCGTGCTGCTGCCGGAGGAAGAGGTTTATAACCTCGCTAATGAAACAAGCTCGAGATGATTGTATACTCTTGGCGGTGAGAGGTTGCGAAGCTGCGCAGGAAGCTCTTTGCTTGATGCTGGAGTGGTATTTGTTACCGAACGAGGAAGCTCGTTTGCAAATAGTCAATGCTCTGGAGTCGACCACGTCAGGCAAGAATCGTTATGCTGCTCTTTGTCAGAGACAGAGAAATCTACAAGAACTGGTGAGTACATTGTGACTCTTCGAATTCGATTGAAAACTACTAAAATCGCTATCGAACTGTTTACAGCAACAGAAAGGAGGTCCCCGGAAGCTGACGCTACCAGTCCGAGCGACGGACGCTGATGTGGCGCTTCTGTTAGGTGGAAGAGCTCTCGGCAATCTTGAATGTCTCAGCTTAGCCTTCACTTCAGTGACTTCCGCTTGTGCTGAACAGCTGATCAAATTACCAGCCTTGAGGTATCTCAATCTATGGGCCACGCAGTTCGGCGATGCTGGTTTACAAATGATCAGCGAACACCTTCAGAAACTGCAAGTGTTGAATCTCTGCGAAACCCCTGTTTCGGATAAGGGAATCTCTACTTTGGTCTGTAAGTATGATTTAGCTTATTGTTAGTCAATGAATTTGTCACCTAAGACCATGTACACATTTGGATACTTTCGTTTTACAGCACTGACAAGTTTGAGGAAATTGAATCTGAACAGCACGAAACTTTCCGTTCAGACGTTCGAGTCCCTGAAGAAATGTTTACCAGCATTGCAGGAGTTTGACGTGAGGTACACGGAGGCATGGTGACCAGAACTTTCACCGTACATCAAATCGGACAATTCCACTAACTCTAGCCTTCAGGAGAAAAGACAACGTTAAAGTTACATTAGATAAGTGAAGAAAAGATTCGATCGTGATTAGTTACGAGTTAAGTAGGATGTTTGCTGGCACACGTACGTGCCGTTCTGATCAGTAACGAAAGTTCTATTTAGACGTATCTCTGGGACCGGAAACGGCTGTTAGAAAAACAAATCGAGAAGCTGAGTGACTCGGATTTAGTCGGATCTCATTTAATTTTGCGGATGTTAGAATTGTTAGTACGTGGCTAGGACCACAATAAAAGCCTGAAGTGAATGAGTCATCCGAGGAACTTCAAAGAAGTGTTGCAAACTGCCGAAGAACCGTCGTTGAAACAGAAAGATGAAAGACACGTTCGAGGAGGCGGGTGAAACTTAGAATAGCTTAGAATTGGAATCCGGTTGCGTCTCTATAAATAGTTGATCCATGCGACAGCGATTAAGAGGACATCGAGAGGTTACTTCAATGGCGCTGGGACTTGTTTGCGAGTCCCCAAGTGCCTTCATCTTTCCTGGATCCTATATGTTCCAATCGTTCTATTTTACGTCTTCTATATCAGATACAACGGACGATTTTAATATTTATTTCAATTGAATGATTTTCATTTGAGATTCTGTTGCTGATTACTTAACAAGAATCGTTGGTCCTCTTTCGTAGCATCAACGAGACTTATTCCAAAGGTGACCAAACTTGCTCTGTGATTCTCTTCGTGTCCATTCTCCTCCTGTAGATACGAGAACTTAACTTGCCATAATTTATGGGAAACATGGATACAAAGAGAGGGAAGGTCCATAGAGATATAAGAATTGACCGTTTTCTTTTTATTCTTATATCTTTAGAGGGAAGTCTTAAATCTCAAGTCAAATTGGTCATCTCTGTACATCGTAACACTTTGATGGCCGGTTTTTACATGTCTGTAACCTTAACCTAAACTTAATCTTCAACAGTTTATGTGGTGATTATCTATTAAATACAATTTAAAATCATACATCACTGGTAAAAAGTTTGAGATTATCTAATTCGTTACTGAAGTAGACGATAATTCTACCAACAATGTTCAACTTCCGGATGTTCTGTGATTCACACGGCAGACGGATGCAGGGTCATTTTGACCCATTGTTAAGATGTCATTATATGGGAGTTTTGAAGACTAAATTGTGTATGTACAAAGTTTAAGATATGTTTTCATGTGTAAATATTATATTTAAGTATAACGAAATATATCCAGAAAAAGAGGTAAATACAATGCTGCAAATGTGTATTTAACTCTCTAAAAGGGTTAATATAGATACACTTGATACAGAGAGCAGTTTTATTTTTTGCATTAATGTCACAAATAAATCTGCTATATTTTTCATATATTTTTTCTTTTAACATATTTGGATCAAAATGATCTTGTATCTGCCATGCAGGATTAATTTATTCGTTTAGCTGTTATTAACTAAACTTTTTTCTGAGGTTTATAATTCATGTTTTCCAGTACTCTAAACCATTTTTATTTTAAATACTCAATAATCCAAAAGTAATGGCCCAAATATGGATTGATATTGGGGACCTCATGCGGAGAAACTTACAAGGGGAGCTACCCAAGTGTTACACTCACTTATTAATGAAACTTTCCCAGCTTGTAGAGCTCATCGAACTGAACACGCCTATACCCCGTTTTGTAGACAGACGACTAATTGTTTAAAACATATTAATAATTAAAGTTAGTTACTACTTACATTGAGAAGTATGACAGACTCACACATACAACTCGCAATCTAGAGATCCACGGTTCAAATCCTTGATTCCCAACATTTTTTTTTTTTAATGATAATTTGTCTCTTTTTAAATAACTATTACATAAAAATTATCATAAAAAAAAAAATTTTTTGGGAACCAAGGATTTGAACCGAGGACCTTCAAATTTCAAGTCAGGGATCGGCACCGTGGTTAAACACATGACTCGTAATCTAAAGCTCCTCGGTTCAAATCCTGGGTTTCCGTTTTTTTTTTTTTTTTTTATATAATGATAATTTTTATGTAATAGTTATTCAAAAAGAGACAAATTATCATTAAAAAAAAAAATGTTGAGAACCAAGGATTTGAACCGTGGATCTCTGGATTGCGAATTGTATGTGTGAGTTTGTCATATTTCAGAATGTAAGGAGTAACTAACTGTAATTGTTAATATCTTTTGAACAATTAGCCATCTGCTCCCAAAAGGGGGTAACTTTAGAGGATCTTTGTCTCTCCTGTACGTAGACAGGGATAGAACAACCCTCAAATAGGGGAGACAAGGATAGTCTGAAGTTTCTAAGTTTTCCCACATGAGGCCCTCAATATCTATTCAAACTTACAATTAGGCTGCCATTCCTGTTCACCTCTAACTAACATGAACAAATAAAGGACTCGAAAATAAAAGATGAAATTATTTAATGTATTTTAGTGAACAATTATTGAAAATATGAAAATCATTACGTTTATTAATTTATACATAATAAGCTTAGATGTTGACTGTGAAACATCAATGTTTCTTGTCCTTTATAGGGTGTCATTCATGTACAATGAATATTCCTTGAAACCTGAGGCCGTCAAAGCGGTTAGGGAAGATTATTTTTCAAAGGAAATGTTAATCCTTGAAGACAAAGTGACGAATGTTTCTTCAAATGTGATCTGTGTAGTTGAATGAATGTAGTTTTATAAAAGGGAACAGAAATATGCATTTAATTGAGAGTTGATTTAATTGTGCAAATATAAAAAAAGGACTAATTAATAGCGTTAAGTGAAACAAACTTCTGTATAAGTGCGTTTCATTCAGATTTGTTTGAGTTTAATTATAAGTAACCAAAGACTTGTTCATTTAGATCCACACTTTGGGAACTTGTTGAAATGCCGAGCAGGGAATGCAATCGTTTTTTAAATTATTATTAAAAATCGGTGCTTTTCATTTTGTCAAATGCACATGTTCTTATACAAACAGTAGTTTCCTATTAAAAGACGAGGTGTTCATATTAGTTTGTTAACAGGAGCGAATGCAATGAGCGTTACCGGAAGCGAGGTGAGATTTATTTTATGTATATACTTTAGCTAACAATAAGAGGATAAACGAACTTCCTGCAAGCGAAAGGATTCTTTGATGAAGTTCTTCTCTTATAAAGAATTCTTGCTCCTTTCCTTCAAATAGCGCTCAACTGCCTTAGCGATCAAGCTCTGAGCGACCACTGCCACAAAGCGCGTGAAACTGGAACAGGTCGAAATTAACCCGTTCAGGACGTTAGCGAAATTCACAAAAGGCTCGATACTGTAACGTGTGCTATCGTTAATTTTTCAGTTTCTAATTCAGTCACGGACTCTTGTTTCTGTTCTGAAAATAATATTACCTATACTTACCCTATAAGTTACAGAGACTAAAGAACAAAGGTTGCTCATTAGTGAGTTACGTGGTCCTGAACGTGTTAATTTGTTCCAACCGTATTAGAGTCGAATCACTCCGTTCGAATCGAACTCTGTACACGCGAACCGCGCTACACTTTACTTTAAGACTCGAAGGAATTTGTATTATTTACCTTTTTCTCGCCTACGATAGATTATATCAAAGATGCCCAAGCTCGGGGCTTCCCCCTCTTCGTGTACATTCCTCTCGTATTAGTTATAATTTGGATACGACTTCGAGTACGTCGGTAAATTATGATTAATTTTGTTAAATATCAAATAGTTTCGAATAAGATGTTCATTGAGTTCGCATGTGATCAGTGATTGAATTTTAAGGGAAGAGTGGGTAGCCCCAGGTATTTAAATGAAACAAAAAAAAACAATATATAATCAATAAATTTTAATGAAATTACTCTCTCACGAAATAAACATAAGAATTTCCTGATTCATTATAACTAAAAAGAATAGAACATTTTTTAAAAATAATTTTAGAAAGAAAATTAATAAATTGTAGCCTCTATTTTTAAGCAATTAAAAAGATGGCGGGTAGCCTCGGACATAATTTTCAACGATCATACAGGCGTTCTTTATCCTTACATACATCATAATAAAAATATAAATTTGACGGATCAATATTTGCATATTCTTCATGCGATTAACCTTTGCATTTAATATCTTGTATCCAGTCTTCTTCTTAAAAAGATTTTGAATGTTTTGTTTCGTCTTCAGCTGTTTATCTTTAGTGCTTATACCTCATAGGTATTGATATTCGTGACGTGGGTTTTGCATTAATTTCCAATTAATACATTGGTTTATCTAAACTCAGCCACCACAGCCCATCCTATATCTTCAGTGTATTATCGGATATAAGGTATGTGTATAATGCGACATATCTGCAGAGGTACAGATAATATGTATACAGTTTATGGGACACCTAACAATTCTCCTACATAATTTCCTATCAATACATAGTACGTGCATTTTATCAATTTTTAAGGAAGAATATACCAAAAATAAAGTTTCCTTTCTTTAATCATTTTCCGTATGATCACGGTACATATAATTAGGCGAAGTATTTGCACGGGGTATCTGCTAATATACTTGCCGAAGCTCGCTACCGAGTTCAAATCGTGTTGGTTTTCCGGTCTAGAGAGCACAGTTAATATTCAAACCAGTGACTACAGATCCAATAAGACTGGACATGCCTTTGTTTTCGAGGAGTGCTGCATTTGTATTTAAAGAACAAGCGTTATTTGATCTAAACTAATGAAACACGTCGCATTGCAACAGTTTAACGCACGTCTACTGTGCGTTAACAGATGGCTTCGATATCAATGACTATACCCCATCACTCACTGTCTCGAGCCAGTGACTACAGATACCAAAAGACTGGACATGCCTTTGTTCTTGAGGAGCCATCATTTTGGAAGTTCCAGATACCCCCATGCGAGGTTAAATCTGCACGTCCCTCTTTTACCACACCTCGCACTGACAACTGAAAAGACCCAATTATGAATCCCTTTGATTCTATTACTTTAGAAATCAGTTAAGATCAGCATAAGACCGAAAAATTATTAAAATAATTGTTTGACAAACTTGTATTCACTTTGTGCGCCTTGATAAATAAATCATTTCAACAAAAATAAGAGAGTTATTATTTAAATTCCTTACATTCCTTATATCATTGTATCCCTTATATCTCTGCATCCCTTAGATCCTTGCATCCCTTACATCTTTGCACCCCTCACATCCTTGCAGCCCTTACATCCTTGCATTCCAATGTATCCCTTCTTAATTATGTATACATATAATTATTGCTAAATAGTGCTACTTGTATTTCCACAAATGGGCGGGATTTTTGCGCCCTCTAACGTTAAAAATTGGAATGAAATTTTGCAAAAATATTGGCCCCCTAGCGGCAAAAATTTGAACTAAAATTTCGACGCCGAATCAGCGCCATCTGGTGGCAGAAAAAGGAACTAAAGCATGCCGAAATTTTGGCCCCCTAGCGGCAAAAATTTCAACTAAATTTCGAATGTCGAATCAGCGCCTCCAGGTGGCAAAAAAAGAACTAAATTCTGCATAAAATTTCGTTTTTCCAATCATATATTTAATTTAATTACTGGGATACAGATATTCAAGGGATGGAAGGGATTCAAGAGATGCAGAGATGCAAGGGATGCAGGATAACAGGAATACAGGAGTGGGTTTCACGTGTCCAACAAAGAGGGAAAACATAAATAATTGGGAATGGTGGACTTCGCAAGGTCCATAAAGAGGGATGGAATAATAAATAACTGGGAAGGGTGGGCTTTGACCCATAAATAGGGACAAAATAATAAATTTTATTGAAGGTATATTTGACAGGTAGATCCGCACTCTTCGGCGGCCGTGATAGGAATAACTAGGTTTCCCCTTATACCAGGTCGAATGGTTGACAGCGGTGTCCGATCATCGGTGACGTTCCGTTTCACCACTGCCACCTAATTAATCATCTTATAAGGATGAAAAGCCATCTTTAGGTCAATTAGTTCAATTTAAGTTCTGAAAATGAAACCAAAGCGCATTGCACTGGAGATTGACGAAACCAATAAAATTTTCACTTGCAAAGTGATTTATCTGTAATCTAGAGTTAATCCAGCAATAAAACAGAAGCATCCAAAGCCGGTGTTAATTTATAGTTTTGTTTTTGCGGTATTCGCTGGCTAAGCGGTTTAACGTGCATGGATTAGTGGCCGCTCGTAGGGCTCCGTACCTGCGCTTGGTTCGTGTGTGCAACGTGGAAACGTTTTTTCCCAATTGGACACATTTGTTCGTCTACTTGGCGATGAAGATAAAAAGAAACGTCTAATTTACAGAATTATCGTGTGGCACGAAATCCGCGAATAAAAATAAGTGAATAACTTCACCATCCTGCGTTTCTAATCCTCGTTCTAAGAAATATAGCCAAGAAAAGATAACAGGAAGAAGAAATTAACGAGAATACTTTATTCCTTTCAAGGGACTTTTTGCGAGCAGCGCAATATACATCAGTAAGCAGTTACCATAGGTGTTTCAGTCAAATGTAACCCAGTAGAGAGGCGAGATACGTTTGAAACGTAATCTGATCACTGCATCAGGGCATGTATCAATTACGTTTGTCGTAAGCCGTGCTAATCAAGTACAGTTGCTTCAGATATCTCTGTACAACAGAGATAATGCAAGGAAATGGCGGGAATATGTTGACTTCATTGTTGGAACCGCGTCTGACGAGTGACTAATTACCGTGCTAAAGGCATCCGAACGCATCATTGTTCTTTGAAGAATAGTTGGTTACTCGATTCGAAGGAAGAAGAAGAAAACGAAAGGGGAATGGGAAGATAAACGAAGAAGAGACGTTTCAAGCGTAGGCGACGAAAAAGCAAAGCTGTTACACCTCTCGATTCAGCCTCGTTTCTCGGCTCATTAGCTTCAAAATGGCGTCTAATGTGATTTACACAGTTCCATACTATGCTTCGCCAGACATTACAAGGAACGAGCTTCGATTGCTTTCGTGGCAGAGCAAATAGAACCGAGGGTAACAAAGAGAACGTTCCTTCCTGTTAGGTTAAGGGAAATCGTTTGCACAAATTATCAAATTAATTGAAAATTCATTACTGTCTTTTGTCATCGTATATTGCCTTCAAACAGCAAGTTTTGTGGTTTATTTAATTTCATAGTCTTGTCGATAACAAATGTTCGTAAACAAAATTAATTAAAAACCTATTTTATTCGTACAGAAAGTGGTAACAAAGTCACAAAAAGAATATGTAAATATACATATTACCATACATTAAATTGGGTCAATCATGAGTAAATGAAGAAAATAAAATTACTTTTTTAATTACGTTGCTAATAATCTATTAAATATATATCAATTACGTTATCTGCTTAATTCATTGGTTATAAAATAATCAGTGATAATTAAAGTCAGTTTTTGTTTTAGGATACAATAAATACTTTTTAAAATGTAATTAATTAATTGTATCACCTTTCAGTATTCAAAGCCAGCCCTTCATCTTTAATTAAGCCGAAAGCTACTTTCTAGGTCGGTTTACATTTGGCTGAAATTCTTTCCATTGTTTCGTAAAAATATATAAATATTGTGCAAGTGTGGGAGATTGTAATTAACAAGTTTTATATCAACGGATTGTATTAATTTGCACGAGCGCGTTGTTGGTCTAATTGGTGCTGTCCGAATCGACGTAGCCTAGAAACAAAGCATAGTTGGGTCAGTGTAATGTCATTTAAAAAAATTTGTTAGGGTCATGGATGGTTTTTTATATTTAAAATTGATATGCAACAACCTAACATAGGTAACCAACAGAATGTCCAGTTAATTAATGATGATTAACTTATCTTATTCATTCTGATTGTAGCTCTCTCCATCCTATACCGGTCCGAATTACCAATTTTTTTTGTTCCATCGATTCACTCCGTTCTTCTTCTCTCTCCGTCGCTTGTCTCTTTGTCGTCATGTCTTCATTCCCGGTTTTGTTCGCTTCTCGTCGTCCACGTCCTCCGCTTTTAGTGTCGTAGTTCCGAGCGACACGTTCGAATGCACGCGGCACTGGTAAGCTAGCTTTCCGACTAATTAAATTTCCTTCGTACGCGAAAACGACATAGGAACAACAGGAAATACCCTCTTCTCTCGACGCATAGCCACCCCTTCTCTGTCCATCCCCGCCCGCAATTGCGGTCCTATTTTCCGTCACGGATCTCGTCGGTCCGAATGGAATTATGATCCAAGAATTATCGTCAACGACTGTCCTCGTCGTTTCGCGAATGCGACGTGTGATTTTGCCCTGGAATTATCGTGATAAGCTGAAAGGGGATACGATCCCGTGGATCGTTGATTCCCGTTAATTTAAGAGACGCCCGAGTGCGATATTAACCGTCTCGTCGGTTCATCGACGATGGGACATTTCTCTGTTAAGCTTTTTTGATGGATTTATAGTCTTGTCTGAGGATTCCTTTACAGAGAATGGTATTTATATCAGGATGCATAGAAAGGATTGTTAAATTTTTAACTAACTTTATTAAAAATGGAATTAACTTTGTTCTATTGTAAGTTCTAATTGAGAAAGTTCGGTTAAAGGACGTTTGAGGAATTTTCTTTCTTAAATGAAAGATTAATGTTCTGTATGTTCTTATTGAGTCTTATAAAATTTTAAGTGACGCACCCCTTGCTCTTGCCCCTTCCTGACGATTTCCTTACAGATTAATTTTTTACTGGAGGAATAAAAAATACCTTGATTTTTCGCATAATCGTTCCGTCTTTATTGATCATTTATGTACAATGTACAGTGTTGAGTACACGCCAGGAGCTGCTCATTTGCGGTATGGCGCGTAAAGAGAACCGGAAACCGCGATTCCGCGACGAACGCGTCCGCTCCGCAAGCCGGCATACACGCGTGCAATAATTCACTGGTCCGTAATAACGAGTTGGTAACTGGCTAATGAATAACCGGTGAAAATTAAACAGCTTGCAAATCGAGTTTCGAGTTACGTACAGATTTGTGAAACAACAGTTGACATCTGTTGTATTCGTGTGTGAACGTGTTGATTGAGCTGTGTTGCACAACGCAAAACAAAAATATCCTTCGCCGTTGATGAATGCTTAATTTGAACGAAAGACTGATATGGACTTTAAGTGCACTCCAAAATATTAAAACCTTTATGTTTGGAGTGGACGTATACTTTTTTGTATTGCCTTGTAAGCTAGTCGTTGCTTCCCCATTAGTTCTTGGAACTCGCCTCGTTGAGTAGCCCTTTGATGTTTAAAGTTTTAATATTTTCAGATGAATTTAAAACCAAGTTTCATGTTTTTATACATCACATTGGAAAAGATCGGTAGTAAAACTCGCATGTTACTACCTTCTCTGTTTTTTAAAAGGAAAGGTAATAAAGAATACCTATTTACGTGGCGACCATCTACAACGAAACCTTACTTTAAAATTACATACGTAGAATTTGCTAATGGACACGGGGCAGGTGCGTTGTGGTAACCCGTTAATTAAAATATAGTGTACACATTTCTGACGTTACACGTGGTTGTTGTGCAGAAGCTTTTGGCACTTAAAACTGACCCTGTACCCGGTTTAACAAGCTGTAGCCCGGTTGAGGTTTGCGGATTTACGTCTTTGCGCCGACATGATGTATCGGGGACATGTTTTATTTAGGTTACCTGCCAGTGAATTAATTAAATCCTAATGATTAAAAATTATCACATAAATTCAAATTGTTGAAGAAGGCGTACATTATTAATTATAACACTTACATTCATTTATGCATGTATTTATTTTTAATTAGAATACCAGAGTTAATATGTTTCAAAATATATTTATATACAGGATTTTGGTGAAGGAAAATAATTGAACACGTATTGACATCATTTTAAGAATAAACAATAGAACAGATTTAATATAAATATTTAATTTCATTGATTTTTATTGCAACAATCATTTGTACATTTTTACAGAAAATATTACTGAACAAATATGCATCTGATCTAGTGAGAATATTTACAAGTAATTAACGAGCAAATAATTGAACAGAATCATCAAAGCCAGCTTTACTGGCACGCAATCATGATTCCGTCTCAATAAATAAATAGAAAGACTACTTTTCCATCAAACTATTAATTAAAAATTATGTACCTCAGCTCTACGATCTGGTAAGCAATTATTAATTAATTGAAACGTAATGTAATGAATTTATGTATTGTCATAATTGTAAATTTTAAAGCAACCTTGATTAAATTCGAATCAAATTACAATGGCGTTTTGTTTAAATTAAATCTATTAATTTATTATGTATACACATGTTGCTTTGTATGCATTTCATTTGGTCAGAATAATTAGTTTCTCTTAATTACCAACATTATTATTAATATATCGTTTCATTTTTAATAATTGATTATTTCAAAAAGCTATCGTTGCCATTCGTGGTTAACCAAGTACATTCTCCAAGGGGGCAGTCAGAACTTTCGAAGGCTTTCGTTGAAACGAAAATTACGGTGTGCAAGCAAATGAAGGAAATCAGTTGCTCACGGATGGGATTTAATTGAACAAACATTAGAAAGAGCGTGTCGGGTCAGGGAGCACTTCCCTTCAAGTATACTGCCGTCGACAGTTTGAGGGGGACGGCCGGGTAGGTTGGAGGCAGTGTTTGCACCCCCGTGGCAAGCTCTCCCGTAGCTTCTGCAACCCGAGACATAAGTGCAACTCGATTTGCATATTTAACTCGACGAGCGTGCTGAACTGCCAACCCTCCGTTCCTTTAACATACACTTCCCGCCCATCTACGTCCTTCCTCGACGATCCTTCGCCACCCTGGCCCGGATTCGATTTACTTGCAATCATGCTGCGGATTAATTAGTTTCTCCTAACATAAGTGCATACGAAGCAGATCAGCAATGTCGAATGGCCGTTGCTTTCCTAGCTGATTGGGTCTAACGGTAGGCTCGTTGTTTGCCGATCAACTGACGGAAAGAAAGTACTAGAAGCTGGTAGTAGAGGAACCCAATGGGGAATAATCCGGGTCATTCAGTTCGAATCTGAAGTCAGAAATATCTTTCCTTTACACAATTCCCATAAGTACACCTTACAACAGAACTTCTTCATTAGGCTCATTAGCCGGTGCTTCGTTTCATTAGCGGAATGGCAACAGTCGGGAAAGTATAATCAAATAAAATTATGACTGTCTCGTGCTTTGTGTCCAGACATATTACATTCCTCTAAAGTGTCTTCTCTATTTACTTTGCAACGATCTGCGTCGAGATTCTAACTCCCAGAGGACGTTGAGGATTCGACTCTGGTCGGGGCTAACTCCTGGTAAATTTTGATGGGGATAGGGAAACTATGACTAATCTCATATAGAATCTACTTTTAAAGTGGGTACGGTGAGATATGGCACTATACATATACATATATATACTTTATATTTAACTGTAAAGTGATTTTTTACCTGAAAATCTTTCACGCCTCAAAGATGATAAATGATGCGTTTCCTTAGAAGCGGAACGAACATCGTGTAGACTTTGTAAGTTCACGGATAAGAGTGCTTTCCATCAATGACTTTCAAGCAGTTTCTCGAAAGAATTCGATCCGCGAGCGTCTCGACTGACCTCGGCCAAGTGCATTTTGAAGATGAATTTTCGCTGGCGCGCTTTGGAAGAGGACGTGAATTAAGATCGAAGGTTGAGGAGATTAGAAAGGTGCCAGAAGCATGCCAGGACCATTTGTCAAGGGCCGCAAATTCGATTCGAACGGCGCAAACATGATGTAAATCCACCGACATCGAAGTTTTACGCCATCGGCAATTTATTAAGTTTCACGAATAAAGGAATCTTAAGAAAATTCAGAAATTCTGATCCCTCTTTCGCTAAATTTTTAGTAGTACCTGTTAGAACGATTATCAAGTCCTAACAAGTCAATCAGGGCTTAATTGCAAACAAGCGAAAGTTCGATGCTTCCGTCGAAAATTACAAGCACAACGACCTGGGTTTACATTCCAACAGCGTTTCCTTTCGACGCGTTGTCGTCTCAAGCTATACGTTCGATGCACCAGAACACATTGCACACATGTGCACTTTCCTAGCGGAATTCATATCGCTCTTATAGATATAGCTTGCGTACATACACACGTGTGTTCCTGTCTACGAAGCATAGGTTCGAGTAAACACCATGGCATAGGAGGCTGCAAGGACCTCCGGAAAATGCAGGGAATTCAGAGATCTGCGATGCAATGTTGCTATTTCTTCTGCTTCAGAGAGGACAGATATGAAACATGACATTCAATTACGTTCAGTTTCTATTGCGTCTCGTGGTTTTCACATTTTCTTATTTCACAGCAGATGTGCTGGATTCGTGTTATTTGAAATATTTCATTTTAGTTACTACATTGATTGACATATTGAAAATGTTTCATAATTGTCCTCTTTTAGGGCTGTAGAAATAGGTCCTTCAGGAAACGAGAAAAAAAATTGGGATCTTTCTAAGTCCTAATGGTATACAATGTAACAATATTGAATTTATCATAGAAATTTGTTAATTAACTTCAAAGTAACACGGAAGTTTATAGAGTTTAAGTTCTGAAGCGTGACTGAAGCGTGAATAACCGATGTGTGCACATTATCTCGTTGAAAGACCGGTCAATAGCGTTCGAACGTGCTATAACTTGTCCGTGGTTGTTACTCGACCATAATTCCATACTCCGTCTGCCCATATTCATGAGGATCAATCACGAATTGGTCGCATCCTAAAACAGCATGATGCATTGCATAATTTCAAAGGGGTATTTTATCCTGTAACGTATAGCGAGGCTTTCTTTCCCTATACCGCCATTTTTCCCCTAGAGAATCCTACCGTACTCAGTACTGTACAAATGTCCTAATATGTACTTATGGGCATTGGTGTATAGCCTGCCAGTTACCTGGCAATAGCGAGCGGCAATCTGGTCTGGCTGTTCCATGAATGTTCCATAAATGTATTATACCAGCCGTCTTTCATAACCTCGTTTCGATTTGGCCTGGAAGCTTCCGTAGCCTACGTGTAAATAATCTTAAACTGTCAAATGCACGTGCCAAAGACCGATCTCCGACGATTCACTGCGAAACATTCACTGCATGTATGTATGAACATGCTTGTTTGTGCGTGGCTGTATGTGTGATTATGACACGTCGGGACAGTGAAATAATCGTGCAGCCATCATATGGTACAATGGCGAAATAGTAGCTTCATGGGTATATGGTATGTATATAGGGGTGCTTAGTAACACGTGGGACCCACTTTGATACCGAACAAAGAAATTCGTGTAAATACGCTGCTAGACAATATCATAAGATACATTGATAATTATTAAAACATAAAAGAGATTAAAAAATAAAATTTCATATAAAAAAGTCGATCAACGAGCATAACAAGTGTGAAATATTTATACTCCTTCCAAGAATTAATAAACGACGTTCGCTAATAATGTGCAATAATTCATTCCAATAAAATCGTATTTGGTAGGTGGAATTAAATCGATTTATGAGTGAAAATCCGTTCAGAATGTTTCTGGTACACAGCAGCATACTCCTTATTATTTATGGTATTACATTACACTGTATCACTGTCACAATAATTAATGGTTCCCGTTCCCGTTTTGAAGTTTCCAACGTTAAACGCAAAACACTAATGAACGGTTTCAGTCGACATGGGAGAGGAGCTGCGTCAATTTACTTTGACGATTCTCTGAAGACTCTCCAAATTATTTGCCCAGCTCCTCATAAATAAGGATCTAATCTGGTTACAGATGTAACCAAAGCATCTATGTACTTAGGAAACGATTCACCTAGCGTCTACACAGAGCGTACCAGAGTTTAGTACCTAGAAAACAGCATATGTAGGATGTACAGCACCGACAAACTTAAGTTCCCCTAGGGAGAATGGCGCTCTAGTGGAAAACGGCTGCACTACATGCGGTTAAGCGTTTACTCAGGAAAATTGTATTTAATATTTTTTGAAATTTTATATTATAAAACTTATAACTTTGGATTTAATTTTGTTGATATAAAACGGTTCATTTTTCAAAATGAATGAAAAAAGAAAATATCGATTACGCTAAAGACGCGGTTTAACGGAAGTGCATCGTGGTTAAGCTTGTTTTAAACCACATGCGACCAGGCGTCGCATAAGCGCAAGCACTGAAACCGAATTAATGTAACGAAATATCTAATATGCGTCCCAGAGTTGAGGCTAACTGGCTACCCTAAAATTGCGTTTTCGGTATATGGCTATGAGCCAAGAATTCTCGTTGCATTCACTGCAGATATATCGTTAAACTGACGATAATTATGTAATTGATTTTAGGTTATATTAAAATCTATATGTTATTCGAAACGATCTCAATCGCCCCGCTATTACCTCCAGCAGCTACAGAATCACTATTTTCCCTTGGCCACGTTCGTGGCAAAATCCTTCAAGCGGTTTGCTTTTCCGCCAGCAAAAACTCTTCTTCCTTCTTGCTCTCGGACTTCCTCTAAACAGCAGAAAGAAGTTCCTTTATAACCTCTAGCCAGAGTCTAGTTTGTGGCACGACGTTCACGTACTCCTTGCATTTCCTTCAACACAGCACCCTTCCTACTTCCACATCTCTGTTTCTTCATTTCGATTTCTATTTATTTCTTTTTTTTCACTATTTTTCTTTACCTTGAAAAACTGCTAAGTAGAACCAACAGATGAATGTTTTCAACCCTTGGTGCAGTAAAGTATTAGATCGTCCCATAAAATTTATAAAGAGACTGATAAATTGGTAAATTTAAAAATTTGGTATATTACCTTTGAATGTCTGTAAGTTACTTTCCTTCGTCCATACACACCTACGAACTATTATATATGTATATTTTGGATAAAGTTTTGTGCCAACAGGGTGCAGTTTATGTTATAAACTCATCAAGTTTCCTTATCCTTTAAACTTAGTCGTATTACGGTATGTGATAAATTAAGCAACAAGAAACTGTTCAGGAAATATATTTATTACTGTAACAAACTGAGAAAGTTCCAGATAGCCAAGTTCCAACAGCAAAAATATTGATAATAAAAAATGCAGTTCATAAAATTACCGTTTCACCGTTGGACTGAGAATATTTCCGACTTCTATTCGTTGACCGAATAACTGTCAAAAAGAATCATTGTGATATGTTGAAGAGGGAAAGAATCGTTTGTTTTCTGCTGTGGGAGCAGGGATGAGAAACGAGAACAAGACGTCCATTGAAAAAATTGGCTAAAAATAAGAGGAAAAAGACAGTCTGTTTCTGGTCTGAAGTATACTTTCTCTTCAAGTTTGACTTTCGTTGTTAGCAGTTTCATTAGATCAAAGGGAGTACATACAATACCGACGGGCAAGGTGTTTTAAGTGACTGTGAAAGGGAGCGAAGATCGTTAGTGTTCTATTTTTTCTCGTAACACGTGGTCTCAGCACTCAAAGCCTTATTGGGTAGAGTTGAAGGGTTGTCTTCTCTTTGAATGAAATTAGATTGCTAAATACGTGCCATCTGCATTAGGGTAATTAGGTATGGACTGGGCATTCTAAACGTAAAGATTATAGGATTAAAGTTCTACAATTTTACAGTTTTAAGACCAGGAAATTTCAGAATCCTGAAATTCTACAATTTTAACAACGAGATTCTACGATTCTAAATCACCCTTTTGGGACTAATTTTGATTAGGAGAAGCTCGGAGTTCACAGGTTGAGTTCCTAGATTCTGTTCGAACCAAAACTCACACCTTAACAACTGTAATTGTTAGACCATGTAATCCAGGCTGACAAGATGGCCAAGTAATTCTGACGGTCATTAGCATTCGCCCATGAGCGTACGTGTGTTGCTTGCAACTTTATTCAAAGTTTCTCTATGATTATGGCAATGTTTTGAACGAAGACCTTGCGTAAATACGTGAACCTCCATCTTGGCCCGTGGCAACAATTAATGGAGTCGCGAGTCCATTCTCGCTCATTAACGATTTCCCAGTTACGTGCAAGACTAGGGTAATACTTTGAACTTTCTAGACTTCTGATATCTTGTCAAGACTCTTGGGACACATATGTAATTCCTACATCGTGCGGGGATGTCTTACACAACTGGGTCGAGGTACCTAAGAGGGTAGAAAATGGTCTTTATTTCCATTACCAAAATTTTAACATCGAATGGAGTATCGCGTAAAGAGACAAATGCAATCACCTTAAATGACGGACACCTAGTAGCAATATCAACTCGAAGATTAGGTCTCGAATTCGAATTTCAGCCTCAAATCCAGCGTTACGTATTCCGACGACCACGGAAGCGGAAATATCTGCGGGAAGGGTGGTTTCTAGTAGTGGGGGCGGAAAGAGCGTAACCCATAAAGCTGCGCAACCAGGCATTCTCCCGGCAGTAAGCGTCGCGACACCCCTCGAGGATGTGGTATACGGTATTTCTGCGTGAAGATCCTCGTCACGTGGTTACCCGAATGGTCGCCGATACATTTTTATGTGGTAAAAGAGGAACCCTTGTTCTATTTATCGAATCAATCTTTGTTTCGCGTTGACAAGATTGAAATTAAAAGGATTTTGAAAGATAGTGCTTTTGTGTGTCATTTGCAAAAGTGACGCTAATTGCTTGGAACTGCTGGAATGTCTTCGGTCATTTATCACCAGTGAGTCTTTTTCCTTATTTCATCAGTAATTTGTAAGAATTTGACAGTGGATTATGTATTTATTTATTTTTTATTATTTAAAAGTGAAGACTTTCAGATTTTATTTTTTATTTTATTTCAAGATTAAATCCGAAGAATACACTGAGTCGATTAATGTTTCTTTTATGGTTTCTCTCGTAAGCTACGGGTAAGCCACGGATAAGCTAGGTAACACGGAATGTGTCAATTGCCTTCCCGAGGCGCCTTTTAATACCGTATTAAAACTATAAATAGGTAATTTTTAAATTAACACGAAACTCCTTTTAGGCAACCTTAAAGTCTTTTACTCAAACTACATAATATTGTAAAATTAATTCAAAACAGCTTTCCATACACTTCTTTAAATGGTATGTAAAATATTCAAATACCATTCACTAATCAAACCATTTCTGTTCAAATATAGTATCTGATGAAAATAAAATAGATTTAAGTAGAAAATGTTTTGTAAAAGATAGTTACTATCACGTACATCAGCGTTACAGACATTCGCTAGGTCATACTGGAAAAGTTCCGAGCAAACATCCATCAAAACTTCAAATCTTTATTCAAACTGATCCCTCTGGTTCCAGTGAAGTACATAAATCACGAAGAAGCGAAGAGTTATACCAGGCGCAATATATTTGGTTTTAATGGAGAAAAAGAATTTCGTTAAATAAATAGAATAGGATAAATCTAGTTACAAAGAAATATAAAATAAAAATACAGTCAATTCCAATTGACTGTTACTATTGAATTAGATCACTAGACACACTGGAAACATGTGGAGTACTCTGTATTGTACATTCAATGTTATTAAGTACTTACCTAACAATAGGGTTCAGATTAAAGCAGAGAACTTTTCCTCAAATTAAATTCAACTAAATCGTAGAAACAGCATACTGTGCGGCTGTGTAATTACGATGGGCTGGCGTAACTGAGAAAAGGTGGAGCCCACGTAAAAGGGGTTCCGTGTAAGCGTAGGGCGTAATCATCCGAAGAATGAGTTAGGTAAGTCGAGAAATCCGCACGTAAGCCTTGCGAGTAAAAAGCACGATGAATTGCGAGAACTTGGAGCCTCGTTCCAACGTGACTTTTTCTCTTGAGTTATAGCGATCGCAAGTGGAAGGTACAGTCACGTCGCGTGAAGCAACGTTTTTCCGAAAATTTCTTGCTACGTGCTGGGATATTTGAGGATCTCGAATAAAAACTTATCTTTACTGTGGTCTATAACAGAAGACTATAACAGGGTGTTCATGGATTCTTTTAGCGCCCTTATCAGTACACAAGAATCCTAATGTATGTTCAAGGATCGGTGAAAGAGTATTAGCCGACTTTCATTCGACGCGATATTACGAACTTTCCGTGTATCAATTATTCATTGCTTACCAAGAAAAGTCGTTCAGAAGTGTCTCTTTGTTCTGTTCACAGAGGGTCGCTGGAAACTAAGGAAGCTCACAATAACAACCACTTTTCAACCGCCCAGCATAACATCAATACAATGAGCAGGTTGTAAAGTATACCCAGGACTAAGCGTCCCAAGCCAGAAGAGACTATCCTCCCTGGAAAGTGTCTATAAAACTTCACCAGTTGTCATCTTCAATTCACGCAACTAACGCGTATTGCAGCACAAGTTTCAATGCAGTGGGACGTTCGGGACAATTCAAACGGACATACATAATGCGTGGAGAACAGTTATACTGGCTGTGGAAGGAAACTACCGAAGTTTCTGCCATCTTGCCCTAGAGTGCAGTCATACCGGAAGGATAAATCGTCCTTAGGGAACAGCAAGGATTTGATTTGCTTACGATGAGACTCTGTGCAGTTTGAACGATCTTGGAAGACATGTCCTGCGAAAAGGCATCACGACGGTTGAGGTTCTTGCTCAACAAGACCAAGAAGCTGGGTTTGAGCACGGACGAAGTAGTCGAGCTACCAGCTGTTAAAAGACTCCTCTCTGCTCGAGTCACATCTTCCTCCACCGCTTGGACGATTTTAGCCATGATCGCTTTGATCCTTGGTGGCGGTGTTGTGCTCGTTTTCTTTTGTGCACCCTGTGTCGCCAAGAGCAGGACGTGAGGATCATTTTATGGAAGCCCATCAGGTAATCATTTGAGACCAAATATACCTCAGAGGACAAGCATTCCCGAGTAGGGAAAAATCTAGTCCCGAGGCTAATAAATTTACATTGGGTAAGTAGCCGGACCAGTAGGCCTTCCCAGTACCTGAGGGCAAGGAAGAGTAAAATGATTGCTTTAATTATTAATTATAAAATTGATGCATTAATTATGTACCCCATTACTCTTACAGATTACTAATTTAGACGGCCATAGAAGCGTATAGTCGTTAATTTAGAATACATTTATTCGGTTATTCGCGTATTTTGCCATGATTGACCCAGTAACAAGTTACCCAACGAAGCGGCCCAATTATTTTACGGTTGATTAAATTCACATAACACAATAATCGACGCCAGCACGGCGCTATTGTAATTAGTTGTTGGTGAATAATTTAAATGGTCGTACGTATTACGACTTACGTTCGACAAAATTTCACGTGACTAACGTTATTTCTAAGCTTGTATTCAAACATGATTGCAGTGCTCTGAAAATATTTAGGTATAAATAAAAGTATTACCATTGAACATATTTTCAATTATCAATTAATTCTGTTTCAGATCGAAATCGATCCCTTTGGCTCTCTAATAAACCTGGAAAGTATCTTAAGATTCAATATATATTATTTAAATAAGAAATCGATTGTAATTAATGCGTAAAATAAGAATTTACAGTGGTAATGTAAAAAAATTCCATAAAATCAGTATGAAGGTAGGTCTTTCATACTTTACTATAGTTACTTGGACGAATAAACAAGAATAATTTAATGTTATCAAGAAATTGTATTTTCTGATGTAACAAAGAATAAAATTGATGGATTTCCTTAGTTGCAAAATGATATGTCACAATATAAAACTAGTAGATATTGTCTAGTTTCCCAGAATGTGGAATACAATGAAGAAAGTAATTGAATTAATTTATTCGCGAGAATACATGAGCTCCTCATTTGCTAAATCGATTAATTTTACAAAACAAAAGAAAGAGAAATTGATAAAATAGAAAGAATTAAGCATCAAGCAAATGCTTTGACACTAAAAATTTTAAAAATTCAGCAAGTAGAGTAAATCAATTTGATCTATAAACAGTTCATATGGAATTTGATTGTTACACGATTAGAATATTGCTCAATTGTATGGGATGATCTTTAAACACTGTGTGGAAACCATGTAAAGGTTTACTTTTGTATGTGACAAAATAAATTTTTGCTAAAGTAGAATGGCATTGTTTCACTTCCCTTCTCGACATCTTATTATAAATGGATTTCAAATGAACAATAAAAGGTGAAAGGGATGCGTAATAAAATTTTGATTTACCTTTAAATGACGTTTTATAGCTTAAACCGAGAAATATCCTCTTGATGCAACAACCTAATAAAATATATGCTAATTTCGGATCCTCGCTAGTTTCTCACGCGCTCGTCCAATTCGGTTTCCTTCTCTCCCTCTATTTCGCTCATCCACCAAACTACCCTCTGTTTACCTGCTTTCTTGCTTATCTTTCCTTATCCTACACCCCCCTTCATTCAACCTTGTTTAACGAGAGTTCGGTAAGAACTTTGACCTGGTCGTTGTGCATCAGACGTTACCCACGTACACGTACGTTCAACTGGGGGTGAAATTCACGGACAATCGACCGTACTCGGCCGGACAATCGTAAATTGTCAGGGTGCTCGCTACTTAAGTAATGAGCAAAACTTGTCTTAACAGCCCCCTTGTCAGCTTCTGCAGTTACGCAAATTATGGGATAAAATGTATGCAAAAAATTGGGATGAGGAGGTGCAGAAATTAAAGGCTTTTTGGTATGCTCCTCCGAAAAGGGTGAATGGTAACTTTATAATCCTTCTTTGGAGACCATAGTAACTACTTAAATTTATTAAACTAACAATAAATGTGTTCATATATATATGCTTAGTAATGGGATCATTTACCTTCATGAAACGACAATTAAACTTCTTCACATTTATCACTTAACTTTCAGGGATTTCAGTAATGTATTTAATAACATACTAAACTTTTCATTAATTAAAACAATTTCTGATTCGCGAATAGCGGAAAGTTTTGTAATCATTGAAATAACATCAAGCTAAAATGTTTCTCTAAGGCGGGACTGTGTTTGCTTTGAATATATATATACCGATTTAATTTTAGTGAATTTATCAGTGCTATTAATTTCTAGATTAAAATCGTTCCTTCAGTTGCTTTTAGCAAACAGACAACGCTCTTGTAGAAAAAGGAAAAGTCGAGTTGGTTGAATTTTAATTAATTAAAAGCTAACAATTGTGTTGTGTACAAATTAAGTAGCAAAAATAAATTACGTGTCGTTTTAAAAAAAGGAAATGGAAACTTAAAAAATGAAATCCTGTATTAATTTGTTTTTATTCTGTATTTTGTTTTGGATTTCAGATTCATCAGACGCGCTATTATGAATTACATTTTATTTTGAAATATACTATCACTCTTTTAAAATCCGAGTTATTCGCGTACCAAAACGATAAATTATTTTAACCCGTGCTCATCCTTTAACCGGATTGAAAATATAAACTTCCCAGTAATCTTCACTAGAATAAACAAAATGTCCGTAATAAATTAAGTACTTATTACATACACTCTTATCGACTATTTAATGCTTTTTAATTTTTTCTATTTTTCAACCTATTAAACGTTCCTGTACGTTTAACGGAGTGATCGATAACTTCTCGACAAGAATAATCAAAACTAAAAACGCAATACTAAAAGGTAGCATAAGAAGTTTCTAAATTTTATAATTAATAAAGGTGAAAATAAACGTCAAAGACAATGATTGCTAAAGTGGGAAGCACTTATAAGGTAAACCGGGTTAACGATATCCTTTCGGATTTCTAACGCGTCCTCCCTGCCAGGATTTTGATTTATTAATCCTGTAGCAATGTCTGCAAAAGGACCAAATGGAGATTCTGAACCCTCGTCGATCACTCTGACCAGCGGAAAGGAGCGAGTGCTCTTCAAACCCCTTTCTCTGACAGCTCCACGATGCTGTATATACGTTGTTCCAGAGATTTTCGTAAAAACTTTAACTCCCGTGGATAAAAATATAATTAAAATGTCATATAAAAACAGTGTATGAAGTTACAATGAAAAAATATGAAACGTGAAGGACACAGTAATGCACTTGCTCTTACACCATTTAATGAAGAGCAAAATACAAGATGAAATAGTATTTCAATAAAATTTACAAACTTTTAAAATCAAATGATCTTCTAGGAAGGGAACATCATGAAAAAATTACCCAGTGTGAAAAACGTGAAATAGCCAATGCACCGTGCAAAAACAAAACATTCTCATTGTATAATTAATTCAAGTGACTTTGTCATATTGCAAGTTGACAAAGTTTCGGGAAGAAAAGCGCGGACTTGTATAACCGTTTCAGTCTGCAGGAAACATAAAAACTTTCCTAATATAAACTTCGTCTATCAACGTCGGTTCTTTGGATGGATTTTATTCGTGATGTGATACGAGACTCATAATCATTGCCGGTTCCTCGTATGCTTTGATGAAATAAGAAAAAGTAGATAGTTTCTTAGAATACTCTGTTACGGTATTCTGATCAGTGCAACTGTTCTCCTTACCCAAACGCGATCCATCAATTTCGAGGATTATTTATCGGCAGAAGTGGTAGAATCCATTTGCAGCTGGTGCTTAGAGTTTCTCCCGTTATGAATATCAGTTTTGATCAAGATCTAGATATCATCGATTATCCTCTATTCGATTATACTCACGGATACTAGTCTCCTTTACGAGCAAGGTAATATCGCGGCCGTGTATGTCCATTTGAGGAACGCGAATCTATTAATCCGACATCGATTAGCAAACTCCCCAATATCGTGTTTCCTGTTACGGATGTATTCTGCTTGATACTGCGTTAAACACTGACTATAATCTTCAATTCACAGCTGTATTATCAAACAAAGAATAGATAAATGACTTCGAATTCTGGAGCTTTAGAATGTTAGAATGTTGAGGTTATACCCGTGCTGAGCCCCTAATGGTTCCAAAGATACTCTACCAAACTACAATAGTATGACTCTTAAGGTATAAACAGAAAATTGAAAAAAATGACATTACTTTGCAGTTTCCAATATTACACGTTTGAAACGACTTTGTAACTTCAAAAACAGCCTGAAAGTCACGTTTGTGTTGTAAACTTTGTTTCTGTAGCTGTTTTCAACGCACTCTGTACATTAAGCTTCTATACCCTTTCGTTTCACTCGAAACATTTAATTTCCGACATAAAAGCCCGCGCAACATTTTATAGCTCTACGGGTTTAACGTACTTCATCCAACGCTAGGTTCCTTTCATCCTATGAAATGAATCAAAAGCTTCGAGCCCGTTTGACTTGATTCACGAAGACTTTCTCGACAATATTTTCATCGATATTTTATCGACCAGTTAAATGGAGCCAAAGTTATAGGTTTTCTTGACAATGTCAATGCAACTGGAACTGGTCAAATGGTTCAAAGGAGAAGAGCGAATACGTCGATAGAGTATAGTAACGAATATACCTTCGAGTTAATTGGAAAACTGAAGCTGAGAGATAGAGAGAGAGGAGAGGGTGTCTGTTTCCGTAGTAATTGACAATTTCACACTCGAGTGTGGACGGTAATTAAGCTGCCACGCGTGTAGCTGGCCTGCGTCAATTTTTTCTTTCCCTCTGCTCACGAATCTTTCGAACTGACCCAACCAATCCTTGCCAAAGAAGCTCTGTCCATTTGGTTTCCACCCATTTGTCCATTTTTTTTCTCGCTCGGAAAAGCGCGACAATTAGTTTTTGTAAGGACCCTCCTCGTTGTATTCTTATTTGGATTTTAACACTAGATTTACGGACATGTTTGTATACCTATCTTTACGGCCACCCATTAAATTGACGGGTAAAGGAAACCACGTATTTTCTTTAAAAAAAAAGATTAATTTAATTTAAAAACAACTTAATATAAGTTAATTAAATTTAATAGGATTGCATAAATAATCGTTTCTTAGTCTTGGGCCAAACGCTTTGTGTTTACGCTTTAGGCGTAATTTGCTCATGAAGTTTGAAATTCGTCAAAATGACGGGGTCCCGTAAACCTAGTGTTAAAGAGGACACCCAGAGGAACGGTAGATAAATCACTGTTTCATTCCCATGATATTAGGAAATATTGAGATATTCGACTACCAGGGTGGCATCTTTGCCTAATAATATGATCATCGAAAAATGGAGATTATTTGTAAAGAATTAAATGTATAGAAACGCGTTATGATATATACGTATACAGAAAGCAGAAGGGGTTACGATCGTTTCGCACGAGCAGAATCTTTGATACGCAAGTGACACGTAATTTCCTCACCTTCTTCCTTCATTCTCGTCGTGTAAACCCAGGAAACGGAGTAAGTTTTGACGAAGGGATCCAATCACAGGCGTCTCGTCGTTTGAACCTATTCCTTTCACCGTGGAATCGACGAATTCCTCTTGGATTTTATCTCGACACGGCAGTGACGCGAAAAAAGAAACGACTATCGACGACTTAAACCATTCTACAACTTGGAACACTGTGCTTCTATCAATCTTTTTAACATCGTTCAATATGATGTTTTGCAGTGCATTTATGTAATCAAATTTGATACACTATTTGATATGCCTTAATCTAATTATAGAATCTTATAATGTTTCTATAAATGAAATTGATTGACACCTTGTATATGCTGAGAACAAAGATCGCAAACTGTATGGCATTGACGTGGGTGACATTTGGATACAAACCTGATAAGATTTCATTTGCATATGTATTCACTGTCAGCGTGATATGCAAGTGTAATGCACGTGGGTTGTTATCTGCTAATGAATGTGACAAAGATTCAAGAGTATATCGTTAATTACGCACATGCTGAGCTTGTCGATTGGAATTCCACCTTTTATGAAATAGAACAAATGTCACCTCTCCTGTCGCAACAATTCAATTTAATTTCGTTCACGAGTGATCAAAATTGTCATTATGTTTTTTGGTTTCTACGCTCGATTGTACGAATAATAAATAATTAAATAAATAAATGTTTGACAAATGTTTGAATTCAAAATTATTTTCCATACAAAATTTAATATTGTCCTACATCCTATGCTTTCAGTCTCAAATTCTATTTTATAGCTACATTAATTTTAGTAACAGTTATTAACCCGTTTATTGTCTGGAAAAATTAATTTATTATATGAGAAAGTGCAAAATTATATTAAGAAGAAAAGTGCACTTGCATTACAGTATTTTGGAACCACGTTCGATTCACTTATTTATCGTTTGAAAAATAGACTGATATTTTGTAAAATAAAAAAAATTTATATCTAGTGGATTTTACCCGTAAATACATATGTGTAATTTTGCACGTGTGAACGTTTACCGGCATATATCTAACGCGTAGAGATGATATCGTGCGCAACGAGAGATGTAAGGGAAAGGAAACACTGTAACAGCTTGTCTAAATTCCATCTAAATTCAAAACAGGAGCGAAATTGCTACCAACAGCTGCATATAAAGCACTTACGAGTGGCAGCCATTTGGGTTAGCCAGTTCACATTATACTAAAGAGCAATACCACCCCTTATGATATCAACCCCTTTATACTGGACTTAAGTTGTATATATGATCATTAATATAACAATTATTAAACCTGTAATGATACTTGTCCCTACGTCTTCTTTTTATTTACGTTTATTTAACATTTATCAATTTATTTACTATAACTATTAAATAATTTGTACGTTCGATAGTTTCTTGGGAATTTTTCAAGATTTATTTACTTATACATAAATTCAAGTCATAATACAATATAAATGATACAATCGTCTTTTGACAACATGAAAAAGTATACGAACTCCGTACTGCGATTCACTGAATGATCGACAAAATATTACGGAAAAGGAAGCAAGTTGTTATTTGTAATAGTTTCTTTCTATTTGCGCAAATAATGAGAACATCAGCTTACATATAAATCCCAAAGAACAAAATAATTAACATATTTCCCTAACTTATTGTGAGGTACATTGCTCAAATAATGTCTTAAATAGCAATACTTTTCAAATATTTATGTATGCTTGTACTTAAATCGATTAAAATGCCAGTCAATAACATTAATAACCAAACTAAGAGTTTCAAATATAATTAAATAAATTCTTTACACGCGAACACCATCGAAAGACCATGTAAAGTTGTTTATTATTTCCTTTTCTCATTTTATTCTTTATCAATATATTTTTTAACGCGTGCCGTTTACGATGCTTTCATTCTCGAATATGAAATTCGACAAAGGAATTTGATATAAAGTTTAAATCTTGATATATCCGCTTGAAAATCAAATAAAATTACATACTAATTACCTAACGCTAAATCTTACTGTACACCGTACATGTTGCACGTAAAATTAAAAAATGATTCATATAATTTCGTATCAAATCTATAGAGTCCGATTAAACACGGACTCCAAGAAATTATAATTTTCATCAGTAATTATTCTTCAAATTTACAACTTGACCGATAATAGTATTTCTATACTATAATCAAGTTATAAGTGTTTAGTCGGATTCCTGTAAAATCTCGTAGAATATAACTATGTAGCAACAGCTGCGCACATGGATAGCACTTTAATTTGAGATAGCTATTAAAAGTTATCTTACCTATTATCTTGTATGCTCTAAGAAATTCGCGTGCAATTCTCAATTATCGTCGGCATCATCGTCATCGTCTGATATATATTTCTTAGTAACTCTTTTTCTTCGTCCCCCTCTGCCTTCCCCTTTCCTTCCTTTCAATTTAATTTTCATTCTCACACTGGAATCTGCATCTGACCCGTCTTCGCCATCTTCAAACAGAATACAATTACGTGAAATAATAGTTCATGCCACTTCTTTTATCGAATTACAATTATGAAACATACCTTTATCGTCTAAGTCTGAATTATTACCCTCTTCCTCGATGCGCTGACGGGCATTTGTAAAGACAGACTGCAAGACAATGGAATCTTCGTGTATTAGAGAAGCTTCTTCGTTATAAACTTGCGCGTTCTTACAGAGCTGCATGAAGTCTTTCTCAAGATCGTCAAAGTCGGCATACTGAAAAAGAGAATATATTAATTGAAAGATAATTAATAGGCGCGTGCACGATCCGAAAGTTTAAATGATAATCAGTATTTACCTTTCCTTCCTCAATTTTCTGAAGCAATTTATTAATAGTCAATGGTTTCTTAATAATTTCATAATAATCCGGTAATTCTCTTCTAGATGGTAATTTCATAAATGGTTCACTAAGGAGTCTACCGTCCGTGCTATCGGTGTAATTAACAACTATCATAAGCAACTTCTTCATGGCCCTTTTCATTTTTGGATCAATCGAAGAGCCACCACCTCTGCGTTTCTTTGGCATAGGTTCGTCGTCTTCCTCGCCTTTTTTCTTTCGTTTCCTGGTCTTCTTTTTCTTTTTATCATCTTCCTCTTCCTCTTCGTACTCAGCACCATCGTCATCAATTACTTTCAGCCATTCTTTCTCGGTAAGACTATCGGTGTAATCAACTTCCTTTCGTTGCCTGGAACCACGTCCGAGGAACCTGTCTTCGTCCTCTTCGTAAGTCCATCGTTCAACCTCGTCGTCATCTTTCACCAACCAATCAGGCAACTCGGCTTCTTCCAGTAATCTAGATTTTCTATTTGGACCTAACTTTGCTTCTTCCCTTCTTCGTTCTAAATCTAATTTTTGGAATATCTCAAATTCACCTTCGGTTCGAGCAATCATCTGATTGACGGTCTCGTCATCTGGTACCTCGTTTTCTTCCTCATCATCAGCATCGTCCTGGTGCAAAATGCTTTGCAAGAACTGCTGTCGCTCAGAACCGGTTGACTTCTGATCGAACATTCCTGCCTGTATAACCTTCTCATCCATGTTTAACTTGTATCTAGCAGCAGCCAATATTCTTTCTTCCACCGAATTAACCGTCATCAATCTCAGCACACGCACTTCGTTCTTCTGACCAATTCTGTGCGCTCTGTCCTGTGCCTGTAAATCCTGATGAGGATTCCAGTCAGAGTCAAAAATGATGACGGTATCAGCAGCCTGAAGGTTCAACCCAAGACCACCGGCACGTGTCGACAGCAAGAACAAGAAATACTCGGAACCAGGGTCATTGAATTTCTTTAACAAATCTCCTCTGTCCTCAGCTTTTGTTGTACCATCTAATCGCAGATACATGAATCCTCTCCAGCTCAGATAATCTTCCATAATTGTCATTAACTGTGTCATCTGACAGAATAATAAAACTCTGTGATTCGTTGCTTTCAATTTTGGAAGAATGCGATCCAACAACTCAAATTTGCCAGAGGCACGGTAGAGATCAGGTCCGGTAATGATCCCGGATCCTTGGGTGCCAACATGTTCGCAATACTTTTCTTCGATAGCTTGGAACATGAATGGATGATTACATAATTTTCTTAATTGTACGATAGTGTTCATCAAAGCTTTGGCACCTCCTTTACCCTGTTTTCCCTTCTCAGAACCGTCGGTTAGCAACACACCCTTACTTTGCATATGTTTATAAAGGACCTTCTGCAATCCTGACATGTCACACTTGATAATATATTCAACTTTATCTGGCAATTGAGATTCAACTTCCTTCTTCAAACGTCTCAATAGGAAAGGACGCAATACTTTGTGCAGACGACGAATAATAAGAATGGTTTCTTCTTCGTTCAACTCAACCTTTTCACCAGTGGTTGCGAAAGGAGCATTGAACCACTGTTCGAAAGTACTGCAGGATTTAAAGATTGATGGTAGTAAGAAATTCAATAACGCCCACAGCTCGGGTAGTTTGTTTTGCAATGGTGTTCCAGTTAGAAGAAGTCGATGAGGAGCCAAGTAGTGTGTGTTCAACACTTGGGTTAATTTACAGTGATGATTTTTCATTCTGTGACCTTCGTCAATGATCATGTATTTCCATTGCAATTTTGCTAACACACCCTTATCTTTAATGACATATTCATATGTTGTGAGTAAAACATTGAATTTAGTAGCTCTCATCTGAGACTGAATAGCTCTTCTGCCAGCTGGCGAACCTTTGTACGACACTACTACTACACTGGGGGCCCATTTTTCAAACTCCAACACCCAATTTGACAAAGTTCTGAAAGGATATAACAAATTAAAATTTATTTCTTTTATTTAATTCAAGATATTTTATAATGATAATACGTACGATAATGGTACTATAATCAGGAACGGCCCATTAACTTTCTTTTTCTCCATGAGGTAAGTAACCAAAGCTATAGTTTGAATGGTTTTTCCGAGACCCATTTCATCAGCAAGAATACCATTCAGGTTATTGTTGAACAATGAAACAAGCCATTCCAAACCCTAAATCAAAGGTTTGTTTCAAAATCCAAATATTATAAAATGCAATATTATGTAATAAATGTTAGTGTCAGACCTTTATTTGATATTCCTTTAATTTTCCATTAACCATAATTGATGCTTGTTCTGTTACTACTTCATGGACAGTATGAGCAATACTGTAATACGTTTGTTCCTCGGTTTTGTATTCATCGTCTTCCACCTTTGCTTTGTGTATCGGTTTCTTGACTTTATCATCTTCAGGATCGCCAGGAGCCTTTACTTTATGTTCGCCTTTTTCTTCACCGTCATTATCGTCGTCGTCATCATCGTCATCATCCTCACTTTCTGATTCAATTGGTTCCCAACCTGGGTGAGATTCTAAAAAGGCTTGAAGTTGACTCATTAATGGAGCGTCGTCTCCAGTTAATGTGCGACCAGTAGATGTTTCAATCACTCCAACACGACTATCCTCGTTACCATTCCCATCTTCACCTCCTTCGCCATCTTGCATCTTCTTCTTTTTTTGCTGAAATTATTGTTTAAGATATATAGCAACTTGATAAAGAAATTATTCGTGTAATTGCCACCTACCTAATTACATCAATGGACGAAACATAATATTATACATACCTTCTTACGCTTCTGTTCTTCCACCTGTTTTCTCTTTTGCTCAATCTTGTGTTGTTTCACCATTTCAGTTAGATTACTGATATATTCATCGGTCTGAGACAACAGGAAGGCTAATCGTTTATCTTTTTTCTGATCAATCAACTTCCTGTAACCTTCTTCGTCCTCTGCCATCAAACGTCTCATACGTTCTTTTTCAATACGTTCTTGTTCTTTTTTCTGTTCTCTTTCTGCATTAGCGTGGTAATTAAGAACTGCTTTGTTAAGCCTAGCCAGTTTAGCAACATTGTTCCGATGGAACTCCTTAAAATCTTTGCCATGTTGAAGAACAGAACTAAGAAATTCCTTTTTAAAAAGAAAGAAAACAAATTAGGATAAATTTATACATCATATGTATAAAGGATTGTAAATATAATTACTTGATGCTTTTGCCTGCGTTTACGTTCTGCCTCTAATTTCTGTTGCTTCTCAAGTTTCTCAGTAGCCCTAGCTTCTCGAAGACCTTGCTTCTTTGTGCGCTTATAGGCTTTTACGTTTACTGCAGTTTCTAAAGTGGTGTCTTTTCGAGTACACGCTAAAATCTAAAAGAATAAATATATAATTAGAAGAAGTATTATTTACAATATTTCCTGAATAATTACCTCCGATCGTAATTGCCTTTGGAAATTCAATACTCTAAGCATACGCAATTCGATCTGTGCCTGAATACGAAGATCTTCTGGCATGTTGGTTGGCATATTACTCAATTGCTCCATACGCAATGCTATACGTGCTGCAACCCTGTTATTAAATGTTTAGAATTAATTTTTTAGTCTATAGTCTATAGATCATTTTAATAAATTCGGTAAGTACCTATTCTCACGTTCTTGTAAAATCAACAGTGGATCTAAACCAGCTGGTTTTGCTACACTAGTCACTCTGTTAGTCTTGGCACCTGGTTGCGGAGGCTGCTGTTGTTGTGGCGTTTGACAACCTAACCTTGGAGGAACTGCAGGACCAATTACGTTTGGTCCAGAGATTGGTAGACCTGTGGTAGTAGCGGGTCCTTGAGATGGATCTATAGGGGGACGTTGTGCCATACCTGGGGGAGGAGGTGCTCCACCTATTTACATTAATCTTACATCAAACCCCTACTATGGATCATTCTACTCTACTTTTGTATTTCCACGCTACAAGTGTGTCAATTCAAAGAAATAAGATTGAACAACAAATATGTTTCACGATACAAATTATTAAATAACACGTAACAAATTATTAAATAATGACGTGTACTAAATAAACGACAAATTGTGCTTAATTACGAAGGAGAAACAAATTCATTGAAGCCATCAAATACATTGCTCAGTTAAGTGATTATTGATATTCACATTTACATTATGTAAAAGCAGACAGACAACTAAACTTAAATTTATGACAATCAAGACAGAGCAAGCAGAATATAGCAACTAAAAATAGAAACAGAAATCAATGCGATACAAAACGATACAAAAGATGGAGTAGTCACCTACTACAATGCATAAATTATAACATGTTTAATTAATTTACCTTGAACAGCTAAAGCAAGTTGCTGAGACAATGGTTGATTTCTTGCCAACAACCGATATGCCATTATTTGTACACTGTAAACGATGATATATTAATTTTTAAATAATTACAAGTGAGTGTATAAATCATTATCAAGATGTTAATGAATTATATGTAACATACCGTAATTGCTGCAACTGTGGTGGACTAAATGTTTGTTTTTCACTGATACTGCCTTGACGAGCTCTCAGAGCCAGCAACTGAGAATAACGAGGATCTTCTTGAAGTCCTTTTTCTTCCATAGAGTCAATAGCCTTTTGTAAAGCATTTAAATTTTCTTGCCCAGCTGCTGGTGGACCGCCTGGCCCCGTGGGACCAATCGGACCAGGGCCAGTCTGACTCATCTGATTTACCGGAGCTCCAGGACCCATCGGTGTCGTGCCTCCAGGAACGATTTGTTGATTCTGTGAACCAGGCCCCATTGGACCAGAAGATGGTTGTCCACTCGGTCCATTTGGTCCCATCGGGCCACTACTTGCACCAGTGTGACCTAACTGACTGTTTGGACCACCTGACCCCATCTGATTACCGGGACCACCCGGCCCTATTTGATTAGAAGGACCACCAGGTGGTATTTGTCCACCTGGAACCATTTGTCCACCTGGACCCATTTGTGACCCTGGACCACTTCCAGGACCCATTTGACTACTAGGACCATTTCCAGGGCCCATTTGTCCGCTAGGACCACTCCCAGGACCCATTTGACCACTAGGTCCATTACCTGGACCCATCTGCCCACTAGCACCACTTCCAGGTGCCATTGGATTTCCAGGAGGATTTCCTGGACCCATTTGACTTCCAGTACCACTTCCTGGTCCTATTTGCCCACTAGGACCACTTCCAGGACCCATTTGTCCTCCAGGTCCACTGCTCGATCCCATCTGTCCACCCGGACCGCTTCCAGGACCCATAGGACCTCCTGGTCCGTTACCTGGAGGCATTTGCCCTCCTGGGGTATTCCCCGGCCCCATTTGTCCAAGTCCATTTGGTCCTAATTGGCCTCCAGGCCCACTTCCTGGACCCATTTGACTGACGGGTCCTCCTGGACCCATTTGACTTCCAGGTCCCCCCGGTCCCATTCCCATTTGAGACGATGGACCTCCCATGTTCATTTGTCCAGGACCATTTGGACCTATTTGCGAAGGCCCGTTATGTCCCATTTGCCCAGGTCCGTTTGGACCCATCTGTCCTCCTGGACCAACAGGCCCCATTGGACTAGGCCCCATCGGGGATTGACTACTAGGGACCATTTGGTTTGGACCACCAGGACCCATTTGATTTGGACCTCCTGGTCCCATACTGTGCGACCCAGGACCACTCGGTGGCATCTGCCCTGGGCCTCCAGGCCCCATGTGATTTCCTGGCCCGCTAACATTCATGTGCCCGGGTCCCGGTGGGCCACTCGCGTTCATGTGACTCGGAATAGGCGGTCCGCTGTTTAGATGACTTCCAGGCGGGCCACTGGCGTTCATGTGCGTTGACCCTGGAGGAGGCCCACTAGTGTTCATATGTCCGGATCCTGGCGGGCCAGACGTATTAACGTGTTGTCCTGGACCTGGTGGACCACTCGAACTCATATGACCAGGTCCTGGCGGACCTGATGCGTTCATATGCCCTGGCCCTGGTGGCCCACTCATATGTCCTGGTCCTCCAGGTACCATCTGTGAATTTGGAGGTCCACCAGGACCCATCTGAGAACCTGGTCCACTTCCTGGGCCCATCTGATTTGGACCTTGACCCATGTGAGGACCTCCCGGTGGCCCTCCACCTCCTTGCCCCATATGACCTGGCCCAATTGGTCCTCCTGGACCTCCTGGACCCATCTGACCGGGACCTCCCGGGCCCATTTGACCAGGCCCACCGCCACCCATTTGACCTGGACCGTTAGAACCCATTTGATTCGGACCAGACTGCATCATGTGAGATGTTCCTTGAGGCCCATTCGGTCCCATCTGACCTGGAACCATGGGTCCTCCAGGAGAATGACCTTGCTGAGAATTAGAATTCTGACCGACTGGACCGCCAGGACCACCTTGGTTCTATAACAACGAAAGCAATGTTCCTTTTATTTATCATATGTCCCTGAAAAGAAAATAAATTCAATGCCACATGAAGCGACTCCAAATAAAACCTTTTCATTTTATAGATTTTTATCTATTATAGAAGGGATTTACACAGTAAAAATATTTATCTAATCCATTATGAAATTAAAAAATAGATGGATCTAATTTATTGCTTCTAATCTTTCATAGATGCTCCAATAAATACCTTAATAAAACAATAAAAAGTCGATGTAAAAATGTCTACACGTCTCAGGTCAATTAGCAATACAGCTGCACCAGATAATTTTTCAATCGTATTTATTTACTCGGCATCCATCTTTCAAACTGGGTCAAAGTTGCTTCCGAAAAGTGTACCGTCACCGAATCGAAGAAAATTTTTTGTCACGGATTGTTCTATGTACTGTAACCGTATACTGATAATCGTCAGCACATTTTTAGCTGCTATTAATGCAGTGACGCATCGCGGAAGATTATTTCCGTCATATAGATAAAATTAAGGTTGGGTTGATCGTAAACCCCGCACGTGGTCCAGGCATAGCACAACGTGGACACGTGGACACGGTGTGAAATACCACCAGGTTGCTGAAGTTTTAGCTAACTCTCTATTCTTAGTTTTGCTATGACTAATTTCACACAAACAGTAAGCTAACAGTGTTGTTACTTTCTGTAAACTTCGATGACAAATATTGATAAACAACATAGTAATCTTGCGTGTAAATAACAATCAGATAAATTATGAATTCAGTCACATGGAACATACATGAAATTAAATGCAACGTCCCTCTTTAGCGATCTGATAGTGGGGGTTGATAATTGACATAAAAGCAGAGCCTTCGTGAACGATACTGTTATTTTCAAATTGAAACGAGTTGACTAAGCACAGTTGGTTCCGCAAAGAACAGTCAGCATGGTCAGCAAAGAGGAAGTGACCCGCTGTTACGATTTTGTTCTGAAACTCACCATGGAATCAGGAAAGGTACTTTCATTCGGACTTTTGACGTTATCAAATAATTTATCATTTAATTATGAAAGTATTTTTTTTGTATTCATTGGCATTGATTATTATCTTGACAGACAACATCTAAGTAAACCCGAATAAAATCCACAAAGAAACAAAACATTTCCATTATTTTGTCAAATATTTAATTTGCTGATTAATTATGTCACACAACCTTTTTCCACAAGAAATTAACGACTTAATAATACATTTGTATTGTTGAATATTTGCAAATTAAACAATAACAGTGAAGGTGATCAATAACTGATTATTTTGTATTTTTTTAGGTAATTCGTGACGCTATTCAAGGATGCAAGAATATAGAGACCAAAGGTGGAGACTGGGACTTGGTAACCCAGTATGACAAACAAGTCGAAGAAATTTTGATGAGCAATATATCAAAAGAATTTCCACAACACAAGTACGCTTTTTTACACAAATAAATACTATAATAGATCTTTGAGTTAACCCTTAATTTATTGTTAAAGAATCATCGGTGAAGAAACAGTTTCATCGACAAAACATCTACCAGAATTAACGAACGATCCAACATGGATCATCGACCCCATTGATGGCACCACAAACTTTGTACACTCATTTCCATTCACCTGTATATCAATCGCATTAGTAGTGAAAAAGGAGATAGAAATTGGCATTGTATACAATCCAATCTTAGAACAATTGTTCACTGCCAGAAAAGGTCGTGGTGCCTATCTGAATGGAAAGTCTATCAAGAGCTCTAATGTAGAAAGTAAGTTACATTCATCAATTTTATTTCATCAATTAACAATTTTAATTCATTTTTAGAATTAGAACACTCTCTGCTGTGCATAGAAGCCTCATATGCAACGATCGAGAATATTAGAGACATTATTTTAGGAAGAGCAGAAGCTTTCGTTTCAATAGCTCATGGAATACGAACAATGGGATCAGCAGCACTAACACTTTGTTACATAGCAATGGGTGCAGCAGAAGCTTATCACACTGATAATCTAATGCCTTGGGATGTGGCTGCTGGTGTGCTTATCATCAGAGAAGCGGGTGGTGTTGTAATAGATACGAATGGTATGATTTAATGAAATTGCTGATGGGTCCGTTTTGAAACTTGCTTGTCAAATAACCAATATGTATCACGCTTAGGAATAGCGAGTATGTAAAAGGTGGCGCCCTCTGTGCCGCTATAACTCCGGAGAAACCAATCCGCTTGTAGTAGCAGTGTGAAAATCACAAATGACATTACTGCAAGATAGAATCTTAAATACTTAAATTGCAAGATTAAACAACTGAATCCTTAATAACTGTTACTATAAACGGTGGTAGTAATTGAACTTTTTTATTTATTGAAGTTATTTATTCAAGATAAGCTACTATTAGAATTGCTTCATTTAACACTGTGAAGGCTAATATCGTGTATTCCTTAATGAAATAAGCTTAATGAGATAAAAATTCTGTTTCAGGAGGGGAATTCAACATTATGTCGCCAAAAGTGATAGCAGCTGGTAACAGCAAATTGGCCAATGAATTAGTGAAATTAATTAAGAATGCCGATTCAAAGACGTTACAAAAGCGAAATCACAAATCATTGAAATGAACAGTAATCGAGACTTATGTAAAATAATTCACGTAACAATAAGATCCTAAATGATTTACGTGTTTGAGTTAATTGTATTTCTCAAAATCATTTTGTAATCCTGATGATTCATACGAACCAAGCATCGTTAGACAATTAAATAAGTTTCCACGAAAAATCAGATTATAGTGCTAAACATGTGTCGGCCAGTTTCTTATTAACATTAATTGCGTTAACTGCTGACTTCAAAGCTCGATAATAGAGTTTAGCACTATAAGAGCTACGTGGAAACGTTGTAAATAATTTCGACGTTGTTTTACATAAAATCTGACAAAATCGACAATTGTAAAATAATGAAAATTAATATAGTATTAAGTGATAATAAAGGATATTTAAATATTTCTACATTATAAATTGTGTCCCCCCCCCCTCCGCCATATCATCAATTTCTTTGTATTTCCAATATATTATTCTAGGGTATGTAGCTACAATTAGCAAGTATATGAATAGACTAGCTTTTTGACTGCTCGATAAGTAGCTGTTTTTTGAAAAAGAGGCCCGAATTTGGTCATTTATCAAGTGGCAAACTTCAAATTGCTGATACACCATAGAACCTCGAAGTTCACACTTCACTGGAATTGATGCGACATCTTAGATAAGGTATGCTTCACGAATGTTTAGATTCAGCTGCCTATGCCGTTTGCGCGATTCTGTATCACTGGTGACAAAGATAAGAGGATGCCGACACGAGGACCGAGCGTTCGATCGATCAGTCGTTCCGACGAAGGCCTCGCTACCAGTGATCATGTCAAGTGAACAGGATATCAAAAGTTACTTCGAAGCCGCCAAGGAGTTAACTTTAAAAGCTGGCGTGGTGAGTCAGCGTAATAAAATTTCATTGACGCGAAGAAAACGCGGGAAACTTAATAGAATTATATAATTGAGAATTTCAATTTAAGTACGTTGCAAAATTATTAATTTTTGAGCTGTAATTACCGGATAAAAATGGCAAATGAAATGTCAAAAAACAAACGTACTTGTACGCCTAACTGCCTATCCCATTGATTTTGATAACTATAACGAGTATTTCCAAGAAATACTTACCGGTTACTAAATCGTTCAGTGGAATAGATGGTTAAATACAGATGAAAATGAATTGATAGTAGATCACAAACAAAAGATTTGCTTTTACTTATCTCACCGTCGACACTTATCAGATAAAAGCAAGCAAATGGCACTCAAGAATTTATACATATCTTAACGATCATAATATTTGTATCTCGTTTCTTCCACAGCTATTCAAATCTGGCTTCGAAGGACAGAAAACCGTGCAGACCAAGGATAACGAGTGGGACCTGGTAACAGAATATGACAAAAAAATCGAAGAGCTATTAACCAGCGGTCTGAAGGAGAAATTTCCTGATCATGAGTGAGTCTTCGAATGATTTTCAGTATTATAAAATCAATTTTGTAAATGTTAGTATTATTAAATAAAATATTGCAGATTTATTGGAGAAGAAAGCGCGGCTGAGACGAAAGAACCACCAGTGTTAACGGATAAGCCAACATGGATCATAGATCCCATAGACGGAACAGTGAATTTTGTTAATTCATTTCCATTCACTTGCATATCAGTGGCTTTGTCAATTCGCAAAGATATTGTGATAGGGATCATTTACAATCCGCTGAGTTCCGAATTGTACACTGCGATCAAAGGACAGGGAGCGTTTTTAAACGACAAACTTATGAGGACCACTCGAGTCACTGGTAATTTTACGCTCATAATCGTTTCATAATAAGAATTATAAGAGCGAAGAGTTAGGATGCGTGGGTAGGCAGACACGTACCCGACGTATCTACCTACCCACGCATCCCTACTTCCATAGAGAAGAAATTAATTTGAAGAACATTACAACTAATCCAACTTTACCATTGCAGAGTTAAAAAAAGCTTTGATAGAAATAGAATTGTTTTCACTTCAATTTCCATCGAGAAATCGAGATATCAAAATGGGCAGATTGGAAGCTTTCATTAAGGCTGCACGAGGGTAAATATTACATACTTAAATATTCTCTGCACTGTATTTTACTTTTGGCCCTATTTTATTGTTCAGGGTCAGATACTCGGGATCGGCAACATTGTCCATGGCATACGTAGCAAAAGGTGCACTGGATTGTTTTCAAATGGACAACCTTAAAGCTTGGGACGTTGCAGCTGGAATACTGCTCGTGTGCGAAGCAGGTGGCTCGATAATGGACACGAAAGGTACGATAATTAACCTGTTAGTCCTCTATGTCATGGACGTACATCAGGTCAATGTCTAAGAGCAATGTATTACGCTGTGATCCAAAGAAACCAGAGCAGTGATATAGCGTTTTAAGTACATTACCGAGCATGGTAGTCTTTCCTAAGGGGAAAAATGCTGACGTAGAGAAAGGAACTCCCACTCAAAAGTTGCCACACATTACGAATAAATCTTAATACACGTCATAGTATTAACTATTTAAATATCATTTTGCCAATTTAACCAGGAAAGTTCTATTCTGTTTAGCGGACCAGTATGATCTTATGAAGCCAAACACAATTGCGGCGGCAACCGAAACGCTGGCCACGGAAATAAAACAATTAGTTCTCGACACCGATCTGAAAATACTGCGGAAGAGATTGACGAAGATGTAATCATGTTTCTAATCACGTTCCTCAAGAATGAATATCAAGTAATAGTTTATCATAAATAGAATAAGTGATTCATTGTGTGACGAAAAGAATGATAACTCGACTGTATTGTGGTGAAAACAATAAAAGTATTATTATATTTTATTATCTGTTATTTTACTGTTTATTCTTCGTAACTGCCCACAACTTTACGTAGAGATTCAAATCGATCACAATGACTCATGAAATTTCCGATTTACCAGTGTTTCAGCCAACCAGAACGATTTAATTGATCCAGAAAGGATCTGCATCACTTCTAAGTCCTATATAAAGAATAAGTGAATCATAGAGTCCAGGTGATCCACTAAAGAGATAATTATTGCTGAGAATGCGATCAGGTAACATTAAAGCGGGGATTTTAGTGACTAAACACGGGCTCAGACTTGTCTGGTGATTCCAACTCGAATAGATGAGGAACGAATGACAAACTCAATTAAAAATAAATGAGAATTCGAGTGATTCGTAAAATGGGAACTCCTAGTTTGAAACATGATAACTCACAATACTGCTATCTCATAATTACAGCGCAAGTAATATAGATTTCAAGAAATCTGAAGCAACATCTTGGGAGGATAATAGGATAATTAGCGATTACTCCAAGTTATGTTAATAAAGAGCGAAGAAAAAAAGGAAACAAGAAGATTGTAAATCAAGCCGAGCCTCCACGACTCACTATATCCTGTTTTGAGTGGAACATTACTTTGACGGTTATATTATAGAAACGCAAAAGTGCAACTCGAAGGTTGCCAAAGGAAGTACAGCAATACACGGATATCTAAAATTGCACTTGCGAAACTTCATGGCTGAGTGAACATTACAGGCGAGGAAAAAGATAATAATAATAATAATAATAAAAAAAAAGAAAAACAATAAAAGTACTAATTCATGTGTTAAATATTCACATATAAACTACAATTTACTATAATAAATAGTCTTGTTTGAAGATTGAACATCACAATAAATATAACAAATCTTTGGCCATTAGACTAATACAAAGCTTTGAAGTTTAATTAATCATGTATTCGATTTCTAGGTAGATTACACGTGAAAGTGTGATCGAGCCTCGGTGATTTACCTTGGCACAGTCTTTTACTGCATGCATTTATATTGTGATGGTGTAGCTGTGGTAAAATCGCTTGGTAAATTGCTAACTACGTTGATAATGATCTTGATTATTTCATAATGATCGTACTGTGCAAAATATTATTCGAGAATATTTTAGAATTATTAGATTCGTAGCTACTGGGTTCTTACTTAAAGATTAGAAGCATTAAGGGTATGCAAAAATTTCCATCATTTTGAAGGCCTTTCATGCCCACTCTCTGTAAACTTGTTAGCTTATTTCAAATTTTTTAATTCAGGAACCGATTACTCAAATTTACAAATTTAAAAATTTGATATTTCTATGTTTCTAAAGTTTACATTCACAATTCCAAAGTGCAGTTTCAAAAATTCAATCAATTCTAAAAAGCATCGTCTCTATTTTACCTCGAATCACGGAGACGATTATTTGCCGAATTAATCGTGTGTCAACCTCATTATCACAGTGCGTAATCAGAGGAAGAGAAATCCATGCAGGTGGATGGAGATCGACGGTACGAGTCATCCTTGAATCGCTCCTACGACACGCTCTAACTCGAAACGAATAAAAAGTAGCCGGTGCTGTTGCACCCAACAGTACCTGTTTCCACGCCGAGGATCTCGCCGTTCACCAGGAAGCTAGATGGCACGTTACGCGGAGGACGTTTACTACGAGTTCGCCATTAAACTGACCCACGATGCTGCCCAAGTAAGCAACAGAACCTACTCTTCCTCTTGATAAGAGATTGCCATACAGAAAGTTAACGTTTTTAATTATTGATAAGAGGGTAATAACGTGATACGTTGTAACTCGATTAATTCGTTCGTTGTCATTCACCTGCACCATCGTCAACGCGAAGTTAGTTGCTAACTTAATTGCCAGAAATTATGCAAGGAAAATGATTGATTACAGAGAAAAAAATAAGGTAGTTACCGGAGATGTTTTCGCACTTACTTAAACGTAAAATTGCTTAGTTATTAATAGCTGAAAATGATTGCAATAATATGCAATGCGATAGTATATGTTCGTAGAAAAACGAAGAATAAAAGCGGAATTCATTATAAACCTGAAAAAATACAGTACTATGAATGGCGCACATATTGTGATTTCTAATATTGATGATTTCAGTAGATCACGATTTTAAATGATTTCATTGTAAATTCAATGATCATTGAATGATCATTTACCGGTAAATCATATACTTACATAAATACCATCTATAATATTGAAATAAGGAGAAAGTAACCAGTTTTCACAATTTCCTATCAAAGATACTCAAGACAGCCATCAACGGTCTGAAGAAAGTTGACGAGAAGTTAGGCGACTGGGACTTGGTAACCGAATATGATCGGAAGATAGAGGATGTCATCATTGGCAATCTTAAATCCAAATTCCCGAACCATAGGTACACAAATTCTCTGAATATTTATCAATGAAGTACGCCCGAGTGCATGTTATGGGCTCCTCTATTCTTAAACGACTAGCTCGAGCCTGTGCCCGATTAAAATTCATATAAAATTGCAAATAAAAATAGAAAAATCTGAAAAAGAATATTTGACGTCAGATTCATAGGCGAGGAATCGACTGGAAAAGAACTTCCGGAATTAACAGACGATCCAACGTGGATCATAGATCCCATCGATGGCACCACCAACTTCGTTCACGGTTTCCCGCACACCTGTGTCGTGATTGGTCTGGCAATTAAGAAGGAAATGGTGATTGGTATCGTTTATAATCCTGTTCTCGAGCAGCTGTTCACTGCGAGGAAAGGACGTGGAGCGTTCTTAAATGAAAAACCCATAAAAGTTTCCACGGTGCAAGGTAAATCAAATGTAAAGTATGAGTGGTTAATTACGAGTCGTGAGTTATTAGGTATAAATCATAAGCTCTGGTCTCACTGAATCAAAGGTTGTGATTTATTAATTATAAATCATGAAGTTATCTATGGCTAGAGATACGAGTTATACTTTGTAAGTACTGAATCGTAAAATCTGGTATTTTTATAGAATTGTCAAAAGCTTTAGTCTGCCTGGAGGGTGGTTTCATAAAAGTGGACGAACTCAGGGAGAAAACTCTTGAAAGATTACGAACAATTGTTCAAAAGGTGCAGGGGTAAGTCTGTCCACAAGATTGAATTTTTGATTGATTAATAAATTCAAGACTTAATCTCTGAATAAACACATTGCAAAACTGCAATTTATGTAAAAGAAAAAACAAGTGTTAATATCGTGATATTTGCATTGGTAATTGCATAATCTTTCTATCTTGATTTGTCCTCCTTCATAGTATCCGTACGCTCGGTGTGGCGGCCTTATCATTGTGTTATGTTGCGATGGGAATCGTGGAGGCTTATTACATAGAGGGGCCAGGAATCTCGACATGGGACATCGCAGCAGCGTCGTTAATCATCTCCGAAGCAGGTGGTGTCGTCGTTGATCGCGTAACAGGTAAATACACCCTCACCCAAGAGTCATAGGACACTTACTGTTTTTAGCTTTAACTACCCGTATTCTTTATACCGAATGCAATTTTAGAACTTTAGCAATTCTGCAGGTTCACTTACGGTGTTTCGTTTTTAAATCTATACTCTAAAGTTTGGCGTACAACACGCCATTCTACTTCCATTCTAATGCCATATTCTAATTCCATACTCGTGATTCAAGCAGCCAATATTACGCAAACAGCCACAACTATACACAACAATCAGCACTTTTATTGCCACGATAAATTCATAAAATGTCTTAAAAGATTATTCTGATTTTATTACGTATCTTGACAAATAGGATTTTTGTATTGATAACAATCAAATTATAGGAGAGAAGATTGATATCATGAAGCCAAGGGCAATTGGAGCGTGCAATGAACAAATCGCGAAGGAGATGGTCAAACTTATTCGCGAAGCGGATCAAACAGTGGAACAAAGAAATAAATAATAATAAAATTAAGTTGCTATATACTGTACAATAAATGTACCGTAAAATAAAAATAAAAGTTTCAATTCAAACGTTTATTATCTTTATACTCAATTCCTTAGAAAAATAATAGAAATTACTTAAATTTCCATTTCACCGATGAAGTTTCATATGGAGAAGGAATTCCCCGGAATATACGGGAAAAAATTCCGATGACAATCGAGGGAAAACCGTATCAAGAAATGTGATCTAATGACGTCAAACGCAGAGGAAAGCAATGAAGGATTCATTGACGTCCTTTCAACGCGGTGACGCACCTTATGCGTCCCGTATTATCTATCCAGTGAAATCGATTGACGCACCATGTGCGTTTTACGGAATTTATATCAGCCAGTAATCGAAAATCTAATAAAATAATGTTACAGTCAAAAGAAAATAAATACAAATATTTGAAGTTAAAATTAAAAAAAAGAATACATCTCATAAGATCTCAGTTCTTTGTATGAAGAGTCGCGTCAAGACGATGCACGTTTGTTAACAAACACATTTTCGCCCCACCTATTCCTCTTTACCCCGCTCTTTCTTTCTTCCATTCTACTCGGTTATATAGACCAGCTTGTGCATCGTTAGAGTGTCAGTGTTGGTTCGTTCACGCTCGTGAAAAGAGAATATCAAACGGTTAATTATAATTAGTGAAATATGAGCGAGTCGTACGACATCGATGAGTACTACAAGGTCGCCGAAGGACTTGTCTTAAAAGCAGGAAATGTACGAACATTACCCTTTAAGTAGAAAGACTGATTAAACTTTTTTGTGATTAAGCAGTCGTTTCTTTTCAGGTGATAGAGAATGCCATTAATTTAAATAAAAGTGTTAAAAGCAAGGGGATTGACTGGGACCTTGTCACGGAATATGACAAAAAAATAGAAGATGATTTACAGAAACAATTATTAAAAATGTATCCACATCACAGGTACATAGATTAAACACTAACAAATTTAAGAAGGTACATATTAAATAATATATAAATGAACTTCTAGATTTATTGGCGAAGAAACGACTGCTGAAGAGAATTGTTTGCCAAAATTAAGTGATGAACCAACATGGATCATAGATCCTATAGATGGCACGACAAATTTCGTTCACCGATTTCCGCACACGTGTATTTCCTTAGCATTATTGATAAATAAGAAAATAGAAATCGGAATGGTGTACAATCCTCTGATGCGACAATTTTTTTCCGCAAAGAGGCAGAAGGGAGCTTTTTTAAATGGACATCCTATAAAAACATCAAATATAACAGGTAAATGAATTTTAAAGAATTTTTGTTTAAAATGTTTCTATAATAAACAAGTTTCTATTCTAAAAATGCTACCATCCTTTTAGAAATCTCTCAAACATTAGTTGCAATGGAACCATGGATTGCCAAGGATCCGAATTATCTAGTCAGCATATACAGCAGAATGCATGCTTTAATCCAAGGAACTCACGGGTAATCTTTTGTTTTTATTTTTAAACTATTTTTATTTTAGAAACGCTATTGAAAACAGTTTTGCATTTTTAGAATAAGATCATTAGGTACTGCTGCTCTTACATTATGTTATGTTGCAATGGGTGCAATAGAAGCATATCATGTTGAAAGTATAGATGCCTGGGATGTTGCTGCAGGCAAACTAATAATAGAAGAAGCAGGAGGAATAGTAATAGACACAGCTGGTACATAATTCAATATCTCAACAATTATGTTCAATAATTATCAGAATTTTAAGACAATATAATTTTAGGTGGAGAGTTGAATTTGCTAACACCAAGAGTTATAGCAGCGTGCAACCATCAAATTGCCGATCAACTAGTCAACTTATTTAAAAGTGCTGATTTGAAAGCTATTGATAAAAATTTAAGATGAACCTGATAATTTCATTAAGAACCATGTAAATAGTACGTTTTACATATGTATAAATTATAAATAAAATAAGTTCAAATTTTAATGAGTTTGTATTTCTCTCATTCAGCAACTGCTAACTAATATTGTATGTGAATTTATGGCAAACAGATCTGTAGCAAAAATGTATTTCTATAATAAATTATAATATTTAAAGTTTGTTTCTTACCTGTGGACCCATGTTGGGTTGCATTTGTTGCGGATGCGATGAATAGTTCTGTTGTTGGGGTGGAGGTTGCTGAGGTGGTTGAGACATTGGTGGACCTCCAGGTTGCATCGATGGACCAGTTTGATATGGTTGTGTTGGACTATGAGGATGATGCTGTGGTGGACCCATCGGGCTACCTTGTGGATTAGATGGTGATGGTGCTTGTTGAGGGGGACCCATAGGGCTTGGTGCTTGCGGCGGAGGCATAGGAGATGATTGTGGCGAAGGGCTTGCCATATTGGTTCACTTTAATTCCGATGCATAAAAGTTACCTCCTGAAATACATAAAAAAGAATTAAAACAATAATATATATTCTATATGTGCCAATACATATAAATACTCAAAGCTTTCATTATTAAAATGAGTAAATTAAAAAGTAAACATCCTTTAGCTTAACATAAGCTAAAATAATGTACATATGTACAAGATATTCATCATATATATAGATTAATACTATCATAAAAAACTTGTTGATAGGATATGGAATATCCTATCATTTTAAATCAACAAGCTGTAAATCCTTGATATGATATTCACTCAATTAATCAATTATTATCATCAAATTATTCAACCGGTTCTGCTATTTATGTAACAATATTCTAAATTGATATAAACATATTTAAAATAGGTACACAGTCAAAATTCTCGTGTTATACAATGTACACAATCCCACCTATGCATAACTAAGAGTTTACAAAATATTCACACAACAATATCAACGAAATGAATTTTTCATACAAATATTAAATTTATACTGTTTAAATTAAAATACTTTTATCCAGCAAAAAAATCTGACAACTCATTTTGGTTTCCAGCAAGGAACGAAGATTCTATGACATCACGAAATTTTTATCACACTCATAGAAAACCTCTGTTTATACATACCGTATAAAAATTTACTTTACTCCATGAGCAAATTTAGCCATATATTCGTGAATGTTGAACGAAATAGGTTGACCAAAATCTACACCGCCTTCGACAACACCGACGAACACACGCTAACCGGCCATTTTCCTTCTGTCCCTACCCGTAATACGTTAGTATGTCGGAAATCATGGCCGTCTATTTGAAGCTATATCCTACGCCTATGATCATTTTCTTGATGTCTACAATGCATCTCTATTCGTCGATATTAAATTCAATTTCTTAATACTGATAAGAAAAATATCCATATGCTATTATCTATTATTTCTTAAAATATTAAACCTTTCTTCTGTCTTTATTAAAAATTAAAATCAACTTTGTATTATAAAGAACTTTAAAACCCTAGATTTCAAGTTGCTGTAAATGTTTTCTGTAATAATAGTTTATTTGATTCATGATTATATCATTAAATAAAAATATTTAAGGTTTTTTGCAATATCGATTTTTCCATAGACTTAGGAACATATATTTTTAAAGTTTCTTGGACTTCGTGGGCCATCCTCAATCCTCGGTGTGTATTTATACCGCAGTTCGCCAGAGTCCATAACTGTCCATAACTGTCCATAACTGCGAAAAGACCTGTTTTCGTTCTTCGCGCTTCTCCAGTGCGCATCTTCGCCCTGATTGGCGATACTCCCAAACGAAGTGGAAAGCGATTAGCAGAGAGCTCGCTGCGTTCCCCCACCATCTTCCAACCTGCGCGTCGCAGTTATGGACTCTGGTGAACTGCGGTATACAAACATGGCAGTTGTAAGAAAAATCGGGAAATTATCAAATAAGTTACTTAAAAACAATATACCTCGTATATGCATCGCCAGAGGTGCATCCAACGAAGGAGGGGAATTTGACGATGAAGAATTTCGAAAATTTTGGGACATGAAGAAACGTAAGTGAAAATATTATTTCTGTACGTTAACTATTGCCTTTTCACAGGTTATTTGTTACATAATTATAATTAAATGAATTTGTTGAATATTTTCTTGTTATTTTTGCAGCTGCTGCAGTAAAAGAGTATATGCCAGGGTATTATCCAAGAAACGAAGAAGAAAGACGTAAAGCTGCCGAAAAATATGGAATGCATCCAGATGAATACAAACCATATCCTAATGATCACAGATATACTGGAGATTATCCAGACTTACCATGGATAGGTGTTGCAGCTAAAGATATTTATTACCCTTGGGATTATCCTGCCATGAAAAGAAATTTTGAAGACCCTGTTAGTGTTCAATTAAATTTGAATTTTAAATATTTCAATATTTCTGATCTTAATACTACTTATTATCTTAATATTGAATAATACTACAGATACATCAAAACATGGACATGATGGGAGAAGATCGTTATGACTATGGTGTTAGGAAACTAGTTGGTGATAATCAAGGACTTTTTTATTGTATTGTTACATTGGCTATATGCTTCATTCTTCATGAAATAGCTCCAGAAACAAGTCAACAAAGAGTAAGTACTGTTTTCATCTGTAATTTTTATTCTCCTATAATTCATTGATGAATACATCAATTTATATTTTAGATGGAAAAGCAAGTTCCATTCACAGGAGTTCATTATACCTTTGAACCACGTGAATAAACATGTAGCAACATGTACAATTATAAGTAGTCCTAATAAATAAACCAGCTTATGCTGATCAGTTTATAATTTGTATTATATTCATATTAAATATGAGATTCTTCAGTTAAGATGAATCAATTCAGTTCCATTTAAAAAGTTACTTTAAGTGTGAAAAGGAATACTCTAAGTGTTTTAGTTAACTTAAATTGTTGTTATAATAAAGCTATTATTTGAAGCAAATATTTAAATTATAATTCATTTATTACTGACGTGAAACTTTTGAGGACACGCTATATACAATTAAATCAATTCTCTAAGTTATTGATAATTTTATTAGTTACTTTAGTATCACCAATGACTACAAGTGCAAAAAGATTGGATAGGTTTTTGATCTTGAGGGGTCCCAGACACTCCCAGCTAAAGATAGTTCTGCATATACACAGCAGGTTGGTACGACAGTCGTGTCAGTTTTACCCACTATCTCTTTGGTGTTCGAAGACGGGCTACAGCCAAGAGTATACCTCTTCTTTACGACAGCGTAAAGCGGCTAATTTATTTTTCGCTTCCCCGCCGTGCGGCCGACCCATCAACACACGGGGGTGTCTGAGACCCCTTAAGTCGTAACCCCTCGACAGCAAAAGCATGTCCGATCTTTTTGCATCTGCAATCACTGGTGTTACTTTTTTAAAGCAGTATTGGTTGATACTTTCTTCATTGTTTATCTGTCAGTCAAACCCTTTCGTTACAGAAATTTAATCTTTAATTATGAATTCAGGAAATCAGTTGCCGGATCTTGATAAAATATTACGAGAAGATGATGAATCTGATTTTTTACCATCGGCAGGGTATGTTTCTTCTTTAACAAATCGTTTATCTTATATAGGTTTTTTAAGAATTAGGTTAATTAAAATAAATTTGATTTTAAACGAATATGTAAATATTTTTTAGATCCAACTTAGCTGCTATTTTTGGGATGCAAGTTAAAACATTGGATAGCTCTTCATCAAAGCAACAAGTTTCTAAAAAGCCAAATATATCTCGTAACATAACTCAGGTAATTCAGATCAAACCAGAAGTCATAATAGCTAAAGCAGTACATGCATTTAAACTGTAAGTATTAATATCTGATATATTTGTTATTTTAGATTATTCTTATTTATACATTATAAATAAAATTGTTTCCAGACAAAATGGAGTTTACATATCAATTGGTAAACTTGGTATGGCTCTTACAGGAAATGCTGCAACGAAAGTATATCAAATTATTTTATACAAAAACAAACAAGAACACGTATCAACTGTTACAGTGACACATGATTTTTTATATGTAATACAACCAAACAATTATTCAAGTTATTATGATAGCAATAAGGAAAATTGGTCAATATTATTTGAAAATAGCGACGTTTGCATCGAATTTGCGAGAGAAATAGCATTAGCTCGATATTTTTCGAAAAATGCGAGGATAGAAAATGTGCTTTATCAAGATCTATCACCAGTTAACAAAGATGTAACTGCAAAAGAAGGAGATAGTGTATCTATAAAATATTTTATCAGTGCCGAAATAATACAGCCCCTTAAAAGCAATCTTATAATGTATCAAACGATGACGGTAGAAATATCTACCGATGATAATTGGGAGAAAACACTTTTAGGAAGCAGTAACGGATTAAAAAGAATTTTATTTTTACCTCCAAACAAACAGGTATTATATTTAATCAGTTAACATAGATATTAAAATTCTAAATGTAATTGTTTTATAGATCAGTTTAGGACCTGGATTTCCTAAAGACAAAGATGTTATATTAGAAATAGAAATAATAGATATACAATCACAACAGGAAGCTACTAATTTGCATAAGGTGACAAGTGGTAAAGCTTCTATAATATCGCGTATGGCAAAAATGGGACAGTCTATGTTTGTACCGAAAATTCCTACATCTACTACTACCGATTCTGAAGATACCGAGGTATTTAGTTAATTTTTTTATTTCATTATTTAAAATAACTTAATATGATATATAATTAACATATGTCGTATATTAATTAAAGGACGATGTACCGCGTAGATCGTTGCATCAAAGAAAGGTAAACATCTATTTTCATTGTATCAAGTAAAATTAAAGAATACCTAGTCACCATTTGTATTTTAGGCAGAATTGTCAGAAGGAGAATTTCAAAAGAAACGTTTTACACAAGAATCTAAAGAAGAAATATCAAAAACTGCACACAAAGTACTGAAATCAAAAAGCGACGCGTCTGTAACAAATGCAGCTTGTAAGCCTTTCGTTACACCTACTCTCGCTCCTCAGTGGTCACCTACTCAAAGACAGGTATACAAGTTCAAATATTTGAAATGAATCATCCATGTATTAAAGTGTATCTATGATGTACATTACAGCCCAATTTCGTCACTGTGGATGGTCAGGTGTATTCACTACAACCACAAATCGTAACTCCAACGGTATCAACAGTGATCGATCCAGGTTTAAACATGTTGTTGTCGGAAACTCGAATGACAAATGCAGAACTCAGAATGGGGATGTCTAAAATAGGTGATAATGTGCAGAAATTACTTGATAAGGTAGTTACATACTGAGGAAATTGTATATCATTTACAACGATGCCATTATGTATCGTATACAGTTTCATGTTCTTGAACTTCAAAATGCTACATCTCCTCTAAAAGAGAGAGCGGATTTGGCTGCTTTGAAAATGTTACTAACTACGACTGCGTCTCAGACTGAAGAGAAGGAAAAACAGTCGCAAACCAATATTACGGCTACCGATATTTCTACACAGTTGAACGAGTTCAAAGACAGAACGAGTGCGCTAGAAAAAGAATTAAGGGAGTCAAAAGGTAATATTAATTATAGGTAAAAACATTTAAATACGTGTATTAATTTATGGTTGTTAATATAGAATATATTAAAACTCTCGAAGATCAGAAAGAATCTTTAACTCAAACTAATGAAACTTTATCAAAAAGTATTAAACAATTAGAAATATCATTGAATGATGCAAACAGTGCACTTTTAACAGTAAGAAAAGATCTAGAAGAAAGTAGAGAACTTAAAAGCAAATGCGAAGAACAAACATCTATATTAGAAAATAAAATGCTCAAACTTTCCGAAACGGCAAGTTCCATGGAAACGAAAGAAGTAAGGTTTTTTATTTTCTGTTTTCAATGCAATCCTAATTTTTATTGGTAATTATGTTTTTCAGAATGATAAACAGAAGGAAATCAAACATATAATGAATAAAATTTATCATGCTCTGATGGATAAATTTGTAGAAGAGTCGTACTCTACAAATTACGTAAGAACAGTAATAGCAAATACAATAAAGGTAAAACTATTTATATTTCATTATTTATATTTTTTTTAACTTAACTATAATTTTAGAATACCACGCTTCAAGTTTTACATAAGAATAATGAAAAAAGTAACAGGGAACCAGAATCAATTTCTGCCAAAATAGCAGAAAGTGATGATTTAAAAGTAGATAATACAGAGTTTGAAACCTCCAGTTCAAGCAAGTCATCAGAACCAACTGAAGTTGCCAAAACTACTAAAACTCATGTAATGTTCTTTTATATTTTTTGTATCTTAGATCAGGCGTGCATACGAAATTGTCCTACAGGCGCGTGAGTGCCCGCGGGTCACGGGCGTCCGCGTCTGTTTTACTAATTGTGCATGCCTTAGATATATATATATATATATAACAGCTTTTTTTTACAGATATTTGTATTACAGAATGAACCACCACCTATTCCTCCTATTGATACCGAAGATGAGAATGATTGGTTACAATGATAATTGTATATTTCAATGTATAATTGCATCCTATGAAATAATTCCACAACCCAAATTTAAATTATCGATGAATTTTTACATAAAATAGACATTTTTTAATACCCAAAGATTTTCTTTAAAAATTCTTTGATGTTAATGTATATATTCTTATGTAAATTTCTTAATAAACATTATTTTGTTAATAATAGGGGTTTACTCTGGGGTACAAACGAATTACAGTAAAAGCTGGATATATGCAACAAAAGTTTGGCTGGATATGTGCAACATCGCTATCCCCTCCACTTGGGGGGATCGCCCTAAGCCGAACCAAGCCGCTCGGCGAGAAAACCGTGTAATATGATCCGACCGTAATATCGGTGTGACTAATACTAATTGAACGATAAAACTTTTTTATTTTTAATTTTTTCTTAATGAAACTTTTACTAACGCATTTGTGAGATTTTTCTGATTAAGATGGTATCAAACACGATATGATTTGAATTATATTTATTTATTAAAATAATAATAAAACTGTACATATGTATAAGGCAGGCCGTACACCAAAGGTACATCAAACACGTTGCATGTTGTGTACGAACGTAGAATAGGTATCGCGGCACGGTACAAACGATTTGTATGAACGTAGAATAGGTAACGCGGCACGGTACAAACGATTTGTACGGACACAGAATCGGTACCAAGACTGGATATATGCAACGTTTAAATGCCCAGAATCGACACCTCGGCTGGATATATGAAACATTAAATGCCCAGAATCGACACCTCGGCTGGATATATGCAATGTCTGGGTCCCAATGTTTATTGCATATATCCAGCTTTTACTGTATAGGTTATTTTCATTTTCGCAATTTCACGATTAAAACCTATATAAATAAGATACGTTTTATATATGTATATATATATGAATTTATTCATGTGAATACACAAACGAATCGGTTTCATTTTTATTTAATCATTGAAAAATATAAAAATGAATCAAGACAAATTACATCAATTGCGTTGTAGTTCACTCGCTTGTCCTGTTTTAGAAATGGCGTAAAATCATGGTGCAGATTTTCTCAACATTTGGATGTAATAAAACGTCAACAAAAAGAAGGAATGCCACGAAAAATATGATAGGACGTAAGTTACAATTTAAAGATTGGTAAATTATTAGTGAATACAAAATCCCGCCCGACTTGAGTAATTCTATCTGGCTGTGTTCACGGTTTCATCATCTTGGCTTCTACCACGCCAATCAAACTGAAATCTAACCTTAAAATTTTAATTGACAAAAACAATGTTTTCATTCGAATTTATTCACTGCCATGAAATTCATTTGACCAGCGGAAATCAAATTACCTAACGATACGAAACATAATTGCAATGATGTTGTTTCATTTATCCCGACATATTTTAATTTTAATTTTACGTTTTAATGCTTATTGTTAGACATGTAATATCAGGGATAGTAAACATTGCCCCTATCTGAACTTAAATTTATAGTAAATTTCCATTTTTAACAAGATGACACAGAAATTATTTGTGCATGTTGCAATTTTTCTGTATTTCTTCTACTTTTGCCAATTAATAAATAACATATATTTGATTATGAAATAGATTACTAGCTATAACTTTTATAATGGATGTAAATACTGTGGAGGATGAAGATGTATCCTTCCATTTGGGAGAAATGTTTGACAGTTATGAAGAACTGGAGCACAAATTGGAAAAATTCTCAAAGCGTAGTCTAGTTCACTATTGGAGGAGAGATAGCAGGACAGTTAGTGGTGCTCATATGAAAACTGCTCGTCCCATTAGTGAGCGCTTAAAGTATTATTCTGTGAAATATGCTTGTATCTATGGTGGTCAAAAGTTTCTACCACGTGGAGCTGGCAGGAGACAGTCTCAGTTAGTTTATAAGATTATAAATTGTTAAAATTAGATTGTTTTGAAATAAACACGATATAATAAAATTTATCTTTGAACATAACATTTTACATGCATTACTTTTTTCACTCAGATCAATCAGAACAAATTGTCCTGCTCATATTATGTTAAGAGCGTCAAAAGATGGTACAAAGTTAGAGGTAACTAGCGTCAATAACGAGCATAATCATGAAATCTCAGAGGTAAATTCCAATGGCAAAGTAACGTTAGGTAGAATTCATTTAATTTGGTTCTGTTCTCATTTTTTCGTTAGGAATTATTTAAAAATCTTCCGCAAGAAAGGAAATTATGCGGCGAAATTAAGCAGGAAGTACAGGATCTCATGCAATTACATATTGATCGCAAAAGATTGAAAGAGTACGTACGACTGCGAACAAATAAAATACTCAGATCCAAAGATTTATTTAATATAGCGGCAGCTAATAAGCAAAAGAGAAACATAACACCCGAAAGGGCGTATCAGTTGTTTAAAAAAATTCATGACATCGAGAAGATGCAGGGCAGAGATAATGATAGGAAGATACATTCTGAGTCTGAAGATGAAATTGCACAGACAATAAAAAGGATGAAAAAAGAGCAAGAATCTCCTTGGGGTCAAGATGTAATATCTCTAATCTTTGTGTATAATTTAGCGTTATATTTTAATCTAAAAACTGTATTTTAGGAACTACCAACTGAATTAGAAGTAAGCGAAGGAAATGATGGCGAAGATTCTTACAGTGGTCAATTAACTCAAGAAGAAGTAGTAGATGAAATCGACACAACGGAGGGTGAATTATTAAGAGCAAATAACGATGGCGACATTATAGCGGCAAATGGTGAAATTGTGGGGGAATTAGTAATGCAAGATGGAGATCCATCTGTAATCGTTGAATCCATTGTAAACGCTGATGGTTCTGTTTTCGTGGACGAAAGAGAATTCAATAGTTACTGTAACAATCATTTATCGCATACAGTAGATGGCAGCCAATCACCTAACAGTAGAGGTAATTTCGATTAAACGTTTTTCTTATTTATGCAAGGAACATAAACGTAATATGATTTTACGGCAGTTTTAGATATTGAAACTATCGCGCCTGCCACTGATATGGAAAAGATCAAAGGTACACCAACCTCCCCTAAACAGCAAAATAGGTCCATCACACCACAGTCGCAGCAGCCTGTTAAATCGCCAAGCACCTTCGATGAAACTACAGATTCTAGAATTTGGATTATGAAGGAAGCTACGAACCCAGATACGGAGGCTGATAATGGACCCGAAAGTGAAGTGAATCGGTCAAACTTAGAAACGACTGCAAAAGCAGATATCGATACATCTGAAGTGATATTGTCGGATGAAGCTAGTCACCAGTTACTTCAGGAACAGTTAGCCGTGCTTCGTGCTGAAAAGGGAAAGCTTTATCACGAAACTGAAATGTTGAAACTTAAAAAAGATAAATTGAAATTACAGATGAACTGTTACTCTAACGAAATACGGAAGCAAGAGATGGAAAAGGAAAAGCTTAGACTTGAAATTAAATTATTGCAGTCGAAAGTTATGGAAGATTCCAATGATGTTTCTCATTATATTTTTGTGCCTTGAGCGATACGGTGTGGCAGAAAATGAATGTCTGGAAAACACAAATATTTTTAAATCAAAAATCGTTACTAAATTATTCTTGATTTTGTTTTTATATGTGTAATGATATAATTGTTGGAAATAAGGTTGCTTGTTTATTTAACTGTATGGAATAGAGTCATTGCAGTTTGTAACTTACAATGATCTTTTCCTTATTCTTGTACAGCGTCGAGCAAAGTAGGCTTCTCTAGAGAACATGGCAAAACAGGGGTGGGAGGCCGTAGACCTATATACTGGGTCCCTTTCCCAGCATCGTCGTTTCCCCCGGGGGACGTTTATGTGGATGGGGCGGGAATCCTGGGAAGCCTGTGGGGAGGCCCAGGAACCCGGGATATCGCTTTTTTTCCTGAGAAAGTCTACCATGCTTGGGACTGTATATACTTCGTAAAATTATTTTAAATCAGTCGCTGTTCAAAAACTAATTTAATAATTGTTAATAGTCCATGTACAGTCATTTACGTTTGATGTACTTTGTTTGAAAGTGATACGTATGTTTTAGCTACCACTGAAATTACATTTAAAAAAGTATATTCAGAGGAAAAAGTATTCTTTAAACGAATAACGTGATAGAACTGTATAGTTAGTATAATAAATTATTTTGCAAATAAAAATAGTTTTTATTGTACGCAAATCTTACACTCAAAGTAAATCAAATTTACAAACAATGAATAATAATACTTCGTTACCCAACTTAAATACTTACTTCCTCTTCCAGCTTTTTCACTTCTGTAATTAATTCTTTTATATCTTTTGCCCTGTGAAATGAAAATAACAGGATTGAAGTATTACTTCAATTTTTATAGAATATTACCAATACGTACATGTGTCCAAGGCTGTTCTTAATAGTTTTCTCTTGATCGCCTCTAAAAACAATTTCTTTCTTCTTTCCGTTATATTCAATGTTTTCTGTGTAACCAGTCTGTTGCTCTGATTTCTTTTTCAGTTCTAACAGCCTGATTTTCATTTCCTCTATCTTCGTCTCCATTTTCTTCAATTCTTCAGCTTCGGCTCTTTCAACAGGACTCATCGAGGGTTCTTTGTAATTTACTAGTCGCAGCACTTCTTTCGCTCTGTAAATAAATGATATTCGATTTATCAGTTTGATGCTTTCAAAAAAGAGAAAAAAAAAAAGAAAATCACCTTTGCGCAAGTTTTTCTTGTTCGTCTTTAATGTCCTCGTAACGTTCAGCCAAACGTTCGGCAGTTTGATGCAATTCTTTTTTAGTCTCCATCAAAGTATCCAGCTCTTTCAATAAATGAGTTTTCATCACTTTCAAAGCTCGCACCCTTTTACCGATCTCTTCTCTCACGTGATCGTGTTTAACAAAATGTTCTTTGCGGAAGACGTCCGTTGCATGATACAGCAGCTAATAATAAAAAGTCTTTTCATTAATTTTCATTCAATCGAGTACTTATTTCTTCTCTTAGTTATCCAACCTGTAGACATTCTCGCGGAGACATGATCTTTGATCCCATTTTTATAAGTGGCTGTGATGTTTCACGTTTGAGCAATCTCTTGATATACATATCAAATTCCTCTTTATTGACCTGTAATTTGTTTTTATCAACACGAAGAGAATAAACTTTATTCTTTAATCCGCGAGTGGCTTTAATCGATTCGAAGGATGTTACTTACTCTTTCTTTTTTATCAATTATAGGCTCTGGAGGTTCAATTTTTGGGAAGTAGTGGAGATCGATGATAGATCGGGCGACTACATCGCCGGTATGCAAGAGGGCCACCAGAACGGAAGGTTCCTGAAGTAGTCCAAACCCAAGGATCGGTGTGGCTTCGTTCGCTCCTGTGTGTTTAGTTCTTCTACAAATCAGGTACTGTGAATTCGATTGGTTCGAGAGCGATGGTAAACGGCTAGCGTCGTTGTCTGGAAAATTTTTACATCCCGGTTATGATTTCACGTTTTTCCTATGGAAAGTTTTACATATTTACCTTCCGGTGAGTTGATATATTCTTCCAATTGAGAGACCATTGGCAAAGTGACCATGTGAATACCAGCATTATGGGAGCAAAAATACCTAATAAATAGAATACGTTCAGTCATGTTTTATTTCATCCTCCTATGCCATCAACTATTATACCTTGATTTGTTATCTTTATCCCATCGAAGGTGTATAGGACAATTATACTTCTCATCATTATCCGCGAAAAACAAACCCAATTCTATTTCAACACATTCGTAGATATATAGGGCCTCTTCCGGTGTGTGAAGACTGTAAGTTGAACCATACTGGAACCAAGTTTGCAAGTTATTGATTGATGAAAAAATAATTAGAATTCAGTTTGATTTGTTAACACTTACTCTTCTGTCGTCATCGTCATCGTTTAATTCTTCTTTTAACAGAATACCGTGATAAATCTTTCCTGTGCACATGGCGATAACCACTATCGGAGGGGTAGTTTGTATGCACATGATGGAACAGGAATCTATTCCGTAATTGTCGTCGGCTGGAGGGTACATAGAGAGTGATCCTGATACCACTGGGACTTCATGACTTAACAAAGATATCATTAGATAACGAATCTTTGGAAATTCATAATTATAAAAATTTGAAACTTTCAAATTAAGAAATTGATTAACCAACAGTGCCCATCATATAAAGTTACAGGGAAGCAAGTACTTATTTCGAAGGTTAATTTAAAATTTACATACCTGTCGTGCAGAAGATTGCCCCGGACAATCAGCACCTCTCCGTTCCCTCTCAGTATCAGAATCGGCCATTCAATTTGATTCCAATCAACTACGCTGTTCTGAAGACAATATCGTTAAAACTTCGAGGCTCGTTTTTAAACAAAATTTTGATTATTTTTTTTTATACCTTATTCATGTCTCTACCAGCAAACATTTCCGGTTTGCATAAGGTGGGTGTAGCAAAGTCAAAGTCTACTGCTGTGTCGCCAAGGGAAGAAAAATCGGGTATCTTTGATGGTGAACCGAAAGGTTTACGACCAACTTTCCAACATTTGACAAGCCTAGGCGTATTACCGACCTCGCATTCGTACAAACTATCGAACGTTCAAAATTTCAATTTTAATTTATTTGAAAATTTGTTTAACCCTTCATTGGTTCATACGCCCCCGAAAACAAGTATTTGCTACATACCGAAATGTATTATCAGAAGTCAGAACTAGTAAATGAGAGTCGTTCGTGGAACCAGGGTGCCATCTTGCCTTTCTAATTTCCCCTGTTGCATCAAAATGATCAAACTTGTGAACTCTAAAATCAGAAAAAAATGATTTCTTAAAATTCAGTAAACCTAAATTTTCAGTCAGTTTGTCGAACTTTTGAATCTTTAGCTTAGAACTTTATACAGGTCGAACGGTGAGCAAAGTGTCGAAAGTCAAGCTCCATGTTCCTAGCGGGCCGTTATTTAACACAAATTACCGTAATCTTTCACGATCGTCATACCCTCGGGTACAACGAAGGAACACAGCAAAGCGTTGTGTTTGTTTTTCCATGGGACGAACCGGGACGTTGGTCGTCTACATTTCGTATATTTTATTATTACTCTCGCACTTTCCGTGGCTGGACACGGTAACGTTGGCAAAAGGGGGTTGACGGTGGTTAGCCCGTGGCCGTTATTAATGTCCACGGCACGGTGCCTGCGAAGGGAGGGTACCAAGAGGAGGAGGAGGAAGAGGAGGAGGAGGACGAGGCAGGAAAAGAAGAGAGACAGTCACATGGAAAAAAGCGGGATGAAGGATCTGACACGAATAGGGGATGAGAGAGAACCAGGCGAAGGTGGAGAAAGAAAAAAAAAAGATCAGACTGGGCATATAGGGTATCGCCAGCAACGACTGGTTACACCCGGCACACCAACGACAAGGACGAAAGCAACTTTACCATCACCAGCAGCCCATTGCAAAAGCACGCCAGAGTTCTTAATAATTGATAAAAATGTACGCAGGCACGCACGTACGCACCAGTAGAGAGAGAGTCGGTCGAAAGCCAGACGACGACGTGGTCAACCCCAGAGCCCAGTTTCGCCCTCCCCACCTTTCCGTTCTCGTCGTCGGTTCAGCACCGCTCGGCCGGGCTTTTCTCTCTTTTTACCCCTTGTACGCCCAACCTTTCATGCTTCGTTGACAAAGGCACACGCAACGATTTATTCGCACTTTGCACCGCAGCCTCGCGGGGATTTTTCTTCGTTCTGTCACAATTTTAGTATTATCAAAATTTATGGCCACCCATGCGCGTACCCGCCGCGCCGGACCATACGCCTTCTCTGTACATACCCATTTGGCCAACCGGTTTACGCGCTTTCTGAATATCTACTGATATGTTTCCCTTGTTCCTCAACCTGTAAAGAAGCCACTTCCGGCTCGTCATGGGACATCAACTGTAGTAGGTGCTTAACGCTTTGACAGACCACTCTAAATTCAGTGGAAATCCCTCCAGGTAGCAATCTAATCTATTATTTGTTACGGTGTCTTTCTAGTGGGCTAGGTTTTCAAGTATTTAGGAAAATTGTTTGCAATTGGGTAAGTAAAGATGTTACTTAAAATGGGTAATAGATCAATGGAAATTTATGAATATTGGAATTTTAGAACTTTAGGATTTCAGAGGTCTATTAGATCCTCACCCCTAGAAAATTATACCGACATCCATTATTTCCTAAAAATCTGAACTCTCATTGTCAGAATATTAAAGCCGAAATTTTTCGACGCTAGACCGGCGTACACCTCTATGGAAAATTTCTTGACGAAAGAAAAGAAAGAATGGGGTAGGCAGCTGCTAAAATCTAATTAAGAAATTCTTACACGGCAGTGCCGCGTATTCTGCCACACCCTAGCAGAACCTCGGTGGTTCTGCACTTTTCGTCAGGAACGGTCTAGAAGAAGAAGAAAAAAAAAAGAAGAACTTAAAAATAATTTTTTCCTACGTAAACGTATTAACCCGGGGCAGGACGGAGCTTTTTACGCCGCGCTTTTCTTCCAATTTGTACAAAGAATGGCGCGGACCTGACTTCAAAGCGGATCTTACGGAGTGTCGTATCATTTTGTTCCAGGAAACTTTTCCGCTCGTATTTCTCTTCGCTGTGCTTAAGTTACCATCACGGCTTTTCACCAACCCGCTTGAATCTCTGCCCTCCCCGATGATTTACTCGGCTTGTTTGTTCGCTTCCTAGCTTTTCTTCTGCCCCGTTGCGTCAAAATTTTCTGATAAAAAGAAATTTTCACGTTTACCAAACTTTGGATACGTTTTCATGGAATAACAAGTACTTAGCGATTTTCATAGGCACCAAAATTATCTTACAATTGTTATTTGTTACTTCTCCATTCCATTTTTGTTTTTATATAAAGTAGATAATGATTCTAATCATTACCAAATTAAAAAATTCATTCTTGGAACACTGTATCAAGGAAAGAAAGATGGCTTTTCTACTTATCCCTCGCGAAATCGTCTCTTTTTGTGAAAATAAAATCATAGTTTACCCCGGTGAGATCACTGTCCGAAGGCGAACAAGATATAAGCGAACAAATTCTCTCGCTTTCATCTTTTCCTTCTCGGCAATAAATTGCAGGGGAAAAACCTATCCGGATCTCCCGCTGGTCTTTTCGCCGCTTAACCTAAAAATTCATTAGATTATAAAGCCATTAATGCTCATCCGCGCGAACGGATTTCTCTTTCGGTTAGCCAGCTTCATAGATCGATGCTGCTTCACTAAAACTCTACATTTTATTTACAATTTCATCTGATCCAACAAATGATTCATAATTTCCTTCATCCATCTTACTTGGCATGCTAATACAAAGCGTTTCATTTTTCGTTATTATAATTCCATCTTAATTAACAAAATAAACGTGGAGTATTGAAAGGATCCTCTCATCGATGATTCGTACGTTACGGAAGAAGTAATTTACGATAAAGAGGGGTAATAAAATTCTTGCCGGAAAGTAATTAGAAATATGAGTTGGTGGAGGTAAATGGGGCGTAACACCTAGGATAATCGACTATACCTTTCTCAACGTACTTTATTTTTTCCCTGAACGTTCAAACACTAAAACACCCCGCGTTTATGAGATTTCCCTGCCATATAATTCTCCGTTTGTTAGAAGTGCCTCTCTTTAGAGGCCCAAACACAGGGAATTATCGAGCGCTTTGGTTTCAACTAGTGGCACGTTGAAATCAGTCGCATCGAAGGATGATCCCAAGTACATAATCTGCATATACGTAACAGGTACTTAATCGACGTGAATGTTCACGAAGAAGGCAGCGCACTTAATTCCGCTCGGTGGCCCCGTAACGACGTAATATCGTTCAGTTACTCGGAGTATTTTTATTACGTTCCCGCGGCAGCATGGCACGTAAAAGAGGGTGGCCAGGGTACCAGCGACAGAACGGTAGTCGAGGGGGCGGTTTGCCAACCTTACGAAGCTATGCTCATGATATAACGAGAGCCATTATGATAAGCGGATGCATAGATTAGACATAACTCGTTAACCCGGCTGTGTGCGACAGCTACGGCGACAGTGTTTCCTGTTTGACAGCAGATTAAAAGTATAAATTACTCGTCGTTACCAAAACCGTCGAATCAATCAAAAATTATCCCCCAAAATTCCAGTTGTAAAATACCGAACCGATTAAGTATGTAGAATACATTAGCATCAGGTTAATTTCAAATTTATGACCTACTGTAATTTCAAACATCACCTGTTAACGTGTACACGTGATTTTAATTGATGAAGTCCTTAAGGTACTTAAAGCTCGGCAAAGAAAAAGACTAGCGAGATACATAGTTAGCATCTTCGTTGCGGCTGGGCCACAGGGCGAGGGGGGATGCGGTAGCTAGGGTGCGAGGGTGGCCCATAAAATCGGGATGTTACGCAAAATATAACGAGCAACGTTCTGCTGGGCTGGCTGACGCTCCTGTCGTAATTCATCCGGCTCTCGCTTGCGTTCGCCTTCCCGACGACACCTGCGTCGCCAACTAAGCCCGTTAATTCTCGAGGTTGCGTCGCGCTTTCATCGCGACCATCGGTTTACAGAAGCCGTTCCTTGCTGCTACTTCGCAGCCTTGTCCTGCGTGCCTTGCGTCCTAGATCTTCCCGCGGTGCCATGGCACGTCCCATCCCAGCCAGTCACACTCGAATCGTAAATCCTTTGACGAAATCTAAAAACCTTGCTGTCCTCTTGATCATCCGCCCTTCGTAGGTTAACTATCTACCCAAGCGCGTACTCGTTTCTATATTTCCAACAATTTATGTTCTCGTAAAAATACTGTCGGCTCGTTCCGAATTCCCATTGTTTTACTAAAAATTCTGTGTACCAGCTCGGCCGCGCAAGGGTTAAGATAAAAAACGGCTAATATTTTCTTCAACCCTTTGCGCAAGGAATCGCGTAACGGGATAGAAGGTTCGCGCACAAAGGGAAAAGAAAAGGTCAATTTAATCCTGACGGTTCCTGGCGAAAAGAGCAGGAGAAAACGCAGCTTCCCGTAAGGAGCAGCATCGAAGATCACAAGCGTGAATAATATGGGGCTAGAATGGCCTTTTTTCCCCAACTTCCTTCCGGCGGGCTGGCATCCTTTCTTGTCTGAGGGCGCGCATGGGAGACAGCATTCTGTGCGTACAAACGTGCACCAGGAGACAGAGGGCACTTGATGTAGGTCTACGTAGAAAAAACACGCACTTAGGTAATCGCGCTACAGCCATGAGCAGCAGCAAGCAAGCAAGCAAGCGGTTCTTCTAATCAAAGAATTCCGGCTGTAACGCCGGAGGAAAAATTTAAATACGCGAGACGCATTCTGCTCGTCTGCGTCGTCATTGTCCTGGACGTCGTTGTCGTCGTAACGAAATAAAACCCGACGGTAAAAGAGAGACATCTGTCGGTTCTTTTAATTACCGCGGTACGTGTGCCCAGGCTAGAGGCTACTGCCATGTACCTTACATTTTCCTTCCTCCTTTTCCTACCCTCTACTCTTCCCACTTTCCTCATTTTCTCTCTCCGTCTGCCTTCTCGTCGACGATGCTGCTCTTTTGTTAGTCCCTTTTTCGCCAACCTCACGTCCCGTTCCGTCCCGTCCCGTCCCGTTGGTTCGTTCATACTCTATCAGATCTGGCTCGTTTGCATGATTTCCGTCACGTTGAAAGAATTGCCAATTTGTTCGGCGTGTATACCTACGCTCTTTCTTGATGGAAAATGATGGAGATGTTAGTCGTTGGACTTGAGCATGCATGGGGTGGTCGAATCACTTTAGGCGCAATTAAGCAGCGTCGATTCTCTAATTTCCCTAATCGCCGCTCGTATCTCGGCTCCTTTGTTAACCGCTGATTCGACGAGAAACACCGTTCGGCCGGCAATAAAGTTTCGTCGGGAGTTGATAAAGGGGCGGCGCAGACCGAGCACGTGGTACCGCGGCTTCCTATATATTTTTCTCCTCGTCGTGGCGACATTTTTCAAAAGGTGCGGATATCATCGGGGACCATCTAAATCATTTGGCGCGCGGGCGCACCCTATGCGCGATCTCCACAAACACCAGCCTCTCTTTCTAACTCAGCAGCACCCTCGAAAATGCGGGCTGTTGGGTAACTGGTGATTTTCGTTAGCGCTTGCTCATCGAAAAAAAGTTGAAAAAATGAGAGAGAGAAAGGGGAGAGTGTGGCCAGGAAACCGGGCCGACCAGCGGGTGGGTGGTGACGCGGAAGTTGTGTAGAGACACGTGGGTGCGCCAGTATGTGGATTACCCGACTCTGAATGTACGAGTGGACCGCGTGTGGTTCACCGAGATTAGCCTCGGGTTTATATCGGGATTACATATGTAAAACCATTAGGTTAAATCATTTTTTAAATAAACGCATCCTATCCCCTTTCACTCGCGGCCGAGCCGGTGCGGCACCGGAACAGATAGGCGAGAGCGCCCAACCAAGGGTTCCCTTCTACCAGTGAAATATTCTGCAGCACGTACGGCGCGGCGCGTGCTTCCGCTAGAGGTGCTGTTATCAGTCGTCGATAACCAATTAGGGAAACATTTTTTGTCCAAACTTCTCCGTTCTTTTTGGTAATTTTATGTCCGACCAACATTTGTGCCGTTATTTCTCACGAGTACATCTGAACGAGTGGCGAGGATCAGAAAACTGGAATCAACCCCCTCGAACGAGGACACGGCACAGGGGTTTTACGAGGTGAATACTCGAGGGACGATTCGGAAGGAACGTTTGTTGGAAGTGGAGTGGTCGTGTGGTATGGGGTTAGGTAGCACGAGAGGTGAAAATTATTCATAAACGTAGGCCGGCTTGCGACTCATGGGAGGGGGGTGAGGAACAGAGAAAGAGATGGAAAGGAGGGGAGGGACACGGAGTGCTAGGGGCTCTCTGACGGTACACCGCGCAACGAGACCGAAGCTGAAATCTACCGAATATTAAGGTAGGAAAGGTCCTCCCCAGACCGCATAATAAACACATAACGGTAATCCTTAAAACAATAATTAGCCGCGAGAGCCAACCAAGAGAGGCAACGATCTTCCGGTGGCGCAGGAAATAACGTTGCTTTCGTAGTCCGTTGCCGAATTAATACCACGATTCCGCGATGCCATGCCACACGACTTACCTACTCCGATCCAAGTTTATACCGTTGAAACTGCACCTTCTTCCTATAACGATTATCCGGTATAACGTTCTCTCTAAGGACTGGCAAACTGTTATGGTGAACTGCTGTTGCTTTCAACCCTCAACTCCGGGAATAAGCTATCACTGATTTTTCTATTAAATTAGATGTTACAAGTAGTTATACTGGTTCATTATAAAATGATTTTATTTAAGAATTCGTAGATTAATAGAAGAAAATGGTAAAAAATGAGTCCAATTGACTTTGTTCTTACTGGTCCCTATGCAGTAATGGGTAGACCAAGTGACCACTGAAATGCTCGCTAAGATGGCATTAAAAGACGATTTACTGTCGCATGAAAACGTACAGTAACTGTTCCAGGTTCTCGCGTAATTCGATACAATATTCAACATCCTCATCGACCAACAAATTCCAAGCCTCGAAGCGTGGAAAGCGAGCAACCGAGCTTTGGATTAAGCAAATGGCGGCAATAATAGTGATTATTCGGATTATGATATCAGAGAGCGAAGTGGGTTCGCTCGGACTTACCGGCAGTCGGTAACTGCTGCGCCACCAAATCCCGACTTCAAGACACCGGATTAAAACTATTACCACTTCGCGACGCCTTTAACCCTCCACCGCCCCTCGCGTACCCCTTTCTCTTTCTACCTTTCTTCAACCCTTTCACGAAACTTAAGCATTTTAAATGCCAACGAGAAGCGGAAATTTTCTTAGGCTCTGACTGACTTCACGGAGCCAATACTAACGAGGACTTAACGACATACGTCCACTGAAGGGACATTAACGCTTTGCACGCGAGAAGCAAGATTTTCATGGAGGGAGTCTGATTGTTGCTTAAGGGAAATGTGAAAGAAAGTTAAAAGGAAGAGGACATTAAATTTCTGAGATGTTTTTTTAATGGCCGAGACTTTTACGAACATGTTCAAGTCTGGTTACCTGCGTTCTTATAATTTTCCTCGATTCTGGCTACGTTGGTTGGAAGCGCGAGCGTAAGTGAAATAACGAAAAAACTTTAGCATAAACTGCCGCTCTTAATTTGACCAGTTTGTTCAGCTTGGAACCCTTCGCTGCAACAGCGAGCTAAACGTTTCGTTCGTTTCCGGAAAAACTTCCGGAATTATGAATTAGCGGAAAAGTCGGCAGGAAGGTAAATGCATTTATTCTGGGCTCGACTTATTATGAAATTATAATGCAAAGGACAAGTTGGAGCGTACCCTTTTACCATGGCGAATTAAGTGGTATCGTCTATCGTTGTTCAAATTAATTAGAATTTCCCTTTCGTTCGGGAGGATATTACGATATAATTAAGAATAAAATATTAAATAAAATTTTCTCGAGTAAACGTTTACGCGCGAATGGTGGCCATGTTCCCTAGGGAGGTCTACCATTCTTGCTATAATACCACTGGAACTACTTTTGGTACTTGATAAAAAATAAAAAGGCTGTAGGAACGTAAGGTATAATCTTTAACCAAGTGGCTAATTGCGTGATGTTCTAATCACCAGAAAGATTAGACGCGAGGACAAGTAGATGCCGTGACTGAAATCGAGGAGGATAATGTTACGCGAAGCAGTAGTCTCGGTGGCATGTGTCGTTGATGAGGCGGTTAGTATTCAGCGGTGCTTTCCTGGGCCTGGAACTTTTCAAAACTAACCGAGTAAAGCCACCTTAATTCCATAAGAGGGAGACCAAAGGGGTTCGGGCGTCATCGTAACACCCTCTTAATTACAGGATATTAGGACGCCCACAGGAGCCCACGGAGGTGCAGGAAGCCAGATAGTGCGATTTATTATTCGCGGTCTACGTTATCTCGCTTTTTAGCAGCCGGATTTCTTAGTCCTGTAAGCTTCTGTCTCTACTTCTGGAGATTGATTTCCTACACCCGCTTTCTAGATTTCTTTTAACACGTTTGCTACCAGCGTTACACATAGCGAATGTCATTTAACGTGTTGCAGGCATTAGATGAAAAACATTTTTCACCTTCAATTGTGATGACAAAAAATTTATAGATTTGAACTACTTACACGCAGAGTATTTCTTCTTTTCCACCTTGAAACGTGCCATCCTTGCCCCATCGCTTAGGTAGCTCCATTAGAACAATTCCTAAGTTACCCCATAAGGCCAGCTGCGTTCCCGTCTCATTGATCAACAGATTCTTGACATCAAAGATTGGAGGATCGGTAGGTCGTAGTTTCTGAAATACCAATACAGGAAGCAGTTAGTACAATGTATTAAATATAAAACTATTTTCAAGGCCTAGAGCAAGTATGCACACCAAGTAGTGAAACGGTATTACAATTTTAATTTTCAACCGTAACGAGATATCCCTTCCGTCAGCCCTTCGGATTCCGCTTCTTTTACCCTCGTCGGGCATCGTCTATCGATTAATAAACTTTATAATACGATCCTGCTCCTCGTTTGTTTTCCAGTTTGATTTTTATCACGGCGCGGCGGCCCGGGAAAAAGGCAGGTGCACGACGAGCCACCTCCTTTCCCAGCCCTTCTATCTCGATGTCGGGATTTCTCTTTAACATCCCCCTTGCCACGACTCTCTACCAACCCCTCTTTTGCCTCGATATTTAATTTCGAACTAAGTTCGCGAACGCGAACATCATTACAGGCTTGGCATCCCTAAGGTTGGGGGGTATCGGCGCGTATCAAGGAGCAATTATTTTTTTTTTTCTACCCGAGGGTAGTTTTCTTACCAAGACGATGAAGCAGCGCCGATGGTATCGAATGTATTTACTTCCTCATTTTCTCATACTCTTGGAAAAGAAGCTTGATAGAAGCCCAGAAACGTTTAACGCTCTGATTTTTGATGCAGAGAATATTAACAGAGGACGACTAATCGGTAGGAAGGCGGATAAAATTTCTTTCCAATCAAATAATCAGTGTCAAGTTAAAATGATAAAAGCGCGAATCCAAACGCGCCCTAACATTAAGAAATAAACGGTCTAGTGCGTTTAAAAGTTTTCTTCTCATTAAGACTTATTCCTCAGGGATCTCGGCGGGCACACAACGCGGGCACAAAGAGTGGCTCTGTCCTCTCTCTAGCAGTTAGAAACACATTTATTAACGGCAGCTCATCTCATCTCGCTGTTAAGTACCAGTAAGAGAGTGCTCTTCCCTTCCTCCTCCCTTCCGTTACCCTCTCGCCCAACAGTTCTCATTCACTTTGGTAGCTGTCTGCTGTCCCGTCCAGGGGAGAAAGAAAAAAGACGTCACATCGTCGACGCCTTATTAATCCGCGTGCCGAGGCTGGAAGGAAAGAAGGTGTCGTGGGAGGGTGGCCCTCTGAAGAAATTAAAAGAACAGAGGGTATAATGTGAACACATCCATTCCCTGACCCTCTTTTTCCTGCCTTCCTATCCTTCTCCCTCCTCGTTATCCAACTCGACACCATTAAACCAACTGTTTCACGCTTTCCCTAAACGTCAGTCATTCTGGACGTCTTCAGTTTTGTCACGGTTTCTTCAAATCCGATGTACACGCTTGTTTCTTTCTTTTCATTTCTCTTTTTCTTGACCCGGGCATTCTCTGGATTGTTCATTGACCTAACTAGGTGGAGGCTAGGGTGGACCTGGCTCCCTTTACAAAATATAGACTGATCCCCTTACCACTTAAAAATTTTCAGAATTCTAAAATTTCAAACTTAGATGATTTTTGCTACTTGTGTACGATTGGTGCAGCAAGAACCGGTGAGATTTTGACGGGGCGATGAAAAAGGGAAATACGGCAATCCTAGGTAAAGCAAGGCGAGCGTCGTAGCAAAGATGGCAAACGAGGACGTTAGCCGAATAATGCAAAACAAACCTCATCTGAGATATAGTCCAGCATTTGTCCATATTAAGGTGTGTTGTCGGAATGGCGGCCGCTTTCATTTCGCGTGTATGCCGGTACGCTTTTGAAATTATATAGCGAGAGCATCAGTCGTCGTTAGTCAGTTTCCTGCCGCATTCCGGCGTTAACTATGTGTATCTTCAGCACCCGTTACGTAGCCATTTATCAGTGTGCTCCTCCATACGCGTTATTTTCCCGCGTTAAGATGCACAGTTTCGCGAGCCATATTTCAGTTTGCTATGGCGACATATCGTATACACGAGTTTGCACGTCAACATCTCAATGTGGATAATGTTACACGGTTTATCTTAAAAGTTCCCGGGGAGGAAAAGAGAGGTTGGAACGTAACGGAGGCCATTTTGGGATCATCGTTATTTGGACTCATCCGTTGGAAAAGGTACTCGTAAATATGTATTCTGTATTCTTTGAAGCAGAGAAACTTGGAGTTCCCGTTGTCTTCCAGACATGACTTCCATCATGGACGACACACGCAACTTTATATTAAGCCTAAGTTCTAAACTAATAAGACAACAAGCATGGCAGGACGATCAAGGAAAGGGAAGGGTAAGGTAACGCTAGAAGGGTCCAAGTTTTGCTGCTGTGCAGCTACGAACCGGGTCACCGATTACGACGTTGATCGTCTACGAGAGAGAACCAAATTGGATAAGTTCAAGCAGCTCCGCTTCACTACTTACACCATTACTCTCCAAGAATTTCAATTAGGCATGATTTTCAAATTCGCAAATCCTTCCGGCGGTTTCAACAAGTTACACCGTGTTACTGTAATCTCAGAATTCAGCCACTTCGCGTTGTTAACCTGCGTTCACCTAACAACGGGTCAGTTTAGATTCAAGATTATACAAGGTGTCAAAAAAGGGACATAGAAATTTACGAAGCAAAAGTAATGTAGAGCCTTAATTTCGGGCAATGATGGGCAATTGCGCCCTCGATGGAGAGTCAATAGCGGATGAGGAGCGAAAGTCGATAGCGTGTGTATAAGGGCAGCAAGTAACAGCTTCTGTTCGCGTCGTTTTGCAGCGAGAAAGAGGTGGAGGGAGGCCCGTTAGGTGGTCGACGTCGGATGTAAATTTGCATTGAACGAAATGAGGCGCTATGGGGCATTCCAGTCCGAAGTTAATAGCTTTCCAACGATTAACTGTATCTCCCCACACAACACGTTCGTCCGATCTGTACCTCTCTTTCCCCCTGGGTCGTTCATTCGACGCGTCATGCCTGTTTCCTTCTGTCCCTTTCCCTCTCACCTTTGCTCCAATCCCTCTTCTCTTTTCCCTCTGTGCATCATTCTTACCCCTTCGTCACGTTGTACTTACCTATATCGTTCCTTCTAATAACACACGTTCGCCAAAGGTTGCGAAATAACTGACTCGGTCGTGCAGTCATCTCGACTAAGGTCCTTTCACTTCCATGTCAAAAGAGTGACAGCCGCGATAATGGTGTTTAACGATCGATGTCACCATATAATTTGGCAGAGGATTTTCTGGCGGGACAGGAACGCAAACATCGATGTTAACACGGTGCAAAGGATCGCGTGCAGTTAGTAGGTGCAAAAGGCGACGCCTACCGTGGCCGCAGCCAATAGTTTCCAGGCATGGAAAGGCGCCACGGGGGTTATAGGGCATAATTTAGTGGACAGTTTGATATACAAACAATCTTTAATGAAATTCTTGGTGTTCATTAATAACGCATTACAGCCTCGCGCGGCACTGGCGCCGGTGTCGGCATCGGTAGCCGGGAATCCCATACCCTCATCCCCCTACTTTTACTCCTCATACTACGCCTTCCTGCCTCTCTCTAACCCTCCATCGTGTCACGTCCTCCGACACCCTTTATCGTTACCCGCTTTACACTAACTCTTTTACTCTCTTCTGCGAAAATTTTCCCACGTCTCGTCGACGAGAGCCGCTTAACTCACCGACCCTTACTTTCGCCTTATAGTTATAATTGTCCATATTAGTCTCCGTTTTTTTTTTTTAATTTAGAAGTACTCTTATCGGTAGACACCGATAACATTAAAATGTTATCGATATCATTACTACGATACCGTTAGAAAGTACAATAGTAATGATGTGTAGGTGGAGCGCACTCAAGGTCACCGAAAGATAGTTAATTTTTCAACTCGAAAATCTGAAGGTTTGATGAAAATGATATTTTTCAAAATGAAACGTGCAGAAGCTTATTTTTTGCAGCCAGAAATCAGCGTTTTAAAATGGCTAATCATAGTATTGGATCTAAGTCTGGAGATCTGGGAGTGATATAATAAAAGCTGTACATACTTGCGAAAGATAATTTTAATACTTCATATTGGTAGTGTTTTAATTAAAACAGATATTAATTAATCTGTTGTTTCACAATATGGGGTCACGTAAGGTTTCATAGTTATCGCTTTACCATCGATACGTACGCCCAGGCCAATATGCAGAACGATTATGTTGATCATCCGAATAGTCTGAGTAGTCCGATTCTGAATAGTCTGATTCGTAATTGTCCGGTAGCATTCTTAGGTTAATGCTTCTACGTGGCACCCTCGATTCTCGTAAGTTTTCTGCGCCCGATCCTCTGGAGATAGATATATTCGGATGTTTAATGGAAACGTGATTGTCTAATTTCCAAAAACCATCCCGACATGTCAGACTCTTGTTACAAATATTGCATTTAGCTATAACAACACCGCGTTGTTCTCCTTCAAAGAGAGTGAAGTACGACCACGCAAAGTTCTGTCGCACTTGAGGGGTTGATCTTTCCGAACGATGTCCGGTATTTGCACGATGAAAGTTACTGTATCTTTGAACGTTACGTGACATTTTTGCTTTGCAGCAATAATATGACTAACGTATCGTTTCAGCTGTTATCAGTACTTATATACCGATTACGAACAATGCTCAGGGACGTGCTTAAAAATTTTCGGACCATAGGTATGCGAATGAAAATCGAGGTTCTTCTTGCATAAACAAAAATGAGGATAATGGAAATCTGAAATCTTCGATTCGTAATTAAGTTAATGAAGATTCACTGTTCACGAAGAATCATTTCTCGATGAAGATAAAAATGCGCACATTACACGTGACGATATTCAGTCCAGGTAAGAAAGGAGGTGAATCGAAACGGATCGAAGCGGCGTACGATTAATTCCCGTTGTCCGGTGGAACAAGGGACGAAGGCTAATAGGCTTTCCGTTGCAACGGTGAAACAGCAGTTCGTTTTAGGGTGGACGATACCAGCGGCTACGGTTAATGAATCGACGTAATCAGGGGTGTGTGTGCGCGAGGGGGTTGGTGCCGGTGTTCAAGCGACGAATGACAATCGAGTTTTGTATTAATGTCCGGCTGATGCCGC